ACTAGGTAGAGAAGGAACATTCTTTTCTGAAGCCCAACTGACCTGGACAAGAATCGACCAAATATGGATTTCCAGAGGCCTGGCACCTAAGGTCAGAAAAGTGGAAATCTGCCCAAAGACCTGCTCTGACCATAATGCAGTAAAGATGGATATGACACTACTACCAACTGGATCCTTTAGATGGAAGATGAATGACAATTTGTTTAGAGATCAGGAAATTACCAAGAAGGCCCAAAAGTTTTGAAGGACTATTTTGAGATAAACATGAACAATTCGGTGGAAAAAGAATTGTCTGGGACGCAAGCAAAGCTGTAATGAGGGGATTCTTGATACAACAGAATGTAGTAAAGAAAAGAACACAAAATGAGAAAAAGATAAGATCTTGGACAAATTAAAAGAATTAGAGAAGAAATTAAGAGCGAATCCAAAGTCACAGCCAACTCTGAGAGAAATTAAACTCTATCAAACACAATATTCTAAATTGATAAATCAGGAAATTGAATGGAAGGTTAAATTAATGAAACAAAAACGTTTGAGTCGGCGAATAAATGTGGAAAACTGCTAGCTTGGCAGTTGAAGAGAAGACAAAGATTAAACACGGTTACAAACTTAGAGGTTGATGGAAAAACATTCAGAATCCAGTGGATATTAGAAAGTGTTTCCAGAGATATTTTAAAAATTATACACCCAAGGGCCGCAAGACGAAGTTGAGATTAAACAATTTTTGCCAAAAATGGATTATCTAAATTGTCACAAGAAAACAGGACAATCCTGAACTCTAAAATAACACGACAGGAGATTGAACAAGCTATTCAGAACATGCAACTTGGCAAATCTCCAGGGCCAGATGGGCTGACCTCCAAGTATTATAAGACATTAAAAGACTATTTGATACAACCCTTGATGGAGGTCAGCAATGAAATTATGGAGGGGAAGAGGGCACCGGATTCGTGGAAGGAAGCGTTCATCACATTAATACCAAAGTCAGAAGCTGAAAAGACACAACTGAAGAACTACCGTCCCATCTCTCTTTTAAATGTGGATTACAAAATATTTGCAGATATTTTGGCAAGTAGATTCAAAAAAGTATTAAATGAAGTAATTCATAAGGACCAGGCCGATTTTCTCCCAGGTAGACATCTGTTTGCTAACACAAGGAACATTATTGACATCTTGGAACTTCTGCAAACAGATATAAATACAAAAGCAGTTTTAATTTTCATAGATGCGGAGAAGGCCTTTGACAATATTTCCTGGAAATTTATGATGGGAAATTTAAAAGAGATGGGAGTGGGACGGGGTTTTGAGAATGGGATTGAGGCGATATATTCAGAACAGAAAGCTAAACTGATAGTTAATAATGTGGTCACAGAAGAGTTCAAAATTGAAAAAGGGACACGACAAGGTTGCCCTATCTCCCCTTTGTTATTTATTTCGGTTCTGGAAGTGCTACTGAACATGATTAGAGGGGATCGGTTGGTGGAAGGAATTCAGGTTGGTCAGAAACAATATAAACTAAAAGCTTTTGCAGATGACCTGGTTTTGACCCTGCAGAAGCCAGAGCCCAGTACGAAAAGAGTATTACAATTGATTAATGATTTTGGTCGGGTGGCGGGATTTAAATTAAATAAACAGAAAACTAAGGTTTTGGGGAAAAATTTGACTGATACAGAGTCAGAACGGTTTCAGAATGAGACGGAACTTAATGTGGTTAAAAAGTAAAATACCTAGGGGTAAACATAACAGCAAAAATCTAAGTCTATTTAAGGATAACTATGAAAAATGTTGGACAGAAATTAAGAGAGACTTAGACAGTTGGTCAAAATTGAAACTTTCTTTGTTAGGCCGAATTGCTGCTATTAAGATGAATGTATTGCCAAGGATGTTGTTTTTATTTCAAACACTTCAGGTTTTGGACAAAACGGAGTGCTTTCAGAAGTGGCAGAGAGATATTTCGAAGTTTGTCTGGCAGGGCAAAAGCCCAGAATCAAGTTTAAGATATTAACTGATGCAAAACAAAGAGGGGCTTTGCCCTGCCGGACTTAAAGTTGTATTATGAAGCCGCAGCGTTCTGCTGGCTAAAAGACTGGCTACTTCTTGAAGACACTGATGTGTTGGATTTGGAAGGGTTTAATAATGTTTTTGGATGGCATGCATATTTATGGTATGACAAAGTTAAAGCAAATAAGGCCTTCAAGAACCATATTGTCAGAAAATCATTGTTTAATGTCTGGACAAAATATAAAGACTTGCTGGAAAATAAAACACCAAGGTGGCTTTCACCTTTGGAAGCTAAGGCCCGAAAAAGACCCAATATGGAGGCTAAATGGCCAAAATATTGGGAAATACTAGAAAAGATGGAGACAATTGGAAATTGCAGAGTTTGGAGAAAATGAAAGACAAAGTGCGAGATTGGTTACATTACGCTCAGATTAAAGAAGTTTTTAAAAATGATAAGAAACTAGGGTTCCAGGTGGAGAAATCGAAATTAGAAACAGAATTGTTAGAACCAAAGATTAAGGTACTTTCAAGGATGTATAACTTGCTGTTGGAATGGAATACACAAGATGAAATGGTTAAATCGGCTATGATAAGGTGGGCACAGGACATTGGGTATAATATTATGTTTGAGGACTGGGAAAAGTTGTGGAGTAATGGATTGAAATTTACTGCATGTAACGCTCTGAAAGAAAATGTAATGAAAATGATTTATAGATGGTATATGACCCCAGTTAAACTTGCAAAAATTTACCACCTGTCTGATAATAAGTGTTGGAAATGTAAAGAGTGTGAGGGAACGTTCTTCCACCTCTGGTGGACCTGCCCTAAAGTGAAGGCGTTCTGGGAAATGATTTATAATGAATTGAAAAAGGTATTTAAATATACCTTTACCAAGAAACCAGAGGCTTTCCTTTTGGGTATTGTCAGCCAAGGGGTGGCAAAGAAGGACCAGACATTTTTATGTATGCAACAACAGCAGCAAGGATACTTCTTGCAAAACATTGGAAAACTCAAGATTTACCCACACTGGAAGAATGGCAGATGCAACTGATAGACTACATGGAACTGGCTGAAATGACCGGCAGAATCCGTGACCTGGGAGAAGAGAGAATCGAGGAGGATTGGAAGAAATTTAAGAACTATCTACAAAAATATTGTGATTTGAGTGAATGCTAAATAAGATGCTAGACTAAATAACTGAGCACCACTTTATTTTAAGAAAATAAGTAAGACTGTGAAAGTTTAACTCTCTATGAGAACCATAAGATTATGAAATACTGAAGAGATATAAGAATTTAAATAAGATGATAAATTGCTGACAAAATGTTATAACGATGAAAGTGGGAGCGGGAGATGTGAGGAAGTCCAAAGAAAATGTGAAACTATGTTAAGACAAATGTTATATTGTTTACTATGTTTATTCTTACTGTAAAACCCAATAAATTGCTTTAAAAAAAAAAAAAAATATCTGATAATGCCTTATCCGATTGCCTTTCCTGGTAGTCTGGCCATTCCTTTGAGATGGTAATTACTCAATACCTGAGACAATGGGAAGAAACATTTGGTCAGTTTTAGAGTCAAAATGGTTTCAGGACTGTCTTCCTGTGCTGCTTCAGATATGTGGTTTAAATATTTATGTACGTGTTTGCTTGGTACATTTATTATATATGTAAAACCTTAAAATTCTTATTACAGAAGGACCGGAATTCCTCTTTGCAGCTTCCCAGAGCCTTATGGCGTGGCTGCGTGCCGTCCAATGCTGGCAGAGTGCCTGCCTGGATCGCCCGTAACATCATCGGCTGCTTCCTATCTCCACGTGGCACACAGACATAGTTGTGGGCTCCGCCCGATTGATGCTTGCGGTGTGTAACTTGCTGTGTGCTTTGTCATTCCCTCTCCTTTTTAAAGCAATGGATGCTGCGGACATAGCGGGGGCTATTTGCTGAGAGCTGCCAAATGCGAGCAAGGGGCTCCTCGGCTCCCTCTTCTTCCAGATGGAAAGACGACTTCAGTCCTGGTGGATCACGCCCAGTGCCCACATTATGCACGTTTTCGAAGTGCAGCGAACAACGGGAAAAAAACACAAAGCGCGGGGAAGGAGGCAGGCAAGTCCCATCCATTTTACAACAGCATCCGTCTCCCCGACCCACAGCGCAGAATGAACTTCGAGCTCTGCGATTTCAGGTTTCTGTGCAGTCTCTTGGATGAATGGATGGATGGATGGATTGATTGGCGTGGCGCGCCCCGCCCCCTCGCCCCCCGCCGCCCAATCCCCTCTCCTCGCCTCCCTTCACTCCGAAGCGAGGGAGGGCGGCGGCACGTGACGCCGACATCCGGGTCACCTGCAGGCGGAAACAAGACCACCCATAGCCAACCGTTTTCCTTTTCCTTGACGGGAGTGGGAGGAGTCAGGTGTTACTGGGTGGGGCCGGCGAGCGAGCCTGACGTGCGCGCGCGCGCGCGCCGACCGCGACTGCGTTCTGAGAAGCGCGCTTGCGCTTTGAGGTGGGACCGTTTAACGCCTCAGCCCGCTCGAGGGGAGGAAGAGGACGACGACGACGACGACGACGACGACGAGGAAGTCGCCGCTGCCGCTGCCGCCGCCGGCCGTGAAGACTCAGCGCGGCTGAGGGAGATGCCGAGCGGGCTGCGCGGCTGAGGGCGTCGGCGGTGGCCGGCAGGGCGAGCGACCTCCATCTCCGGCGAGGCGCGGAGTCCCAGCGGCCGTCTCCCGCCGTCGCGGCGGCGCCGTCCTCGTCTCGGCGGCGAAGGGGGCTGCTCGCGCTTCCTGAGGGGACGGACTCGGCCCGTGCCGAGCTGGCGGCGGCGCCTTCCCCTCCGCCGCCAGGGGGGCTCCGTTGGCGGGAGAGCGGCGGCGGCGGCGGCGTCTCCTCAGCCCGCTTCCCGAAGACGCTGGCGGCAACGGCCGGCGGCCGCCAAGGGCTGCTCGAAGACGGGGGGCGTTCGCTGCTTCCCCCTCCCCCTCCGAGGCCAGCTCGATGGAGGTGGGTCTCTTCCGTAGGGCTGCTCTCTCTCTGTCTCCCTCCCTCCTTCCTTAGAAAAAGGAAGAGAGAACCCGAACCCAGCCTGGGAAAGGGCAGGTTCACACGTACGGCGTGCCCGCGTCGCTTGCGGGCTTCGCAGGAGTTCCAAACGCGTCGTCTGCACGCGTCGTCTGCACACGGCCTGGCGGAAACTTTTCGCCTCTCCCGAATGGCTCGCGCATTCTTAACCGGCGCTGGTCGAGTAGTTGCGGTTCCGAACGCTTTTGTTTCATTTCATTTTAAATGGATTACCCTCTCATTTGTCGCCGGCGCTTAGAGCTCTTATCACTGCGGAGCGAGTTTAACCGGGCAGGTCGAGAGGTGGCTGGACAATCGGCTAGGGTGAGATCTGAACCCAGCCCCCGCCCCGCCAAGTCAGTGCTGGGGCATCGCCCTTTACAGCATTGACTGCGAATGGGTGGATTTCCCCAAGTTGGTCCAATCCCGTGCACCTGAAACAAGTATGGCAGTATGCGGCGGTGCTTACTTAGAAGAAAGCATATGTAGGGTCACGGCCTTACTCTCCTCCAGCAATAGGGTCTCTCTCTCCTTCCCACAAAATGGGTGTTTGGCTTTCTGGCTGTTGCTGGCAGCCAGCCCCCTTAATTATTATTAATTTTTTTTGCATAATTTTCCTTCTGCCCTTTTCCCAAGGGTTATTTTGTTGCCTGAAGCTGAGTCAAAATTGTAACCCCACAAACACTTTAAAAATTCTTGCTTCAGCATTCAGGCACCAGTTCCTGCCTTCATCTGCTATCTATCCATCACCCCATAATGGTCCCACTGCTGCAGGCCTGGCACTGTGTGAGAGTGTGGGCCACCCATGTGCCCTTTTCTTCTTTCCTTTACTAAACGTTATACGTTTTAGCTGTCCTGCTGTGCTGTGTAGTCATCTGTGAAAGTGTTTGAAGCAAGTGAATTTGACTACTGTATCTTTGCTTGGACAGTTTGATACAAAATATGGCATAATAATTGCCACTATTTATCCTATAATTGTACCGCTTGGCACTGCTGTCTCAAAGTTTGCTTGTTTTACATAGCTGTGGAGGAAATTAATGATCCTGAAGCAGGCTGTGCCGCTGGCTATTTTAAAATGGTGTGTTCCTGTTCTCTTTAAAAAGAAACAAGCTCCTCTTTCACTGTAAGATTGACTACTAAATATGCTCAATTTCTTCTTGCTGGCTTGATTACCCCTCCATTTCAAAGATATTAAAGTTTGAGTGAAGCACATAAAGGCAGCTGCCTAAACAGCAAGCCCTCTTCAGAACTCTTTTGAGGTAGGAAAAAGGTGACCCAGAAAAGCTTCTCTAGGCTGTGCTGGGGATAGTAAGATAATGTATTTTACTATGTAGCTAATGAACTTCAGGTAATTAGAAATGTTTCCATGACCAAAGAGTATAATGCCCTTTGTTTACAGCAAGTAGAAGGATTTTCTTTTTTTTAGGGAGGGATGGGGAAATGGACACATTTGGGGAAACAATACCATCATGCTGCTGGCATTATGTTTGCAACTAGTTTTTGAGAATTTTTGTACAATTTTGCAATCTTGGTAACAGACTTGACAGACCTTAATAAATTTTCTGTCTATATACACATGTAAACTTAGGAAATGGTTTGTTCTTCTAATATGAAAGTGTTATTTTCATAAAATGTGCCTTATTTGGGGGAGAGAATACTTTCATTCACCAGTGCTGGTTTATTCAGTCTTTCAATGCTGCTTTAAGTGTGTTTTGACGATTGAAGGCACATGTGTCTTTAATTGGTACATCATAGATATACCTGTACAGAGGATATTGAGAGTGGATTTCTGGTCTTTGTTTTGGTAAGTGATGTGCATCCCATTTTCCTTTCTAGGACCTGGGTGTCTCTTCATGCAGGTACTAAACAGTGAATGTGACAGAGCTTGTTTTCTTTGGTCAAGTGGAAGGGTGGGAGCTAGATGGCTAGCTCAGGGGAGATGCCAGGTGCTCATGAAATTAGGTTCCCTGCAAAAGTTGGATGCTTGTGATTTTTTAGTGGGGGAGAAGAGAACGATGGAGAACTCTGTTTTGCTTCAGGTTAGTGGTAGGTAGCATTGTGCCTCCATATGTTGTTGGACTACAACTTCCATCATCTCTGCCCATTGGGTAACCATGAGTGTTGACTTTAAAAAAAAAGGGTGCTTTTCATAGTTATGCTGTTATGTTTGGTATTTTAAGGATATTAATACATTAAGTGTTGAGTACTGTACTCCAGTCATTTCCTGAAGGAGTACAGTTTCTCATTAATAGTGATCTCAAAAGTACAGCCTTGGGATACCTTTATTCAGTTTTGTGTGCAAGAGTATGCTTTGCTCGGTGTGTGCATCTGTGTGTACTAGTAGCAGTACAGTAGCTGTATACTGAAAGGTTTGTTTAGTCCTTTGTTTCCTTTGTGCCATGTGAAATTAAATGAATAAATAACTGGAAAAAGGCTTGTGTGGAAGCAACTTTTGCAGTATTTTAATAAATCATTCCCATTTTGCAAAATGGTGGCAGCATATCCCCAAGAATCCTGGAAAGATTATTATTAAATTGTGTGACATTGGCAGACATATGTCTGCTGCACCTGGCAACAAACATGTGAATGATAACATACTGCAGGTTAACCTTTATAAAATTAGTTTGTTAACAATGTCTGCTAATCTCAAATACCATGTGTTAATTTTGTCAACTGCCATATCTGAGTTTATATATATTTGAGAAGTAGAACACTGTATGTACTTAAGTGTTCTTGTTACCAAGGTTATAATAAAGATGTGGACTAGGAATTTCCATCCAAGCACTTTACTACAATAGGTGACTCAATAGTAGTAGTTTGTACTTTCAAAAAGAAAGTGAATGCTTGGTGCATGTTGCATATAGTATAATGCATGCTGGTTCCATATGGTAAAAATTAGGCACACATTACCTTCCCCCTCCCCAATAAAAGTCTTTTTTGTTCAGATTACATTTTGACTATTCATTTATTGTGATCTATCTTTTGAGAGAGTCTTTGAATATATTGTTAATGATTACTGTGATAATGAAATTAGTTCTAGTAATAATAATTTAATTATTCATACCCCGCCCATCTGGCTGGGTTTCCCCAGCCACGCTTGGTGGCTTCCAACAGAATATAAAAGCATAATAAACATCAAACAATAAAAACTTCCTGATACAGGGCTGCCTTCAGATGTCTTTTAAAAATTGTGTAGTTCTATATCATCTGATGGGAGGGTGTTGCTGCCGAGAAGGCCCTCTACCTGGTTCCCTGTATCTTCACTTCTCACCGTGAGGGAGCTATCAGAAATCCCTTGGGAAGTGGACTCAGTGTCTGGGCTGAATGATGGGGGTATACCTTCAGGTATACAGGGTCAAGGCCATTTAGGGCTTTAAGTGTCACTCTGAATTGTGCTTGGAAGCATACTGGGAGCCAGTCTAGACCCTTTAGGACTGATGTTATATGGTCTTGACAGCCACTCTTGGTCTACAGTGTAGCTGCCGCATTCTGGATTAGTTGTAGTTTCTGAGTCACTTTCAAAGGTAGAGCACATTGCAGTGGGAGATTAACTAGAGCATATACCACTCTGGTGAGACAGGGCACCGGCAGATAGGGTCTCTGCCAACATGCCAGATGGGGCTGGTAGATAGCTGCCCTGGACACAGAATTGACCTGTGCCTCCATGGGCAGCTGTGAGTTCAAAATGACTCCCAGGCTGCTCTCCTGGTCCTTCAATGGCACAGTTACCCCATTCAGGACCATGGAGTCCCCCACACCACCCACTGAACATAGGGGGAGATAGTTAGAAGTTTTGTATCTTTTAAAAAGATGCCTGAATCTCTCCCTTCACCTGAATCACCTTTCATCTGTTGGTAGATTCTGCCCCTTTTGTATGTGAGATGATCCTTTTTACCTAGATTCAGTTTGAGTTGAGATTGGAAAGGCTTGCAGATCAGAGAAAAACATGCAGAACAGAGCTGAATATTTTCAATTTCTTCTATGCAATTCCTACTTCAGACTTGCCATTTAGAACTTCAGAAGGCATGTACCGTGGTAACTTCTGGGTCAGATTACTGCAACCTGTTCTACATTGGACTGCCTCTGGGGGACCGTTCAGAAACTCCATATCTGAACATGTATCCAGCTTTGAGCCAATCACATAGAAGACTGTCAATTCATTTTTGAGTGCAGTTTAGAGTTTTCACATAGGAAGCCTTGCATGGTTTCCATGTGAACTCTCCTGGACCTAGAGATTAACATCCCTTTTGTGCGCCTCTTCCAAAATAAATTTGGAGGGTGGCAACAAGAGAACAAGTCTTCTATTTCATATGTAGCTGCCCAATTTTGAATGCTTTCCCCATAATGCCATTCAGTGTTAGAAACTGGGAGAGGAATGCTAGGAGCCATGTGGCTCGTTGGACCTAGGTTGTGGGCGCCAAAACAAAATGTCAAGGTTTCTTTTTCTTTTGCTGCCCTGCTGCCAGGCAGACCGGGGTGGGGTGGGGGGAATGCTGCTGGGCAATCAGGTAGTCTGCAGGGAGGTGTGGCAGCAAAAGATCTGTCTTTTGCTACCGTGCTACCCTGCAAAACACCTGATTCACCTGGCAGTGTGGTAGCTATTTTTATTTTTTTGCTGCCTGGTGAATCAGGGTCTGCAGGGTAGCGTGGTAGCAAAAGACGCATCTTTTTTTGCTGCTGCTGTGCCTGGCAAACCAGCTGAATGCAGCCAGGCAGGTGGCGATGCTAGGTGCCAGGGGTGGTGCCCAGACATTTTCAGTCACGAAAGGCCAATTGCATTTTGCAACTGGTGCCTGGCTGGTTTCTAATGCTGGTGCCAATCAGTGTCCTTGCTGTGAAGTGGTGGAGCAGGCATATTTCCCTACTGGGAACAGGCACCCACAACCAATGTAGAATTGAAGCCCAGCCTCTCATGTAGCGGCTGATGTAACAAGTGACACCAGCTGTTTGACTAGGTCGGCATGGTTTAGGAGAAATGGCGTTGCTGGCCAAATTGGATCCCTGCTTTTGCACAGTAGAATTGTTTCTGGCAGTGTTTCTTGGTTAGCAAGTTTTAAAAGTAGGGCCAGGGGAACCTAATTCACGAGGAACCAGAACTTGACTAGTCCTTGCAGCATGAAGCATCTGTCACTTTGACAAAGCTAAAAGCCAGTGAAAAAACAATAGGTTCTGGTGAGTTAGTAGTGTTAAACAAATCCCATTATATTCAGATTTCTTAATTTTGCATATAAGGCAGAGAACTTTTAGGCCTGATAGATGAGGCAAAGCTGCCTCAGCAGATTTAATGAAGTTAGCCTACAGGGAAACTTAGATGTTTCAGCGTATCTTTTGTCATCTCTCAGCAATGTTTCACAGCTCCACCTGTACAAATGTAAAGATGCCAGACTCACACGCTCCTGGCTTCCAAATGCCAGAAATTAGACTAGCAAAGTGATGAATGACAGGGAGGGGAGGGGTGAGTTGAATAAGAGTGCTTGATGTTGGAAATTTGGAAGTCATATCCAGTGGATCATCCCAGTTACTCAGAAGGTTTTCTGAACAATTTTTTAAAATGCTGTGTATTCCCAGTTTAAGGCAGAAGGTTCTTAAGGAGGGGTGGGAGGCTGACTATCAAGTATTCAAAGAACTCTCTAGGGATAACTCCCATTCCTCTATAATCTTAAGGGTCATTACCCAAGAAGAAATCTTGCATGTTAGAAGAAGTCTTTTAGGAACCGAGGTCCTTGTTAATACATTTATATACTTAATTTGACATCCTAAAAGAGCTTTCAGATGATGGATGGCTGTGGAGATAACATCTTTAAGAGAAAATTGTTAAAATTTTGGATTAGGACTGAAACCTTAGATTGTAAATACTAAAGGTAAAGAACCCCTGGATAGTTAAGTCTGGTCAAATTCGATTATGGGGTGTGGCATTCATCTCTGCTTTCAAGCTGAAGTCTGCAGACAGTTTTTCCGGGTCATGTGGCCAGCATGACTAAACCACTTCTGGGGCATGGAACGCTGTGACGAGTGCCAGAGAGCATTGAAGTGCCGTTTACCTGCCTGCCACAGGTATATCTACAGCATATCTGCAGCAGCGTATCTACTCACGCTGGTATGCTTTTGAACTACTAGGTTGGCAGGAGCTGGGACAAAGCAGCAGGAATTCACCCCATTGCATAGATTCGAACCTTTTTTTTTACCCTTTTACTTTAAATACTATTAGGGTTTTTGTTGACTCTATGGGAATCTGCATCAGTAGATAAAGGAAGAAGAGGCATAGCTTCCTGAGGAAACTGCTTAATTGATCTAGCCTGAAGTTACAGTGTATCCAGTTTGACAGGAATTTGTATAGTCGTACCTCGGAAATTGAGCAGAATCCGTTCCAGAAGTCTGTTCGACTTTCAATGTTTGGAAACCAAGGTGTGGCTTCCAATTGGTTGCAGGAAGCTCCTACAGCCTATCGGAAGCTGCGTCGGATGTTCAGGTTCCAAAGAACATTCACAAACTGGAACACTCACTTCCGGGTTGGCGGAGTTCGGGAGCCAAAATGTTCAACTCGCAAGGTGTTCGGGATCCAAGGTACGACTACAGTTGCATTGATATTGCTAAATGAGGAGCTGTACAGAATGCTGCTCAGCCGTTAAATTATTATTAGAAGGCTAGCTAGTACCTAGGTTTTTGGATTTTATTTAAATTTGCCTAGACCAAGCCCCTTCATAATCATTAGAATTAAGAACATCAGATTTGATAGTGGTAATGTTAAAACGTTAAAATCAATAATAAGATCTTTATGAGATAAAGTCAATAAGTTTTTTTTCTAATCTGGGATCATGGAATTGATATCTTTATCCATAATTTTAGGAATTTTTTTAATGTTTTGTTTAAGTTCTACTTTGCTTAGTATCATTAATTACAGAATCCCGATTCCTAACATAAATGCCACTCCCACTTCCTAGAGATTACCTACGGGACCGCCTCTCCTGGTATGCCCCACAGAGGAACCTACGGTCTGCAAATAAAAACATCCTGAAGGTCCCAGGCCTCAGAGAGGTTAGGCTGGCCTCAACTAGAGCCAGGGCCTTCTCGGCTGCGGCTCCAATCTGGTGGAACGCTCTGTCACAAGAGACTAGGGCCCTGCGGGACCTGACATCTTTCCGCAAGGCCTGCAAGACAGAGTTGTTCCACCAGGCCTTTGGTCAGGGCCCAGCCTGACTCCCTCCTCTGGCAACCTGCACAGAATTTCGCTTAACGGTTGCCATTAATTTGATTTTAATTAATTTTTATAATGAAATGTTTTAGAATGTTGGATTATTTGATTGTTTGATTATTTGTTTGTTGTTAGCCGCCCTGAGCCTGGCTTTGGCTGGGGAGGGCGGGATATAAATAAAATTTATTATTATTATTATTATTATTATTATTATTATTAAAATTAAATTAAGTGGCTATTGATTAGATGAAGGTTTTCTGAGATATATATACACTACCTGTCATTGCATTAACTTTCAGTTTCCCATTTTTAAAAAACTCCAGCTTGTCTGCCACCAGTCCTCAAAAAATCCCCAGGTGACTCCAAAATTTATATTGGGCTTGAACCACTGTTTGGCCTCTCGCTTTTCTCATGCAGAAGGGGCTCATTCTCACAGCATATTGTTTTTGTAGATATTCTCAAGGTTTGGGTTTTGATGCAGCAGGTGGGCACAGGAAGGGAGAAAGAAGTTCTATAAAAAAGCTCCCATCTTCCACTCTGCATTTTCGCATCTATTTTCAGCTGTTGCCCCCCCCCCCCCCATTCTGCTGCTACTGCTTCAGTGCTTTTTTAAAGTTGAAAATGTTTTTCAATCCAAGTTCCCAGGCAATTGTGTCAATGTCGCAGAGGGCAAACGAACCCTTCACTCTAAAGGAGAAAATGCATCCTTGTTACCCAGGCAACTGAGCCATTCCTTCCCTGCACAGCAAGACTTTTTTTTCCTGTTTCAGTTGGTTGTAGGAGCAGGATGGGAGTGAAAATGGTTTGCATGTCCACATTCTGCACTTACATTCATGATTTAAAATTCATTATACTTTAAAGAGCTCTAGCATTCAATCACTGATGAAAAATGGAGTTTACAAATGTCTGACTTGGAGATGGAAAGCCTGTCAACTTTCTGATGTTGTTGAACTAGAACTTACAACTTGTGGAGAGCCACAGCTTGTCCATCTCTGTTATAACTCATATAGTCATATTAATTGGTTGCTAAAACAGTTAACAGTTTGCAATGAAATAGAGCTTTTATACTCTGGTTTTGGTCCAGAGTATAATGACTCTCAATTCCATCCTCCACCCCTTTCCCTCAGTTTATCTTTAGTTTTGTTTCTTATCTGATTGTAAGTTACAGGCTGGATTTTCAATAATTTAGCAGAGGCCGAAGACTGTTCTCAGCTGTTATATATGAATTTAAAGAATTTTTTTATCCTGCTCTTTAGCCAAAAATATGCTCCCAGGCAGCTTACAAATGAAAATAAGGCAGCCTTGTTCTAACACATACAGTCTAAAAGACACAACACAAAGGGTTTGGAACGGAGAAGGAAATCAGACAGCATTCTTAGTTATAAGGTTCTTGTAATGTCAACTGGAATAGAATAAACAAAATAAAAAAATTCCTTCCAGTAGCACCTTAGAGACTAACCTTAGAGATGCGGGTGGCACTGTGGTCTAAACCACAGAGCCTAGGGCTTGCCGATCAGAAGGTCGGCGGTTCGAATCCCCGCGACAGGGTGAGCTCCTGTCGCTCGGTCCCTGCTCCTGCCGACCTAGCAGTTCAAAAGCACATCAAGTGCAAGTAGATAAATAGGTACCACTCCGGTGGGAAGCTAAACGGCGTTTCCGTGTTCTGCTCTGGTTCGCCAGAAGCGGCTTAGTCATGCTGGCCACATCACCCGGGAGCTGTACGACGGCACCCTCGGCCAGTAAAGTGAGATGAGCGCCGCAACCCGAGAGTCGTCTGTGATTGGATCTAATGGTCAGGGGTCCCTTTACCTTTTTAAGGTGCTACTGGAAGGATTTTTAAAATTTTGTTTCTACTACGGCAGACCAACACGGCTACCTACCTGTAACTGGAATAGAATAATTTGAAGAGGAGGAGCCAAAAGTTGCTGGTCTTTCAGTACAGTATTGCTGATGGAGGGGCTTGATACTCTTTCCCTAGACAAATAGAACAGATTATATAATAAGGGTTATGTTTCTTTCTAATAAAGTATGCTACCTTTGAACATTTTCCTAATGAATTAGAGTTCATTTATACTATTATAGATAATGGGATAGTTGACAGGGTGGGAGCAAACCAGCAGAAGGTATCTCTGAATGCATAGTATTTAGTATAGTGGCACTATAAAAGGCAGCATCTCTCTGGTGCCTTTACCTCTCTCTTGTCTGAATCGCTTTGCATTTATTGCAACTCATATTAGTGCAGAACTGTCAGCTGTGTCTCTCACATCAGTATCAAATGGAATACATAACAGCTTCAAGCCTTCTGGCTTTAACTTCTGTAAGTTTGCATGGTACAAAGTTGCACTGTCTTCATGAGAGGGTTTTGTGTCTGAAATCAGAACATTTCATAGGTCATTTGTGATTAAAAGTTAGAAGAGAATCCTCTTCTTTTGTCACTGTATCGTAGGAATATAAATGCAAACCTCCTGGATCAGTTAAGTTATATTTAGTTGAGTACTCTGTTTTTACAGTGGCTAAGTGGATACATCCCGGAAGTGAACAATCAAGATATGAATTCAACAGCCTTCTCTCACTTGATCCTCAGCAACAATAAAAGACATGATACATCTGATCCTGGGGGTTGTCTATGGTTATCATGACTCGTAGCCATTGAAAGCCTTATCCTTCATAAATTTGTTCCGTCCCCCATTCTAAGCCTGTGTTAGTTACTGGTCATCGCCCTATCTTGTGATAATGAATTCCTTAGTTTTAACTGTGTTCTCTTTGAAAGGGTTTTCTTTTTTTCTGTCCTGAATTTCCCCCCATTCAATTTCTTGGAAAGAATCCAGGTTCCAGTATTGTGAGAGAAGAGAGAATTCATTCTTGTACATTTTCTCTGCACCATGCATAAATTCATACACCTCTGTCTTCTTGCATCTGCTAGCAGTGCCCTTCTGAATTAATATAAGAACACCTCCTGGATCAGAAGAGTCCTGCATTCTGTTCTCCCACTGGCCAACCTAGCACTCAGTTGTTTGCCATCCATAACAATGTTACTCTGAGCCAGGGGTCAGCAACCTAAGGCCCATGGGCTGGAAGCAGCCCACAGAGTCCATTTAACCAGCCCATGAGCTGCCCCTGAACCAGCGCAGTGCGGCGCGGGGACTTTCTTCCGCAGCACCGGAAATCGCTTCTGCGCATGCCCAGACGCCCAAAGTCGTATCCGCGCATGTCTGCGGTGCCAGAAATCGCTTCTGTACATGCCCAGAATCTGAAAATTGCTTTTGCGCAGGCAGGATTTTCAGCGTCTGGGCATGCACAGAAGCAATTTCTGGTGCCGCAGACATGTGCAGGCATGACTTCTGGCGTCGTGCTGTGCCGGTCTGGCCCATGGAGGATCTCTGCAGGAGTGATCCGGTCCATGCCCGGTAAGTCTTGCCGATCCCTGCACCATAATACCTATGATTCGTTGTAATATTTCCATTATGGCTAGTGGTCATATCTTCTATGAATTTGTCTAATACCATGCAAGCTGGTGACCATCACTATTTCTTGTAACAAATTTGATATTGCTGTGTGAAAAAAAAAATCAGTTTCTCTTTCCTGATATACTCATTGATCAGTTTCATTGGATGATCCCAGGTTCTGGTTTCGGAGAAGAAAAAAACTTTTTCTTTCACTTTTGCCACATAGAATCCAACTCTATGTTACAAGGGACCCTAAGGATCATCTAGTCTAACCCCCTGTACATGCATATTTTATACACTGGTCATTCCTCCCCTCCTTGTATTTTCTCCCTGTACTGTACTAACAAAACCTAAGCGTGGCATTTGCTCATATGGGAGTTGCTCCAGCCCCCTAAATCCTAGCTGATTTCTTGTGCTGATTTTTAATTCCAATTTTTAAGTTCTTTTATTCTTATAGATATTTTCCCCAAGTTTGTTTTTGACATCTTTTACTGTAGAAATGATTTTGAATAACCCCCAAGGGTTCTGAAGAGCTCTGACCCTCTTCACTTTTCCTTTCAACTTTCTTCTTACCAGTCACATTAGTTTTTGAAGTGTTTCTTATTTTGAGATTATCTGTGGGGCCTTGCATTGCCATCTGCAGTGATTTTGTGGATGTGTCTACCCATTCTGAGATGCCTATTTTGACTGACTTCTTGCCCTCTTTGAAGCACAAATCAATCCTTCCGCAGTCACAGTTTTTGTGATGAAAGGTAATACATTATTTGTTATTTGGTCAGGTAGAGACAGGAATCAGAATTGTAGAGTTGGAAGGGACACGGTGAAGGTAATTTAGTCCAGCCCACTGTAATGCAGGAAACATTTGCCTAATGTGGGACTCAAACCCACAACACTGAGATTAACAGTAAAACAGTGCAGACCAGGGATAGGGAACCTTAAACCCAGGGGCAAAATGCAATTCTCCAGGTCTTTCTAACCATGCCTGCTTCACACCCTCCTTGAGTGCACTTTGCATGTTCTTGAACTGCGATGATACTTCTGGCATACCTGGATGAATAGGTGTTTAAGTACTCATTGAAGCCTCTGACTGAGCATAGCTTTACTATTCATTGGTAAGGATTGCATCTGTTGCTCTGCCCATTGCTGGCATGCAATCTCTAGAAGGCTGCCCATGAGGGTAGATAAGTGATTTGACTTTGCATAAGACAGGTTCATGTGTTCATTACCTATATGGCCATTTATGGGTTGATGGGCTGATGTTTCATTCACATTATTAGAATATTTATTTTCATGCTCTGTAGTGAAGATGATGTTAAAGATACAGTGTTAAGGTTCAATATTCTGTTAGATTTTGCTACATGATTGATTCTTAAGGACAGATAAAGCTTTCCTATTCCCATTGTGCTGGTGTGGTTAAAGGAAACATGTTTTGTTGCCCATAGACAATTTTTCGGCCTTCCAGTCAATACCTTTGCATGCGTAGTTTGAGTACAATGTGCATCAGGATTCATATCCAGAAAAACTGAATAGTTTTCCCTTGGCAGAATTTTTCCTATAAGGAGGATTGCAAGCTAATATGAGGATGCTGTGCCTATTTTTTCTAGACTGCCAGTTTTGTGTCAGAAATGCTTTTTGAATGCAATAAAATGCTAGAAGACTTCAGTAAGTGAAAGGGGCTACTTAACTGTTTTCTGCTGTCTCGTGATATTTTGGAGAAAGAATATTGAAAGTGATGTTCTGGTATTCTATTCTATTTGTTTATACTGTACTGTCGTAGTTTTAAACCCTTTATTGACACTGTATTTGAGTGACATACAGTTTGGGTTAATTTTTCTTGTAATATCTGATCTTTTACCAAGACTGTTTCCTTCCAGTTAGTCATCAATAGAAAACCTGAAACGGTTCTGAGGAACTTAAAAGTAATTGAAGCTGCTTCAGTAAACTGTAAACTCAGTTCAATGCACTTTTGTTTGCACTATAGTACATAAAGACCAGAAAATCTAGATTACTGTACTGTAAACAACTTTGAGCATGGAATTATGTGTAACAAAACTACTTCAATTGTCTATAATTTGGATTTAGGTAAAAGACTAGTGGCTTTGTTAAATACGATATGAACAATGATGTATTGCTAATAGGTACATAGTGGATTCCAACCAGAATCTGTACCCTGGAATAATTTTATTTGGCTTTTGGCAGTCCTGCCTAGTTTTATTCAAGGTATAGTAGAGAAGTTGCCCACTATTTTAATAAAAGAAAATTCATTTCAGAGAGCTGAATTTTTAGAAGCTCACAAAATAAGGACTTGAATTGTGGTGGATGATAGTACAGCTTTGGGGAACAGGATCCAGTTGGAGGACCAGATCCTGCATTCTCCCTACCCTCACTCCCAGCAGATCACTTTTACAGATGGGCAGATGACAATTAATTTTTTTAACATACCTTGAACTCAAGTCACATTGCAAAAGATAAGTACAGTTGATCCAAGCAGGGCTTGAATTCACCACTGATTGGCATTGACATAAAACCCTCCTTTTGGGCAGTCCCCCAAAAATGTCAGACAGCAAGCGTAAATACTTAAGCAACAGCTCTTTCTGATAAGGGTCCCAGGCAGTTGAAGAAGCTTGCCCCTTGATGGTACCAACAATGTCTCCCATAGTAACGCTAGCAACTATGCCACTCCAGGCTTGTTTTAGTAATATGGTGCCTCAATAAATTTTAATTGGCCACGGCAGCAGCTAATTTCATAGTTACTAGTTTTGAAAAATATTAATTGGGTCACTTTAAAATGTCTTATTTTTCTTACCCTTCCTCAAATGGCTGTGGAAAGTGTACATAGTTCTCCCTACTCTGTCCTGTCATCATAAGCATGTGAGAGGAAAAGGCTCAAGGTCTCAAAGTGAGCTTCATCGTTGAGTGGAGTTTTGATCTCTTATCACCACAGCCCATGTCAGTACCTCTTTGCTGTTCCATATTGTGTCTCACAGAAGGAGATAATCTTTCATGTTAATGCTACTCAAAATGAGCTTGTAATTTGACTAGACTTATCTCAGCCTTGCCTTGAAATAAGATGCAAACACATGTATTTGAAATCAGTTTTGCACTTCTTTGCATTATCAATATACAATAGTATTTAACAGAATAAACAAAGCCTAAAACGTCTCAGGACCACATAAACCATCTGGGACTCTGCGATCATCATCTTACTTCCTCAGCGAGAGGTCCGGAGAGTAGCAACACAAGAGCACTCTTTTAAGTTACTTTCTGCTAATGCTACTACACACTTGATCTTAAAGAAGAAGTGGGTATATGATGGCAGCCTAGGCTTTGGTTTAGGGTTGGCATTGGGGAAAGGGTGGGTTCTTGTGTCTTTAAAATCTATGATCTCCACAGTTAAGACCAGCAGGACTTTTCTTGGGAAGCATGAGGTTGTTGCAGAGTCGGGGATGGTGGAGAAAAACAACAAGGACCGTAGTCTTAATTTTGTGTTACGCGATGCCCCCCACAGCGCACACTCAAAGTTCAAAATGTGCTCATTGGTCCAGAATGGTGGCAACTCCTGCTGTACTTGATGGATTTTTTACTACAGATTTTAAATTTAAGGATTTTCTAAAACTGTTCTACAAATTTATGTAAACTTCCTAAGGTTATTAAAAAAGCAGTAATTTTGAACAATACACTAAACACTAAAGCTTCAGCTCTTTGAAGCAACTGATGTTTGACCATAAGTGACAGAAGGAACTGATCATTAAGAGAATATGAAAATATCGGGGGGGGGGGGGGGAATTAATGAAACTCATTTATTTTGTCATGGTACATATTGTTCAGTTATGCTTAGTCATACTTCCCCTTAATTTCTGTTTTATAAATTATATGTTAATAATCTTGCAAAAGTCAACTCTTGTGACACCTCAGTTCTTATAACTATTCAGTTTTGGGAATTACTGTGGACACAGAGTTGAGACTTATGTTGCTGTCACTTTTAATACAGTGATTAGTAGCTTTTTATTCTGAAGGGTTGGTGATGATTCAGAACCAAAAATTCAAATTTATTTGTAGTAGTTGTGTTTGTATATCATATTAAACAGTAGTTAATGTTTACTACTCATGTCTCAATGTATGAACTATCAAAGCAGAATAATAGCCACCCTCATGGTTTCAATATTTCCAGAAGAGGTATCTTTTGTTGGTGACACAGGGTCACACAGCTACATTAAGGCAGTTGTCATCCTTGGAAAAGGTAACCAAGGAAGGGAGTTTGTGTCTCCCCCCACTTCTCTCTGGGTAGGTGTCTAGGTGTCCTTGGATAAAGAGGTTGGTGGAGTTGAGTTGTCTTTGTGGAATTTGGTGATGTGATGGAGCAGAGTACTGTAGATTAAAATGAGTGGTTTTCTGTTTTGGGGTTTAAACCCTACTTTTCTTCCCTTGTAACCAGTTTGCCTTGTATGAAATGGGTGTTTTGTGTCTAGCCATATGCACTGTAGTTGTCATTATGTAAACAGGCATACCACCTGGCAGTTATTTTGTTATAGCGCCCACAACACATGCTGAAAATTCCAAAAGTTCCAAGAGTCCCAGAAAAGTTTCAGACCCTGTCTTTATATAATCTGGGATCTGACCTTAATCTTCCATATAGGCATTTTCCCCAGCCTACATATGTCTAGCCATGCCTCTAACACTTTGTTTTAAATGCTAACTGAACATCATATGATGGAACAACCTTACAAAATGCTTTAAATATGAAAACAGATACAGTGGTACAGATGCTTCAGGTTACAGACGCTTCAGGTTACAGACTCCGCTAACCCAGAAATAGTACCTCGGGTTAAGAACTTTGCTTCTGGATGAGAACAGAAATCGCGCAGCAGCAGCGTGGTGGCAGCAGGAGGCCCCATTAGCTAAAGTGGTGCTTCAGGTTAAGAACAGTTTCAGGTTAAGTACACACCTCCAGAACGAATTAAGTTCTTAACCCGAGTACCACTATATATTTTGTTAGTTCCTGGGGTTATTTGTTCAAGCACCAGTTCTCTGTTTGGTAGAGATCACTGCTTTCAGGATGGATTTGTGTGTATAGCTTGCACACAGGGTTGCTGGGTAAATTACTTAATTAGAATAGTTTGCTTGGAGAAGTAGTTTGCTTCAGAACGTCTTTAATAGTTCTTCTGAGCTTCAGAAATTGATGGTGAAGTTAGGCCGTTCTCCCACATTTTTGTAAGTGTGATGCAGAGAAGGCATTTGTAAACCATTCTCTTAGGTGTTGGGAAATGGAAGAGCTGGCTCATGCAGTAATGAAAACAATGCTATTGGATGCCCTTCTTGGAGTACATAAGCTCAAGTATTTTTTCCCTACATTTTTATTTGGAGCTACCATACTCTGGATAGTTTTAGGATAATGAGACACCAGATTTCAATTACAGCCCATTTTGCTTTGGGGAGGAGTTCTACTGAGAATGGAATTGTCATTTTCGGTAAGATCTGGCTCACTAGAGTGCCTATGCTTGAAGCACTTCACATTGCCTAAGCATCTATTTAATAATCATACTTGAGTGCATTAAACTTGTCTGTTATATTTTGAGAAGGATATTTTATTCCTCAGATCCTTTGTAACTCTTTTCTTTTTTTTCTCCATAGATGTGGAACATGATCTCTGAAATGGGATTAAAGCAGCGTCACTGACTTCAATATACACTTCATTTTTGTTTTTGACTTAAAGTGCCATGAGAAAATTTGCGTATTGTAAGGTGGTCCTTGCCACCTCACTGGTTTGGGTCCTTCTGGATATGTTTTTGTTACTTTACTTCAGCGAATGTAACAAATGTGATGAGAAAAAAGAGAGAGGCCTACCACCTGGAGATGGTAAGTATTAATAGTATTTAGTGACCAAAGATTAAGTTTTTCAAATACTGCATAAAATAAGTGAAGTAATGGCCAGGTTAAGACTACAACAGATAGGAGAAATGTGTGCTTGTTTTCTTCTTAAATTATCTGGACCAGAATTAGTGTGGTTCCCCCCGCCCACTGAACAGTAGACCTTTTATGTGGTATCAGGGACTGTTTGCATTTCTTTCATTTCAAAAGCATTTTAACAGCTGGTTGAGAAACGCATGCACAGATTTTGCTTGGATACACTGAACTAACATTTGATTGCTGGCTCTCAAAAAATGAGAATAATAGTGGGAGGGAGAGGAGGGCAGAATAAGCTATGGTCCCATCCAGCCCTATAATTTTATGTAGGTGGTGCTGAACCTTGGGGCCTGTTCAGCTCTACTTTGGCCCCATATGGCTCTTTCTTCCCCAGTAAACGCCATCATCTCATTCTTTCCCCTATGGCACCACCCCCCACCCACTCCATCTTCTGCCCTCCCTTGTGTTTCCTACATTTCATCTAAACTGCTTTGCTCTCTTCTAGACACTAAACTTCAGGTGTAAACCCTCACTTACTTATTGTAAAAAAGCAGCTTTCATGCTTAAGACACTGGCCCAGTTCACTAGTATGGCTACTGTCTGAACTAGACAGGTGTTGCAGACACTAATGAGATGACTGGAAATTAATAGGTTGGTAAGAAAAACCTGAAACATGACAAAGGTGTGTCACACAGCAGTGTCATTGCACAGTGGCTTGATGCAAATTGAGATGACTGGAGATTAATAGCTTTGAGAGTAATCTGAACACAGAATCAGACCCCTCAGGCCAGTAGACAATTCCTTCTTAACGGGATGGGTTTTTGGAAGACACCTGTGTGGGAATTTGTTTTAGGTCTGTAAATTAGTGCACGCTGATCAACGCAGCTGGATTATCACCTTGTTGTGGTGAGTGGGCTTAACGTTCCTATGACCCTTGTGAGCGAAGCTGTCAGGAGTCTCTACTCCCAGCAGGGTCACCCAAGGTGGTAAGGTGAAAGGGGAGGAGCAAGACAAAGAACGATCCAAGAAGTCCTCAGCGGTAGAACAGGCGGAAGATAACAAGCAGTATGTTACAACGGCTGTGAAGATAGATGAAGGCTGCAGCAGATAAGAATCTACCGGTCGTCGTGATTCTCATGCCATCGGAATAGAGCCTTACCACGAAGGCTGTGTGTTGGTCACCGTGCACTGATTTACAAACATAAAACAAACTCACGTGCAGGCGTCTTCCAAAAACCCAACCCAACCCCAAAAAATTCCCATTGTGATGGGCAAATGGTAACGGGGGCAGGACTGTGAAATCTGGAAGCCCCTAATCATGAACCAGCCCATGGGCGGTGGATACAGATTCAGTCGCTCTGACTCAAGTTGAGTAGCTCAGCAGCTGTATTCATGACTGAACTAGTCCTATTTAGGATCCATTCTGCTCACCCGAAAAGGGGGAGGGACTAGAAAAGGTGCCCTAAACATAGACTGCCTCCCATTTCCCCCTGACTGGATTACCATGCCCAATGGGGTTACAACCCAGCAGTCGTAAAAGACAGTCGAAATTTGATCATGGAATATACGGACTTTGTTGGATAACAGATAATGAGTGTCTTGAATGCAGTACTGCCATCATATTGCCATCCTTGCAAGAGAGTTGCGACGTTTTAACATGGATATTGCAGTGCTTCAAGAAACTTGAAGAGCAGGAGAGGGACAAGGAAGAAAAAGGAGGCTACACATTCTTTTGGAAAGGTCTACCTGAACAAGAACGTCAAATACATGGAATAGGCTTTGCTATCAAAAACGATCTTGTGAAGCTCTTGTCAGAAGTCCCTACCGGCATTAATGAGCGACTTTCAACCCTTCGAATAAAACTGGCCATATGCACCAACACTGGATGCCGATGAAGACATTAAAGAAAACAATTATTCTCAGCTGGATACCTTCCTATCAGAGATGCCTTTAGGAAGATAAAATTATCTTGGGTGATTTTAATGCAAGAGTTGGGCGAGATTTCGATCTGTGGCCTGGGACTATTGGGAAAGCAGGAATTGGCAACAGTAACCAGAACGGAATTTTACTTTTACTTTTGACTATATGTGCTATATTGTTCTTTCGACAAAAAAATAAATTTAAAACATCATGGAGGCATCTTTGGTCAAACCACTGGCACCTCTTTAGACTATGTAATTGTCTGAGCTGAAGATTGCTGTGATGTGTTCCTTACCAGAGCTATGGCGAGTGCTGACGATTGCTAGACAGATCACTGATTAATACGTACCACAATGGCTAAGCCCCAAGGAAGGAAACCAAGGTGCAAAATGAACACTCAAGCCGTTCAACATCTATTAAGTGGGATTGCTTCCAAACGTCTCTCAAGGACCATCTGTTTTCAGAATTCCCTGATAACATTGAGGAACACTGAACCAAGCTAAAAACATCCATTATTGCAGCCTGTAAACAAACTATTGGATACCAAACTAAGAAACACCAAGACTGATTTGATGAGAATGAGAGTGAGATTGAACACGTTATTGACAAGAAAAGGAAGCCCTTTCAGATCTGGCAAAGAGATAGAAACTGCGCCACTGAGAAAAAAACCTATGCCAACGCTAAGGCTGAGGTTCAAGGAAGAACCAGAGAACTAAAGAACACCTGGTGGATTTAAAAAAGGTAAAGAGATCCAGCGCTTAGCCGACACTCAGGATGCAGAGCTTCTTTAAAGCCACAAAGACCATCTATGGGCCAATAAATCATGGCATATGCCTTCTACACTCAACAGATGGTACCACACTTCTAAAAGATACAGAAGCTATTGCACTCCGCTGGAAAGAACATTACCAGCATCTTCTTAACTGCAACTCCCCAGTAGCTTCTGAGGTCCCCATACAAATTCTGCAAAAACAAATTAGAGATGAGCTTGCAGTATCTCCAAATCTGGGAGAGTTGTGCACAGCTATTAACCAAATGAAAAACAACAAAACCAGCAGACCTGATGGGATACCTGTTTCAAAGTGGGCAGAATTGAACTTGCACAACAACTTCACAAGCTCATCAAAAAAATCTGGGAGAGAGAGGAGATCTCGGCAGACGTTATGGATGCCAAAATTCTCAACCTTTTTAAAAAAGGTGATAGAATGGATTGCAGAAACTATTAAGGCATCTCTTTATTAGCTGTGGCCGGCAAAATTCTTGCAAGTCTCTTAGCAAACTATATCTGAGGCTGCCCGTCCTGAATCCAAAAATGGTTTTCGGCCTTCTAGGGGGACAGTCAGTGGACATGATTTTTTCATCGCTCAACAGCTTCAAGAAAAATTCAGAGAGCAAAACCAACCTCTGAATGTGTTGTTTATTGACCTGGCTAAGGCCTTTGACACTGTAAACCGTAATGCCCTGTAGACTGTCCTGAAAATCGGCTGCCCAGATAAATTTGTGAACATCCTTCGGCTCCTCCAGGATAATATAATGGCAACAATCGCAGATAACAGTGGCTCTCAAAGTGAACCATTCACAGTGGGATCAGGTGTTAAACAGGGTTGTGTTATCGCCCCAACGCTATTCATTATTTTCATTGCTATGATCTTACACTTTTTCGAAGGGAAACTCCCCACCGGAGTAGAAATCATATATTGAACAGATGGAAAGCTCTTTACTCTGAGCAGGCTGAAAACAAAGAGGAAGGTTACTGTAACTTCCGTCATACAGTTGTACCTTGGTTTTTGAACAGCTTAGTTCTTGAATGTTTTGGCTCCTGAGCACCACCAACCCGGAAGTGACTGTTTCGGTTTGTGAGCTATTTTTGGAAGCCGAACTCTGACGGGGCTTCCGCAGCTTCCTGAGCTTCCTGTAGCCAATCAGAAGCTGTGCTTTGGTTTCCATGCTTTGGTTCGACTTGCAAGGTACGACTGTACAACTTCAGTATGCTGATGACAATGTAGTGCGTGCACACTCAGAGGATGACCTCCAAACTATCCTAAATATCTTCGCAGAAGCTTACGAAAAGCTTGGCCTATCGTTCAGCATCCCAAAAACCAAAGTGCTGCACCAATAAACACAAAACAACCCCTCTGCGGTGCCACAAATCCAACTCAGTCGTGCAGTGTTGGAAAGTGTGGATCACTTCTCCTACCTGGACAGTTATTATGCTGAAATCCAGCATCACCTGAGCTCTGTGAGTGCAGCTTTCTCCTGATTGAAGTGCAGACGGGGACATTCAAAGGGAAACCAATATGCTTGTTTACAAAGCTATTCTACTACCAACCTTACTGTATGCTTGTGAAATATGGACCACTTATAAATGCCATCTCCAACTCCTTGAAAGATTCCATCAAAGGTGTCCCTGAAAATTTTTACATATCACTTGGGAAAACAGGTGAACAAATGCCAGTGTACCAGAAGAAGCAAAGATCACCAGTGTCAAAGCAATGATTCTTCAACATCAACTTCATTGGACTGGTCATGTTGTTTGGATGCCTGATTATCGTCTTCCAAAGCAACTACTCTATTCTGAACTTAAAAATGGAAAGCGTAATGCTGGTGGTCAACAAAAGAGGTTTAAAGGCTCTCTCAAGGCACATCTTAAAAAATGTAGTATAAACACTGACAGTTGGGAAACACAGGCCTGCAAGCTCGATGGAGAACAGCCTTTACCAAAGGTGTTGTAGACTTTGAAGACGCTCGAACTCAGGCGAAAGGGAGAAACGTGCTATGAGGAAGGCACATTTGGCAAACCCTCACCATAATCAACTCCTGCCTGGAAACCTATGTCCCCACTGTGGAAGGACGTGTGGATCCAGAGTTGGCCTCCACAGTCACCTACGGACACACATAGTTAAAAGCGTTTTCATGGAAGACAATCTTACTTGGCTACGAGTGATTGCCAAAGAAGAAGAGCTTCTTAACATTTATATATTGGCAGGCAAACTACTTGAGTATCTATTATGTTTTCATTTTGTTAATTTGCTTTGGTTCATCTTTTCATCTTCAGTCATACACGTGTCATAATCAGTATGTTATTTTACAACAATTGTTACAGAATAGCCTGTATGCAAAATCAGAGTGAGTTATATAAGCCTGCTCTAGAGAATTGAAGCTTTTATTTTCTATCTTATACAATTTTAAACCCTATTTTCTATTCTCTTCTAAAATGTCTTTCTATTTAGTGGATTTTTTTTTAATGGGGTTACTGTAACTGTTATACCAGTGTACATACAGATGTTAAGTTCCTTTTAAATTCTTTTTTTAATACAAACTTTTTTTTTAGTTCCAGAACTTGTACAAAAGCCTCATGAAGGCCCTGGAGAAATGGGGAAACCTGTTGTCATTCCTAAAGAGGACCAAGAAAAAATGAAGGAAATGTTTAAAATTAACCAGTTTAATTTAATGGCAAGTGAAAGGATTGCACTCAATAGATCTTTACCTGATGTCAGATTGGAAGGGTAAGTGCATTTACAGTGCTATAAAGGTATATTTAGTTTAAAGTGGACTCTTATTGAATTATCTTATATAAACATTAGTGTTGGAAAGAGCAGCATTGAAAAAGAGCCTCAGAATTTATTTATACTTTCTGTATTCTTCAGTGTGAATGACACTTTAGCACCAAATCAGTATATGAAGTATCTTAACACTGGAATATTTTCCAAATATGAAATTTTTGAGGGAAAATAAACACTTTTCCTTCTCTCAGTCAGACAGGAGGAGGACTAGAAGAATTTAGATTAGCTTCCTACAAACCTGACTTGTTTTTGCAGGCAGACCAGAGATCGTGTTTGAAAACAAACAGGTTAGTTTCTAAAAAGTTAGATTAAAGTTTATGAAGCTGGTTTGTGAAGCTGATGAGAGTTTGAGCTTTAAACTATCTCAGATTTGCATGTAACAACATAGTATGTTTTTTGGTGAGTGAAACTAAACTTCACACAAGTCATAGTCCTGGATATGTGAATGGAATAGGAGAAAGAGAAGAGCCTGAAGTGCACTTTGTACCTTCCTGCTTATGCCACTAGAGCATGGTTTAATAATAATAACAGCAACAACAATACCCCAACCACTGTGGGTAACTTCCAGCACATATAAAAACATAATAAAACATCAAATGTTAATAAATTCCTGATACAGGGCTGCCTTCAGATATCTTCTAAAAGATGTGTAATTCTTTATCTCATTGACATCTGATGGGAGCACGTTCCACAGATAGGGCACCACTGCCGAGAAGGCCCTCTGTCTGGTTCCCTGTAACTTCTCGCATTGAGGGAACCACCAGAAGGCCCTCAAGGCTGTACCTTAGTGTCTGGGCCAAAGTGATTTAGGGCTTTAAAGGTCAGCACCAACACTTTGAATAGTGCGTGAAAACATACTGGGAGCCAGTATAGAACTTTTATGACTGGCGTTACATGGTCCAATCAGCCACTCCCAGTCACCTGTCTGGCAGCAGCATTCTGGATTAGTTGTAGTTTCTGAATCACCTTTAAAGGTAGAGCACATTAGTCCAAGTGGGAGATAAATAGAGCATATACCGTATTTTTCGCCCTATAGGACGCACTTTTTCCCCTCCAAATTGAAGGGGAAATGTGTGTGCGTCCTATGGGGCGAATGCAGGCTTTCGCTGAAGCCTGGAGAGCGAGAGGGGTCGGTGCGCACCGGCCCCTCTCGCTCTCCAGGCTTCAGGAAGCTATCCGCAAGCTTTGCAAGCCCGGCGGGAGGTCCCGCGGGCTCGCAAGGCTTGCGGGCAGCAGCCTGCAGCCCACAAGCTCGGGGGATAGCGGGGAGGCGGAGCGCCGCCACCCCACTATTCCCGGACCTGGTCTGGAGGCTGGTGGGGGGGAGAAGCAAGCTTGCTTGACCCCCCGCCAGCCCCACAAGCTTGGGGGATAGCGGGGAGGCGGAGCGCCGCCACCCTGCTATTCCCGGGCCTGGTCTGGAGGCTGGCGGCGGGGAGAAGCAAGCTTGCTTCTCCCCCACCCCACCCGCCAGCCCCAGAAGCTCGGGGGATAGAGGGGAGGTGGAGCGCCGCCACCCCGCTATTCCCAGACCTGGTCTGGAGGCTGGTGGGGGGGGGAGAAGCAAGCAGATAGGGTCTCAACCAACATACCAGAAGGAGCTGGTAGATAGCCGCCCTGGACAAAGAATTAACCTGCGTCTGCATGGACAACTGTGTGTCCAAGATGACCCCAAGGGTACGTACCTGGTCCTTTAGGGGCACAGTTACCCCATTCAGGACCAGGGGGTCCCCCACACCTGCCCGCTCCCTGTCCCTCAGAAACAGTACTTCTGTCTTGTCGAGATGCAGCCTCAATACACTGACTGCCATCCATCCTACAACTACCTCCAGACACTCACACAGAATGTTCACTGGTTCCAATTTATATGAGAGGTTGAGCTGGGTATCATTCACATACTGGTGAACACCCAGCCCAAATCCCCTGATGATCTCTCCCAGTAGTTTCATACAGATGTTGAAAAGCATGGGGAGGTGAGTGCCCAGGGGTCCGAACACTCATCTCTCAACACCACTTTCTGGACATGCCCAGAAGGAGCAGTACCACTGCATAACAGTGCTCCCAATTCCCAGCCCCCCTATATAGTCCAGAAGGATACCATGGTCAATGGTATCAAAAGCTGCTGAGAGATCTAGTAGAACCAGGAAACAGTTTTCACCTTTTCCCTGGCCTGCGAGAAATCACCACCCAGTGTGACCATGGTGGGGTCTGAGTCCGAATTGGAAGCGATCCAAATGGTCTGCATGCCTGGAGTTGTTCACCGACCACCCACTCAATCACCTTGCCCAGGAATGGAAGATTTGAGACCGGGTGATAATTGGCCATAATGGCCGCCTCCAGTGATGGTTTTTTAAGAAGTGGTTCAATAACTACTTCCTTAGCTGGTCTGGAAATACCTTCGCACAGAGGGAAGCATTCACCACGCCATGGAGACCATTGTCCAGCCTTCCTGGCTTGCTTTTATGAGCCAGGATGGGCAGGGATCAAGGAGGCAGGTGGTCCGTTTCACTTGTGCAAGCAGCCTGTCCAGATCCTAGGAGGCAACAGGTTGAAATTGATCACATACAACTTGACTTGACAGAACACTCGCACTCTCCCACCCCAGCCCTGCTACCATGGTGGAGTCTACCTCTTTCTGAATCTGAACAAAGTTTATCTGCATTATTGTTGTTGTTATTATTTTGCAAAATCATCGCAGAACATCTTGGGATCCTCACCAGACCCCAATGGCAAAGGTAGACAGAGTCTCCTGGTACTATTTTCTGCAGATTTAATAGTGGCGTCAAAGAAGGTCCTCTTCGCCGTCACTATCGCCACTTAGTAGGCGATAGGTTAGAGCTCTAACCTGTGTTTGTTCTGATTCAGAAAGAGTTTTTCGCCACTGGTGCTCTAGCCATCTCAGCAATTGTTTCATCACCCTCAGCTCTGCAGGAAACCGTGGGTCCATCTGGGTTCCATGCAGTTGGAGAGGGCACTTTGGAGTCAGATAGTTGGTAGCCCTGGTTAACATTGCATTCCAGCAGGCCACAAGGGAATTGGCTGAAAGGCCATCAGCATGGGATAAGACACCCCATACCACTCTCTGGAAGCCATTTGGATCCATTAAGTGGCAGGGGTGGACCATTCAAATCAGTCCCACCTCCCTTGAGGGGAAAGGTCACTGAGATGTCTAGTTGTACCAGGAAGTGATCTGACTATGGCACTTCTTTGGTTTCACTGGAACTTAGTGTCAGATCACCCATGTCCATAGACATAAACACCAGGTCTAAGACATGTCCACAGCTATGTGTTGGGCCAAACGTATTCAGGGACAGTCCCATGGAAGCAATGCTTTCCACTATCCTGAGCAGCCCCTTGTAAAGTCGTGTTGGCATGGATGTTTAAATCCCGTAAGACCACCAGTCTGGTGTCCCGGGGAAGTCAGTACACCAATAGGAATCCTGTACTGCCCCTATTGCCCAACTTCCAGAACATGCGCTCAGAAAACTGAGTCTCCCCAATAGGAGGCCTGGCACAAGCTAATGACTTCCTAAAAATCACTGCCCCCTGCCTCCCTGCCCACATGACCTTGGTTGCAGAACAGGCTTGTCTGCCATGTCCAGCCAAGTGTCTGTTACACATGCCAGGTCAGTTCCTCCATCCACGATCAATTAATGGATGGCAGTGGTCTTGTGAATCATTGACATGGCATTGCACAGCAGCAGCTTAAGGTCATGGGGGTCACCCTTGTTGATACCTGTATCCTTCTGGTCAGGACCAGACCCAGAGGCAGGGATGGTCTTCAAACAATGACTAAACCTGCCGCCCCGGTAGTTACATGGTCTGGTCCTAGTGTAACTCCTTCTCCTACCTGTGATCGCTGAGATCGGGTGTCTGAATGCATTCCCTCTAGTAGAACCTGCCCCAGCCATTCTGTTGACTGGGGCCCAGCCCTGTCCTTTCCCCCTTAAAACAAAATAACATATACACCTAACTAATGTAAAAAGGTAAACTGAAAAAAAAAGCAAGTTAAAACAGTTAATTCCCAGGTTAGAACACTTTGAAACAACCCCCCACAAGTTGAAACTCTGTCCCCATTAAACAGTAAGTTTCCCACAGGGGCTGGCATAATTTAGGGTTATGATTCTTCTCCACATATATACACGTTTTCAAGACAAACACATCTCCTTTCTCTAGAATGTATGTATCTTCTTTATCTAAAATAATATAAATTCATCTACTTACTCTGACATCTGAAATCAAGAGTTGACATCCAGAAATTAACCATTATTTTCAGTGTCATACTAATTTCTTACTGTATAGGAACCATGAGTTATTGAAAGCTAACCGCAAGCATGCTAGCATACCACTTAAGTTCAAATATTCATTTCCTCTATCTCCCAAGTGCTATTCAAATAATGCTTTCTAATTTTCCTGCAGAACTGAGACTTACTCACTTCTTGATTTAAATCTTATTTAGTGGAATAAGGTTCCAGTAACTTACTTTTTAAAAACATCTTACCCATAAGCATGTCCTACAGCTCTTCCTGTATTGAAGAATCATAGGTGGAAGGAACTACAGGTGATCAAATTGCAATTTTTGTTTCTGTTTCTCATTTTCCCAAACTTCAGTTTATTTCTATATCAGTTTGCAAACTTTTTACAAACATTTCTATTGAAAACCTGTACACCTTTTTGTGTGCATTTTCCCCAATACACATTTTTGCAAGAAGTTTTTGCTAATGCAATTTTATACATTGTTTTCCCTAATCTCTGTATTTTTGTGCATTTTCCTGTGTTTTTTGTACACATTTTTACATTACATCTTTTTCATTGCAAAATTGAAAACTACAGATTCCAAAGTATGTTTCATTTTGTGGATTGTTTTGAGAAGTGCAAATTTGGTTGGTTTGCATTAAAATGCGAACTGAATGAATTTCCACATCAACTCTATTGTGTGGCACAGCCCAACCCTGTTGGAAGCTTCTATGAACTTTTATGCCAAGAGTGTTTTAACTAGATGTATCATGAAATTAGGTGGAGTCAAGCCTGAGCAGAATCCCAGATTGTTTTGCTTATAATTCTAGAAGTCTAGAAAAGTATCTTGTGATGTGTTCCTGCCTTGTCCATGAATGTTGCAAGTACCACAGTTTGTGTTTGAAGGACTATTTGCAGTAGGAAAGAGAACTCACATGTGCTGAGACTTCATCAGTTGTGTCTACTCATGAAGAGAACTATATTGATAGCCTATGAAGTATTGGTCCTGCTGCTAGTTAATATGTGGTATTGAATCACACTGCCACGATCTCTGCCATGCTGGTGATACAACAAATATTTTCAGCTATTTAGCCATGCAGGTTAAGGATGGCTAAACAAAAACTGTTTTCCTACATAAATACAATTTATAAAATATGTGTATTTGTGACTTCATCGTCTCTGGAGGGAATGATCTTGATCTGTTGCCAGTGTTGCTAAGAGTCAGTGTGCCTCAGCAATACCCTGCAACCAGGGAAGAGGCGAGAACAAGCAGGAACTGTCCAGCCCTCCCTTCTCATTAGAACAGATGGTAGACAGTCCTTGCTTCCTTTTTCAGGAATCCAACACATGGAACTTGCTTACATATGTTGAGTGTAATTGATGATGGAAAATTTTAGACCTTAGAAACTAGACGAGTAGGATTACATGCTGTTGGCTTAATAGCATATGCATATTTTATAGTAACTTGAAAATTGCAATCAAGTACATGGGTTCCCAAATTGTGGTCCTTGGACCACCTGTGGTCCACAAACTGCATTTGGGATGTTTGAAATATCATGCAATATATATAGCATAGCATACTACAATTGCTGCAGCAGGCAGAGAAATAATAAAGTGGTCTGCTAAGTCCATGAACAATTTTTAAATCTGTGGGGGAAAGTTTGGGAACCACTGATCTAGAACTCCACAAATAATCATTATGCACTTGCTGAAGCTCTGGTCATAATAAATCTTATATTAAAAACTTTGATACTGCATGAGAGTTAATGTTAGTAAAATGATATCTAGTGTGTTTGTTCCTGAGTTTGTTTTAGTAGTAGCAGAGAACGTATCACGTTGCGTATTCAGAAGAGTTCTAGATCTTTAATTATTTTCCACAATAGCTGTAGTACCTCAACCTTTTGTTTCAGTAAATAAGTTTTCAAGGTTTTGTTTTTAGGTACCAATTAATTTCATAGCTAAATTATTTTTATACTTTCCATGATGCTTTTAACAAAAAAGTAAGGGATTATATCCAGTGCTGTGCCAGTGGGTTGTGTTGATGCAATGTGACTTTGGGGGCACAGAGAAGGAGAGGAAATCAAAATTTGCTCCAGAGCATCCTCCAATCCTGAAACTGATTCTGAGGGTGTTTGGGAAGCTTGAGAGGAAGAGAAAGTTCCATTGGGCACATGGAAGTCCCTTGTGTTAGCAGAGCTGCAGTGTTGGATACAATGCAAGGTAATCACTTCAGCTTAGTCCTCAAGAACATGGAGTTCCTCTGTTTTCTGTATTGTGGAAAACAAAACAGTTGTATAAAAGTGATGTCCCTGCAAGTTGTTTGCATGGGGGAAAACCCTGTAGTAAAACTGTAGCATCCTCATCCGTTTAGGAAAAAGACAAGCAAAGCATTTTTAATATCTACTAAACAATAAGCACTAGAAAAAGAAAAGGAAGACAGTGGTTGACCATATAGCTAATTTGTAGTGATCTACCTTTGCAAGATGCCAAAAGCTTGTACCTCATTCCTGCGTATAATCAACAAATCCAGTCTTCAGCTGTTTGCAGTGGGAGTTTCTTTATCAAGTTGTAAGATCAAATCAGATTGAATGGAGATTTTACTGCCTGGATTGAGCTAATATATGCTGACCCAAATGCTTGCATCTTCATGAATGGAACAAGTTTTGACCCATTCCAAATGAATACAGGAACCCAATAAGGATGCACTTTGTCATGATTAGTTTTTGCATTGTCTGTAGACTCATTAGCGGAAGCTTTTAGACTAGATAGAACAATTAAGAGAGTAACAATAGGGAGAGAAGAATCAACATTAATCTTTATGCAAATAATGTAGCAGTGATTGATTGCAAGAGATCCAGAAAAAAATCATTTGAGATTGTACTTATGTTAATTAATGAATTTAGCATGGCATATGGATATAAGACTAATTCAACAAAATCTGAACATTGAATTTGTGAGGGCTTGAATATGAATAAACAGGTTAGAATAGCACCCTAAGTTTCCATAGAGAAACTTACTAATTAAATATCTGGGAATATATTAAAAATGCAAAATTTAGGAGATGTAGTAAGTATGCTTGCCCTTTCCAGCCACAGCAGTGTTGGGGGCCATTGCCACCCTCCCAACACAATCCAGTGGCAGGGTGCCTTTTGGCAGCAGTTGCTGGCCTTTGGAGGCTTGCAGCCTACCTTGACAGCCTTGGCTGTGGATACAAGGCTGCCCGCAAATTGGCCTATTGCAGGCAGGCTAGGGGGCTGCCCGAGACCGAGGGACAGGCCCAGCTGAGCCTGCAGGCTTTGCTTGGATCTGTTCCTGGAGTATATAAGAAGGGTTGCCCCTGCCCCTTGTCCACTTGTTGCCAGATCTCCCACCCCTCCTCTCCTTGTGTTCTGCTCTGTGCTTGACCTTGCTATGGACATCATCGGTCATTGTATTTGAGGCCGGGCAAGAATTTCCCATCCAGCAAATTGGCTATCTCCTAGTGGTTTTGCCTCCCTCGTAACAATCTTTACAACTTTGGCGGTTTAGACATTGGGTAAGTCTTGGTCAGAGGGGAGGTTGTAACCTTTGCATGCCCCTCTGAAGGAAAGGGATATCCTGTTAAAGGAAGCTGAATGGAGCTGCTTTGGTCCAGATTCCCAGGTGGGGGCTAGTGCCATAGCACTCCAGTCCCGTGGGGGGTGTGTGTTTCCTATTTAATGTAAGTCATAGGTCCTGCCCCCCTTCTGGATTGCTTTACTTCCTTGGCGTGCAAAGTATATTCGTGACAGATTAGTTGTGGAGATAAGAAAGAAATAGTCCATTGGACCCAAATGGAAATTTCATGGATGGGCAAAATAGTGGCTATTAAAATGTTGGTGCTTCCAGAGATGCTTTCGTTTAAATTTTCCATTAGGAATAAATTATAAAATAATTACTAGCTGGCAGTATTATGTTTGGGTTAAGAAAAAAGCTCAAAAGTTGTTGCAAAAATGATCAAATTTTAAGAATGGTAGACTAGCCTTCCCTTCTTTAAGTAAATAATATGTTGCACTTGTGCTTACAAATTTACCACAATGGGGCCACCCAGACAGATCTATCATATTAGAACAATTCATTGTTTCAGCAGAATTTTTTAAAAAGACTGACACTACACAAAATTTGATAAGGGTATTAAATTAAATCCATGCACCAAATCTTTATGAGATCTTTGAAGTATATATAAACATATATCAAGTCCAGAACTATCACTTCTCACAGAACTTTAACATAATGAAGAAATATAGGAAGATATTTTTTTGGGGGGGGGTATAATATTAATTTATGAAAGATTCATGGACATTTTGAACATAGAAAGTTATTTAAAGAGGGTACTGTTAAAACTTGCAATCAGATTGTTAATGATATACAACAAAATTATCCTCTCTTTTATCAATACTTGCAGTTTAGAAATATAGCCAATACCTTATTGGTAAGACATGGGCAGTTTAGAGAAAGGATAAAGGTAAAAAAAGGTAAAGGTACCCCTGCCCGTACGGGCCAGTCGTGTCCGACTCTAGGGTTGTGCGCTCATCTCACTTAAGAGGCCGGGAGCCAGCGCTGTCCGAAGACACTTCCGGGTCACGTGGCCAGCGTGACGAAGCTGCTCTGGCGAGCCAGCACCAGCACAGCACACGGAAACGCTGTTTACCTTCCCGCTATAAAGCGGTACCTATTTATCTACTTGCACTTAGGGGTGCTTTCGAACTGCTAGGTGGGCAGGAGCTGGGACCGAGCGACGGGAGCTCACCCCGCCGCGGGGATTCGAACCGCTGACCATATGATCGGCAAGTCCTAGGTTTTACCCACAGCGCCACCCGCGTCCCGCTAGAGAAAGGATAGAATTTGTAAATTTGATGAGAGGAAACTCATAAAATTTACTAAGCAAATTATACAAAATCATTAAGATTATTTATATAACACTTAATACAGGCAACCCCCAATTTGCCTGGGTGTTGCGTTCCTGGCACTCCCCGTGCATCGGGAGAGCATTCATAAGCCCATTTTGTTCTGTCCTTTTCTGGGTCCAAAATTATCTATGTGTTGGCTGCCGTGCGTCAATTGAACAGACGCTAAATGGTCTCTACCTGTACTTCTCAAAGTAAATGGTAGGGAGACGTGGGACATGAGATGTTACTGGGTCAGAGGAATTAGATTTGGCAAAATGTCCCTTATACAATCAGCTCAAGACCTAAAGCAAGTTTTTATACATTCGTCTTTTGTTTATTTAATACCATTATGACCCAGTCATATCTATGATGCAAGTAATTTATATTGGAGATGTAAGGCAGCTGATGCTGGAATGTTAAGTACTGTATTTTTCCGTATATAAGATGCCCCCATGTATAAGACGACCCCTATTTTTTAAAAAACTCAAAATTAAGGAATTAAGTTGTTTAGCTTTTTTGGGGGGTGGGGGAGGTCACTTCCGCCAATTGCTCACTCACCTGCCTGCCACTGCTGATCGCTTGCCACAGCCACTGCCGATCGCACATCTTGTCACAGCTGCCAATTGTCTGCCCACTCACTGCCACCAACAGCCCACCCACCCACCTGCCACGGCTGCCAATTGCCTTCCCACCTCGCCACAGCCACCAGTCACCTGTCCAATTACCATAGCCACAGCTAATCGCCAACAGGCCTTGTTGCAGCCACTAATCACCTGCCCAGTTGCTGCTGCCATTAATCACACATCTCCCCTCTGCATTCACTATCCGTGTATAAGACGACACCCAATTTTTGCCTATTTTTTAAGCAAAAAGCACCGTCTTATACACGGACAAATACGGTGTATTTTGGACTTGCTCTAAGATTGTGAAATCTTCAGCTGGCATAGTAAAAGTTATTGAAGTGATAATAGTGTCTGCCAATGGATCCTTTAATTATTTGGGCTAACAAAGCATCAAATATTATTGGAAGTAGGGAATTCAGAGTTTATTGACAGTTGCTAGACAGATCATCTGTTGTATTTGGGAAAAAGTGAGCACTGGAGGAAAAATTATGGGATATTCTGAATATGGTTTAATTGATAAATATTGGAAGAGTCAAAGAAGGAAGACAATCTGATCTCTTTGTGGAAAAATTGAGTGCATTTATTGGTTAGTAGTATAATAAGGTACAAGAGAATGCAAATCCAATTAGATGATTGGGCATGCTATGAGCCAGTTTCAACAAGACTAAAAATTGTATATCCATGATGGTGTATTTTTATGTATATTCTATTTTTATCTTTGCTTTTACACTGTGTGTGTGTGATATTCTTGGTGTATCTTTGAAGTAAAGGGTACAGCAAGAAAGGTAAGATTTATTTTTAAAAACTTGTATTTCCCCCCTTACCTTCATGGATTACTGTGGCATTGCTACCCTTGTCCAGGTACAGCTGTAGCTAGCAAACTAGCCAAAGTTGAAAATAGGTCACTAACACTACTTGGGGAATCAGTGACAATACTGAATCAAGTACAGTGGTACCTCGGGTTAAGAACTTAATTCGTTCTGGAGGTCTGTTCTTAACCTGAAACTGTTCTTAACCTGAAGCACCACTTTAGCTAATGGGACCTCCTGCTGCCGCTGCGCCGCCGCTGCATGATTTCTGTTCTCATCCTGAAGCAAAGTTCTTAACCTGAGATAATATTTCTGGGTTAGCGGAGTCTATAACATGAAGCGTATGTAACCCAGGGTACCACTGTACCCAAGTTATGTACATGTTCCTTCAAGGAGATTGCGACACTTTCCAAAACTGGCTGTCTACCCAATTCTTACACCCCAAATTTCTCACCCACAGCAACACCATCCTGTCATGATTCAGCCTCAGTTTCTCACAGAACTCTGCCCAAGGGACTTCATGCCATTTGTAGACCAGGCAGAATTCAATTTGCACATTTCTATGCTTCAGTTTCAGCTGCTTTCCCCATTTTGTGTGTGATATGAAGCAATTCAAGGCTTCATCTCTTTGTCTTGCCCTCTTCTTCTGGGACTTGTACAAAGCTGACTGCAGCCCTAGTTGTGTGCCTAGGAACCAAGAGGCTCCATGCATATTCATAGTTGGGCATTTTTCTGGTTAGAGCTCCAGTGAAGGTCAAGGGAATTAAGGACACTGCTTTCAATTGTCTAGTCTGCCATGGTTTCCTCATCAAGTAAAAAAATTTGCTGCTTCATGTTTTGACTACTACACAGTTTTAAAAGAATCAGCTTTCTACTGCAGTGGAGAATGATAATATATTTAGTATTCAGACAGACTGGCTCAACTGCCAGAAGAAAGATTGGAAGAATGGACTCCACCAAGAGGTTTTCAGGGTGATCATAAACAGATGGGGTGCTTGAGTAAACAACCAGGTTTTAAGAACCAGAAGTGCCTGATGCTTTATTGGTTCTGTGGTCAAAAGGGCTGCTTGTTTTCTTTCCCCTGTTTTCCAAGTGTCCTCCTTAAGGTGAGAACACTGGGGATGGAGGTGATTCTGTTGGCTTCACGATAGCCACAGAGACCTTGGTGTTCAGATCTTGCAGAGCTGGAAAGAGGTTGCTCCTCTGCAGTGATACAGATATGTTGGCCTTACTTTGTGCATCCACAAGTAAGGTTCTCCAACACTAGCACAAATGGCAACCAGTTATTCCCTCCTTTGCTTCTATCATAGATGGCTTTTATCTAGGGTGTCTTAGATCAAGGGCTCTGACCCAAGTCTTAAAAGGCATGTCAGACATCTTTATAAGCAGCACTCATGGCAGTTGCTCAACATTCCATATATGCTTGGCTCAAAAAATTTGGCAACCCCTATTGTAGGAGGGCAGGCAGACCATCCTTGAGTTCAGTTCCAGTGAGTACAAGGTTCATAGCCAGAGTAGATCAAGGTTTCCATAAGAAACCCCTCTGTTCTGCCTTCTGACACCTTACTTTATTCCATCTCCTAATTCCCTGATTGGCTATTTGCTCCTGCTTTAGTAATTGTCCTTTGTGTCCAGGGCTTTTTTTCAGCTGGAACATCACCATAACTTAGCTCTGGCACCTCTCCAGTGGGCGCCATTGCCATTATAAGAGAACAAGGGATGTGTTTATGGTGACTTCCAGCACCTCTTTTTCTAGAAAAATGGCACTGTTTTGTGCCTCATGTTGCTGGAGGATACTGAAGTAAAAGCCTTGACTCTGAGAGTGTTCTTTCTACATAGGTCACAAAGTCTTTGACTCTGCCTTTTAAAGTATTTTTATATTGTTTGGGTGTTATATATTTTGTATTATGAATTGCAGGCGTTTATTTGATGTAAACTTATGTGAGTAATAGGAACCAATTAGAAAGGCAGGATAAATGCTGCCTGGTCTATAAACACAAACAGTAAGGAACTTCATGGTAAGTTCAACTTTTCCGATTCCAGTATTGCTGGATCAGGTGCATACAAAGCACTGTGAATGGAATTTTGTCAGCCTAATTTAACAGCTGGGGCTATAAGTGCATAGGCTTATCAAATAAGTGGCAGTCAATGAAATCAACTATTGCAGGAGGCAACCCTCCACTCCCCCTTCTCACAAATCATGGCAAGCAAGGTATTTCTGAGCCCAATTCTAGTGCTGGTTTTCATCTTTTATAAACTCCTAATTGTTTGGGTCTTGATTATCTCAGAATAACTGCTCCTTCTGACCTGTTGCCCCCAAAGATGGGGACAGGCTGCTTGCTAGTGTAACCAGTGAAACATGCCACTTGTCTTCTTGACACTTGCCTGTCCTGGTTCATAATAGTGAGCAAGACAGGGCTGGGCAATGGGATGTGTGTGTGTGTGGGGGGGTGTTAATTCCTCCCTCTATAAGAGAGTCTTCCCAGAACCCCTTAAAGAGCCGGTTATTAAAACACTTCTTTTAAAAAGCCATTTATGGACCTGGCCACTATAGCCAGTCATCACCCAGTCTCAAATCTTCCATTCCTGGGCAAGGTGATTGAGCGAGTGGTTGTGGAATAATTCCAAGCATGTCTGGAGGATGAAGCCCATTTGGACCCCACCCTGGGACTGAAATTGCCCTGGTCACACTGGTTGATGATCTCTTGCAGGCCAGGGAAAGAGGTGAAAACTTTCCTGGTTCTGCTGGATCTCTCAGCAACTATTGACACCATTGGCCATGGTATCCTTCTGGACCATATAGGTCTAGTGGTACTGCTCCTTCTGGGCCGTATCCAGAAAGTGATGTTGGGAGATGAGTGTTCGGACCCCTGGGCACTTACCTCCCCATGCTTTTCAACATCTGTATGAAACTACTGGGAGAGATCATCAGGGGATTTGAGCTGGGTGTTCACCAGTATGTGAATGATACCCAGCTCTACCTCTCATAACTGAAGGCAGTGAACATCCTGTGTGAGTGTCTGGAGGTAGTTGTAGGATGGATGGCAGTCAGTGGATTGAGGCTTCATCTCGACAAGACAGAAGTACTGTTTCTGAGGGACAGGGAGCGGGCAGCTTTGTTCTGCATGATGTTTTTATCTGATCTGCAAGCCTTTCCAATCTCAACTCAGACTGAATCTAGGTAAAAAGGATCATCTCACCTACAAAAGGGGCAGAATCTACCAAGAGATGAAAGATGATTCAGGTGAAGGGAGAGATTCAGGCATCTTTTGAAAAGATACAAAAGTACTAATTATCTCCCATGTTCAGTGGGTGGTGTGGGGGACTCCATGGTCCTGAATGGGGTAACTGTGGCATTGTAGGACCAGGAGAGCACCCTGGGAGTCATTTTGGACTCACAGCTGCCCATGGAGGCACAGGTCAATTCTGTGTCCAGGGCAGGTATCTACCAGCCCCATCTGGCATGTTGGCTGAGACCCTATCTGCCGGTGCCCTGTCTCACCAGAGTGGTATATGCTCTAGTTATCTCCCACTTGAACTACTGCAATGTGCTCTACCTTTGAAAGTGACTCAGAATCTACAACTAATCCAGAATGCTGCTGCCAGACAGGTGACTGGGAGTGGCTGCTGGGACCATGTAACACCGGTCATGAAAGATCTACACTGGCTCCCAGTATGTTTCCGAGCACTATTTAAAGTGTAGGTGCTGACCTTTAAAGCCCTAAATGGCTTTGGCCCTGCATACCTGAAGGAGCATCTTCTGGAGACATCTGAAGGCAGCCCTGTATCAGGAAGTTTTTAATATCTGATGTGTGTTTGTATTTGTAAATTCTGTTGGAAGCCATCTAGAGTAGCTGCGGTGGCCTAGTCAGATGGGCAGGGTACAAAATAAATCACCATCATCTACTAACAAAGCTGTGCTAAAGATCACATGTGAAGGCTTGATTAATCTTTGCAAGAAATGGCGCCTTCTCTGTTGCTGACCTGGTATGTTTTTATATCCACCCTTAGATTTGTATGACTATCTTTTCTTTCTTTCTTGAGGCAGGTTAAAAGCTTTTCTTTTCTGTTCCTCCTTTGGTAGTTGAATTGTTTGATTCTGCTGTTCATATCTGATAGGTTTTTTTGTTCTTTGGTTTATATTTTCATTTTAAAGTTGAAAAGCAGTACAAAAAGTTATGAAAATCACCTGCTCAGCAACACTTGTCACTTGAGTGCTGCCCATACTCTTAGATCAGGGTATGTAAAACTCGCTTGGAGACACATCTTGTTTTTAACTTGTGCGTGGATATACAACTCTATTTTGGACTTTTCACATACATTAAATTAGTTATGTATGGATTGTATTTTTATTTAGATGTATGAACAAGGTCTTGCATCTTGATTAATACCCATTATGTTTCTAAGACTGTCTACCTACTGAGCATATGTGCCTTTAAAAAGTTAATTGCTATTGTGAAACAATGGAATGAACTATTTTTTTGTAATTAGCATAATTATTAAGCACGTTGATCTGATCTAGTAAAAGTAATGTTTTGAAAATACTTTGACGAAGTATTTTTTTGTCTGGTCTAATGTGCACATCTAGTCCTTAACTTTAAATCTTGATTTCTTGCATTCAGAGCTATTTAATTTAATTTGGAATTCCATGTAAAAAATGAAGAATATTATCCCACTAGTGATTATGTAATATATTTTCAGTTGTATGAATTGGGTGATCTTTTGGAAGTTTTCTGAAGTCTCAACAGTGGAAAAGGTTTTGATGGATGGTTTTGATCTTTGGATGCCAGATTTTGTCTTGTCCACAACCCCAAAGTTGAATGCATCTGTGGCTTGAGGTTTATTCCATTGGTAGGGTGTTATCCTCTCCCCAGTCTTGATGTGCATTCATTCAAAAATTCATGCTTATTTCTCTTGTGTGCTCTCTTTTCCATGACTACTGTATGCTTTTAGATAATATTTTAGGTAATTCTGGGAAAGGTAAAGCAGCTTTAACACCAAAAGTGTCCATTTTGGCCCACAATAAAAATTCAAAAATTCATTAGGGCAATAGCTTTACGAGACCAACCAAAATGTCATAAAGTGTGTACTTTGATAACCTCTGTGGAGGTAATGTATTAGTAAGAAGGATGATAGGAACATCACCTCCAATGTTTAGAGTTATGGTTGCTCAAGACCCTCACAAGGTTCGGCTTTGAACTAGATTTTTAGTAGGTTTCACAATAAGGAGTGCTATTTTTCTAGAAAAAGAGGTGCCGGAACTCATCATGAATGCCTGCCTTGTTCTCTTACAATGACAATGGCGCCTACTTGAGACGTGTCGGAACTGAGTTCCAGTGAGTTCTGGCTGAAAAAAAGCCCTGACAATAAAATCAGCCTCCAACATTCCTAGTTGATCGCAAGCAAAGGAGGTGCTAATACGTCAGTCCACTGTGCTTCTTGTTCTTTCTAGGAACTTCTGTCCTAGAGGAGAATTGGAGACTCTTAAGAGTTGCTTCTCTTAAATACACAGCAATACTCCATGTTTGGAGCCCATGACAGAATTGACCTAGGATTTTCTTTAGGCACTTACATTTTAAAAGTGGATTTTCCTGGAAAAAAAACAGAAGTCTAAATCTTTTTTATTTTTCTTCTCAAAAGTAACTAACTTTACATATCCTAGATTTGTAACATCTTTTACTAATACATACAGTCTGGTATTTCAGCCTTCATCTAGTTAACATGTAAAATAATTTTATATGGCAAAGAACAGAATTTTAAGTTTTTCACCAGAAAGCTCTCTTGGGGGGCAGCTGGCTTATGCCATAAGCACCAGAAAATCTTCAGAACTTTCTTTATATGAATTCTGCTTGAATCTCTAACCACAATGGTTTTAAGGACCATTTTGGATTTTGTTTCTAGGGTCTAAAGAAGATTTCTACTTGAATCATGAGATATTGCAACTTTCTTATATCAGAAGAGAGGAAAATTTCATTCTCTTGATGTCAGGTAAATTATGAAATAACTGTTAAGGTCAGACTTGAACTTGACTACAAACCAGTGTGTGGATGCTGAAAAGATTTAGTATACATAGGCTACTAGATGGAGTAGTGTCTCTTGGAGACTTAACACACAAATTCCTATCGATTTTCATAAAAGTATTGCTGTTTAGCCCTGCTGTTTCTTCAGGAAATGTTCCGCTATGCATTTGTCTTGTGCCTGTTTTCCGAACCATTGGCAATTAAGTTCATTGTTATCATCCTGCCTGTTGGGTTGGATTACAAAACAGGCGTTCAAGCTTGATATATCCTGTATGGAACAAAATCTCGCTTCATGTCTTTTAGATGCAGTCCTGTGCCCATTTATATGGGATAATGTCTCACTTACTTTATTGTGACTTATTTTGAGTAGATACGTATTAACAAGGGTGCCAACTTGAATGAAATATTGTGGGGGCCCAGGTAAGCCCCACCCCACAATCGATCACATGACATGACACACTAACAACATTTGAATAGCAATGCCCATCAACCTTGGGGGGCCCTGGCCCCTTCAAATATTTTATTTGTGGGCCAAAGCCCACTTGGCCCCTAGGAGTTGCCTCCTATGATGTATATAAGATTGTGCTGTACATCTATAAAACATACCTTGGGGAGTGTGTGTGTGTGTGTGTGTGTATGTGTGATGTATTTCCTGCAGTACTTTTTCCATTTGTGGCATTTTTGAACTATTTTGAACCAGTGACATGCTTGGCCTCGTCTGAGGGTTGCCTAGAATTATTAGCAGTTTTGACCAGTTCTGCTTCCGATAATCCATGGTAATCACAATTGATGAACTTTACCTGTTTGTGGCTACATAGAATGTAATCAGTTGAGTATTGGTTGATTAGCCACTAGGGTATCTTTAGACTTGAAATGTCTTATTGGACTGTCTAATTGGATGTCAGTGGTCCTTTGTTAACCTTATTCTGCTGTTAACATAGAGCCAGCTCAAGACCCTGGGTCTTTGAAGACTGCTGTAGAATATTTTATTGTGTTTTAGGTGATCTACATAGACATTTCCTCCTAGATTAAGAATCTTATACAGTGGTACCTTGGTTCTCGAACTGAATCCATTCTGGGAGTCCGTTCGACTCCTGGAACCATTTGAAAACCAAGGCGCGGCTTCTGATTGGCTGCAGGAGCTTCCTGCACTCAAGCGGAAGCTGCGTTGGATGTTGAGCTTCCAAAAAACCTTCGCAAAACGGAACACTTACTTTCGGGTTTGCGGTGTTCGGGAGCCGATTTTTTCAGCAACTAAGCCGTTCCGGAATCAAGGTTTGACTGTACCTCTGCTTCACAGCTAGGTGGCTTTAAATATATTTTATAACTATGATTTGGGACGCGGGTGGCGCTGTGGGTAAAACCTCAGTGCCTAGGACTTGCTGATCGTAAGGTCGGCGGTTCGAATCCCCGCGGCGGGGTGAGCTCCCGTCGTTCGGTCCCAGCTCCTGCCCACCTAGCAGTTCGAAAGCACCCCTAAGTGCAAGTAGATAAATAGGTACCGCTTTATAGCGGGAAGGTAAACGGCATTTCTGTGTGCAGCACTGGTGCTGGCTCGGCAGTTGCAGCTTCGTCACACTGGCCATGTGACCCGGAAGTGTCTTTGGACGGCGCCGCCTCTCGGCCTCTTGAGCGAGATGAGCGCGCAACCCTAGAGTCGGTAACGACTGGCCCGTATGGGCAGGGGTACCTTTACCTTTACCTTTATAACTATGATAATAAAGCAGGTTAGTGTTGCTGCAGGCACTAAAGGAGCTTCAGAAGTTTTCTCATACAGCCAAAAGAGCCTGCTGTATGGAAGCCCTTTTCCATGTCTCAACATTACTTGTGACTTGGAATTTCAATGGTTCTCATGAATATCCTATCAAATCTGTTTTTGTAAAGGTCTGTCTTGGTCAGCCAGGCAGCAGCTTCATTTGTCTTGCCTTGCTGTTGGGAGGGGATTTCAACTTCTGTGTGTGTAGCTACCATGCGTTGTATATTTTAATCTATTCAATATTTTTTGGCTAATAGGATGCATTCCCACATTTACCTTAGTCAATAGAAACAATAGGCAAAGTATCAAAATATCAAGGACTGCCTTTCATGCTTTGACATATTGTAATCTATTCTGCTTTACCAGTTCTCAATCCTGACTCAATCAGTTCTTCACTTCTAGCAGAAAAAACAGAAAAAAACACAGCTCTCTGCTTGATGCACAGATTCACCAATTTCCTTTTCTTGTGGGGAGTTTGAAAATACCCTTTCCTTTGAGTTTCTATCCAAATTTGAAGGCTGCTTACCTTTCCTACTGAAATTGTGGCTTTCTTTTTAATAATAACTGTAAGTAACAGAACTTTGAAATAAGTGTCAGTATGTCTTAAAGCAGGGCAACTAGTGTAGTACTCAATTCCTTTAATTTTAAACCATTTTGTTACTAGTTTGCTACTTTAATAGAATATTCCATATTCCTAAATATACTGAAAAGATTACATTCTAACTGTTGGTGATAGCTTCTCTTTATTAGATTGTAAGTTTTTTTCCACTTGAATGAGAACGTCCTCTCCTTTCCGAGTTGTCAAAGCTACTTGATGTTTTGTGACATGTAAGTTAGTTTAACTGGTTAAAAGCCAAACAGTTTAATATTCCTTGTAAGGAGCTTCCAGGCTCACTAACAAAAAGACTTTCTTGTTAGCAAACAAATTGTGATCCTCTTTTGCATTTGATGGATACTGGGGTTTTTGAGGTGCACCTCCCTACCAGGGGGAACTGTTGTCTCATGAGACTGGGAGAATAGGCTTCTAGGATAAGTAGTACATTTGAAACTGGACAGGAAGGAAGCTGTTTGCATATTCTTGGGGTCTTACACTGTTTTCATAGGAGTAATAGGAGCGGCTATATTCCATGCTAATGGAGGAGACCTGAGGTGCATTTGCTGCTTTCTTGTGTGGGGTATCTAAAACTCAGCTTAATATACCTTCATAGAGAAAAAGGAGAACCTTTTGGATCAAGGCACTAAGAATGTACTTAGTGTGGCAGACGAATACAGTTCTTTAGAAATACCAGCATCCTGAAAGCACTTCTCTAGGATGGGGTAGCATTACAGATATTGGGAAACCCCATTGTTAGAATAACATTTGAGATACTGGTCTGCCTCCTTCAAGACTGTTTCTGCCTCTTGTGTATGTAGAGCTTGATCCAGTACTTTGCAAGTTGTAGTTCTGTTCTGATTAGCTGTTATTGGGCCAGAGTTTCTGATACGATGGTTCACTCAGTGCTTGGAGCATTGATGGTGGCGAGGTCACCAATGGCATCTTCAGCTAGTCTCTGATTAATTATAAAGGATTACTCTTTGCAATCTTTAACCATAACCTGGAAATCCTCTTCATGTGTAAGAACTATTTTAATTGAGCAGTAGACCTGTCAGGAAATTCATTCTGCATCCAGACATTCTGTTCTGCATGAAGCATGTTTCACACAGCTAATTGTACCCATAATTTTCTTGTTCATTCATTGATGACCTATGAAAGTTAATGCTATTACCAGCCTTCTTGCTTCAGTGTTTCAGTTGAAGTAGTCAATTGAAATGGCTAGTGTAGCATGGGTCAAAGGGCATTTTTACAGGTGAGTTCTGAATGCATCAGTGAACAAGGGCCTATTTGCAAAAAGCTTGGGGAAAGGGCCTTTTCAGGGATGACAACCCATTGATGAAACACTGTCCCCAGGGAAGTTCTCCTTGTCCCTACCTTATATTTTTTAATATAAAGAGAATATTAGAGAATATTTTTTTTATTCAAATGTAATAATAAAGGGTTCATTTATTACTGCTTTGCTTTATTTGTGTTTTGTCTTAGGTGTAAGACAAAAGTATATCCAGATAACCTTCCTACAACAAGTGTTGTAATTGTCTTTCACAATGAAGCTTGGAGTACTCTCTTGCGAACTGTACATAGTGTCATCAACCGGTCACCGCGACACATGCTGGAAGAAATTATTCTGGTAGATGATGCTAGTGAAAGAGGTAAGATTGCATAAGGTGCAGTTTGGGCATATTGCATGAATTCAAAAAACTGAGTAGCAAACAAAAATGAAATGCCGGTTGCTGATATGCCTGTAGTTACTGGACAGATTAGAGCAGTTTTCATCAGGTGAAAATGAAATGCCTGTTTTGATAGGTAGAGTGTAAATATTTATATTTGAGAAAGCCTTCTTTAAGTCAGATGCATCTGGTAGAGGAATTGATTCAAGTTATAGATAGCAATGGGGAAGTGCGGTGTTGCAGAACACTTTGTGCATAACTTTGCAGGTCTGCAAACCCCATTTTGGCTGGGCCAGGCCTTTTTTACTTTCCCTAAACCTGACATCATATATGATTATTTAAGAGAAATGCAGTATTCACACTTTTAAAAAATCAATTTTAAAAAGCAACCTGAATCTTTTAGGTGGTTTTGTAATCGGTATTAGAAACTGGGATAGAAAAGCTAGGAGCGAAATGGCTTCTGGAACTTGGGTTGTAGGCGCCAAAACAAGAATGTCTAGTTGCCACTTTGGGGTGGGGCAGCAATGCTTTCTATTTATTATTTTAATAAGCATGAGCTAATATACAATTCTCATAAGTGAAATATTGTTAATATCACATTTTTAACAGAAATTGTTAATACATGTTTAATTTGGTGTTTACCATAACAATATTGGTACCATACTTCATTTTTCAAAACACTCTACTCTTTATTGTTAAACTCCTTAACATATTGTCTATCCTTAACATATACTTTGAAGCTTCAAAGCACATGCATTTCAGTAATCCTTGAGTGTCAGCCAGGCACAAAAAGTGGCACCTAGACTTTTTGAGGTGCTGACAAATGGAGAATCTTTAGGCACAAAATGCGCCTGGTGCCCTGCTAATTTTGAACCCTGTTTGTAATCGTCAGTTTTTTACTTACCATAGCCCTTATATAAACTTGTATAGCAAGTATATAGCATAATATATAATCCATGCTTCTCTGTGCTAAAAACATTATCCATACAGGTACATAACATTCACTCTTTTGAATTTAATGAATTCATTAAAGCTACCCACTGGAAGCAGTCCAGACTTCACAGACTGCATATGTTGAAATAGAGATTACTCTATGCCAGGGTAAAGTAAATCACACTCCTCAAATAACCTAGGGTGCCCTTAATGCTCAAACATGCATGAAATGAATATTCATTAAATAGTGCTTGCTTAATCTCTAAATCACTTTTTAGTTGGATTTTGCCGTATTGATAAGTACAGTGCATCCACATTCTGTTTTTCCTTTGGAATGGTGCTGAACCTGCTTCTTAAGAGAATTATTTTGCCTTTATGTAGAATTATTATTATTATGGATTTCTTCATTGAAGCAGTGTTGGAATAAAAAGCTGTTATGTGAGCTTTGCTTTTAAGAGTTTTATAAACGTAAAACCTGGTAAAGGACCCCTGACAGTTAAGTCCAGTCGCAAATGATTGTGGTGTTGCGGCGCTCATCACGCTTTACTGGCCAAGGGAGCCAACGTTTGTCCGCAGACAGTTTTTCTGGGTCATGTGGCCAGCATGACTAAGCCGCTTCTGGTGAAACCAGAGCAGCGCATGAAAACGCCGTTTACCTTCCCGCCAGAGCAGTACCTATTTATCTACTTGCACTTTGGCGTGCTTTCAAACTGCTAGGTTGGCAGGAGCAGGGACCAAGCAACAGGAGCTCACCCCATCACGGGGATTTGAACCTCTGACCTTCTGATCAGCTCAATGGTTTAGACCACAGTGCCACCCGTGTCCCTAAGAGTTTTATAGTACTTAAGTAAACTGTGTATAGTACTGTGTATAGTATAGTACTCTGAAACCATGTATACCTGACTCTTCAAGTTGTACATAGCTGCATAGTACTATATTAATGTTTTCCTTGATGGTGCTTCTGTGACTCACATGGAACTTTGTTTAAAATAAATTGGGTTTGAAGTTTATCAAACTGAAGGATGCAGGCAGAAAATGCAACCTCTGTTTACATGCTGGTTAAATACTCTGTAAGTAAGAAATTAGGCTTCTACAAAGATTTCCTAATCTGGAGAGAGTGGGTTTCAAATTTTAGCATCAGTTGGCTGAACTGAATAAAGCAAACATTCAGCTTTACCTTTGTATCTGCTGCTGCCATATTCCCAGTAGATTTGCATAATATTTCACTTTTGCACTGGAAAAAGAAACATCAAGAATACAATACTTACTCCTTGCATAATTTAAAAGTGCTAATTTTTCATTTAGAAGAAAAATTGTGGATAAATACCGATTAGTTGTTTTGCTTACATGTGGAAAAAGTCACCGTCCTGAACCAGAAAAAGAGAGTTTTAATCTTCCATTAAAATCTGCAATTTGGAGCATAATGTGTGTGTCCTGGTTCTGTTATTGCAGAGTATTCATAGTATATTCAGTCTTAAATTTAGTGTTGATATCTGGATTGTTCTGCCCCCTTTTGACTATTCTTGTTGAGAGTTCATTTAGACATAAGCCATTTTAAGAGTTCTTACTAAAATTATGAGTGTACATGTAGCTTGAATGCTACATTTATTTTATCTTTCGCTTGCCATACTTTTTAGAGTTCTTGAAGAGACCCTTGGAGAACTATGTGAAGAAATTGCGAGTACCAGTTTATGTGATTCGAATGGAGCAGCGTTCTGGACTGATCAGAGCCAGATTGAAAGGAGCTGCTGCTTCTAAAGGCCAAGTCATCACCTTTTTAGATGCTCATTGTGAATGTACAGTAGGATGGCTGGAGCCACTGCTAGCACGGATAAAATTAGACAGGTGCTTATTTTATAAAACATGTTAAAGGTTAATACTGACTAATGCAGCTAATCTGTTTTTTTAAGCGTGACTCATCCTTGGACATAGTGGGTAAACTTCATTAATCCTTAGAATATAAGAAATTTGTAGTAGAAGAATATTTGCACAAAGGATTAATTAAAGAGCAGTGACAGACCTTGGTAATCTTCAAATGCAGTATGGATGTATTGCAGATACAGTGGTACCTCAGTTTACGAACGTAATCCATTCCGGAAGTCCGTTCTTAAACCAAAGCCGTTCTTAAACCAAGGCACGCTTTCCCTAATGAGGCCTCCCACCGCCGGTGCCCTTCCACCATTCGGATTCCGTTCTTAGACTGAGGTAAAGTTATTAAACCAACACACTATTTCTGGTTTTGTGGAGTTTGTAAACCAAATCGTTCTTAAACTGGACTGTTCTTAAACCGAGGTACCACTGTACAACTATATTTATAATTAATAACTGTGACACCTCAGATATCCTGCCATAGCCTGTTACTATTGTTTTCTGTGTTATGCTCATGCCTTGCAGCATGTTTCTCCGGAAATCAAGCAACCTGTTCTCTGAGGTACATAGGAACCTACCATTCTGCCAAGTTAAACCTTTGTTTCATTTAAGGATTTTCCTGCCCTAACTGCTAGCCCATCTGGCTCTGAATACAAATACCTTGTTTAGAGAGGTAACACTTTTGAATGTGGTTAATGTGAGCTTCAGTCTACTATCCTGCATTATTTAATTTCTAAGATTTCTTCTTTCTTCTTTTTATTTTTTCCCAATTTCCAATTTTACAATAATTGATACCTCATCACACATACATACATCATAGTTTGACTTCCCTCCCCCCTTTCTGTGGTTTCTTCTATTTTCACTTTTGATTTATGCACCTCCCCCTATAACTCCTTATACAGTGGTGCCTTGCAAGACGAAATTAATCCGTTCCGCGAGTCTCTTCGTCTAGCGGTTTTTTCGTCTTGCGAAGCAACCCTATTAGCGGCTTAGCGGATTAGCGCTATTAGCGGTTTAGCGGCTATTAAAGGCTTAGCGGCTTAGCTGCTACAAGGCTAGTAAAGGCTTAGCGGCATAGAACAAGGGGGGGGAAAGCGGAACAAAAATCTCAAGACTCACAAGACATTTTCGTCTTGCGAAGCAAGCCCATAGGAAATTCGTCCTGCGAAGCAACTCAAAAACGGAAAACCCTTTCGTCTAGCGGGTTTTCCGTCTTGCGAGGCATTCGTCTTGCGGGGCACCACTGTAATTGTTACTCTCAACTTTGAAAGTTTAATAGTTTAACTGCTCATCTTCAGTTAATCCTGCTAATGCAGTTAACTGTTTGCAATGATTTTTAAAATACTCCAGATACTTTCCCCATTCTTTTTTAAAAGTTCCCTCATCTTGGTTCCTTATTGGTCCAGTAAGCTTAGCCATTTCTGCGTAGCCCATTAATTTTTCCTGCCATTCATCCTTGGTTGGAACTGTATCTTATTTCCATCTATTATTTATAAGATTTCTTATCTACCCTTCACCCCACGTAGAATAGAAGTGACAGCTCTTGCAGATAAAGGACTATTTCAAGTGTTTGATCATTACTTTGTTTAATAGCATAGCATAGTTTCTTCTATTCTATGTTGCTGTGGTATAAAGTGAGCATGAGCCGGACAAAAACGAACCTTTTAAGCCTCATTGAAATAACTGAAGCTAGTTCAAAGACACTTGTAGATACAGTGGTACCCCGCAAGACGAACGCCTCGCAAGACGGAAAACCCGCTAGACGAAAGGGTTTTCCGTTTTGGAGGCGCTTCGCAAACCGAATTTCCCTATGGGCTTGCTTCGCAAGACGACAGCCCATAGGGAAATCTCAGGGACAGCGGGGAAGCGCAGCGCGTCTTCCCCACTGTCCTCGGACCTCCTCCGAAGCCGGGCGGCGGGGCGGGGACACCTCCTCCCGCCGCCGCCGGGCTACGGAAGGCTCCTCCGGGCCGGGCGGGGGAGGGAACACCTGCCGCCGCCGCCCGGCCTCGGAACGGTGCTCCGGGCCGGGCGGGGGAGGGAACACCTGCCGCCGCCGCCCGGCCGGAACGGTGCTCCGAGCCGGGCGGGGGGAGGAAGACCTCCCCGCCGCCCGGCCCGGAACGGTGCTCCGAGCCGGGCGGTGGGGAGGGAAGACCTCCCCGCCGCCCGGCTCGGGACGGTGCTCCGGCCGGGCGGTGGGGAGGGAAGACCTCCCCGCCGCCCGGCTCGGAACGGTGCTCCGAGCCGGGCGGGGGGAGGGAACACCTGCCGCCGCCGCCCGGCTCGGAACGGTGCTCCGAGCCGGGCGGGGGAGGGAAGACCTCCGCCGCCCGGCCTCGGAACGGTGCTCCGAGCCGGGCGGTGGGGAGGGAAGACCTCCCCGCCGCCCGGCTTCGGAACGGTGCTCCGGGCCGGGCGGTGGGGAGGGAAGACCTGCCGCGCCGCCCGGCTCGGAACGGTGCTCCGGGCCGGGCGGGGGGAGGAAGACCTTCTGAAGGCGGGCGGGGGCGAAAGTCCTTGCTCCCCTGCCTGCCTGTCCCGGAGGGCTTTGAAGGCGGGGAGCAAGACTTCGCGCCCCGCCCGCCTTCAGAAGAGGTCCAGGACCTCTTCTGAAGGCTGGCGGGGGCAAAGTCTTTGTCCCCCTGCCTGCCTTCCCAGGGGCTTTTAAATTGCCCCGGACAGCGGAGAAGTCCTCCGCTGTCCCGGGTGATTTTGAAATGCCGCCCGCCAGCATTTTAAGATCGCCTGGACAGCGGAGAAGTCCTCCGCTGTCCCGGGGTTTTTAAAATGCTGGGGTGGGAAGAAAAGCCCTTGCCCCCCAGCCTTCAGAAGAGGTCCGGGGACAGACTGTCCCCGGACCTGGTCTGAAGGCGGTTTCCCTAGGAACGCATTAATTGATTTTCAATGCATTCCTATGGGAAACCGTGCATCGCAAGACGAAAAACTCGCAAGACGAAGAGACTTGCGGAACGAATTAATTTCGTCTTGCGAGGCACCACTGTACTTAACATGAGCTGGATCATGCCTATCATGTACTAAAACTGAAACATTTTCAGAGATGAACAGGAAATGAGATGCTCAATTTGTGGTATAGGGCTGATATTGTATGTAACAAGGGCTGTATTTTGTTCCTGTATTCTTGCCTTTTTCTAATGGTCTATGCCATTTCTTTCTTTAGGAGAACAGTAGTTTGTCCAATTATTGATGTAATCAGCGATGATACATTTGAATATATGGCAGGTTCTGATATGACTTACGGTGGGTTCAACTGGAAGTTGAATTTCCGGTGGTATCCTGTTCCACAGAGAGAAATGGACCGAAGGAAAGGTGACAGGACCCTTCCAGTCAGGTAAAGGGAGCTGATGAGCATTATTGGGATATCCCTTCATGCATGTGTCTAATAATACAATCCAGGTTTACTCAGTTCCCAAGTCCATTTCTACATTAAAAAGAACTCTGAAGGTGCAAGGAACTGTGAGGGAAATATGATATGTAATCAGCAACCATTAACTTGATTTAAAAAACCCCAGTAAATTAAGACACATCTTAGAAAGCCTGCTGAAACAGGTAGATCATACAACTCTTAGTAATAAGTAATTGCAGGTTGAACACTAGGAAGTGTGTTCTCCCTTAACTGTGAGCATCTACTGTGGTACCTCAGGTTAAGAACTTAATTCGTTCTGGAGGTCCATTCTTAACCTAAAACTGTTCTTAATCTGAAGCACCACTTTAGCTAATGGGGCCTCCCGCTGCCACTGTGCCGCTGCTGCGCGATTTCTGTTCTCATCCTGAAGCAAAGTACTATTTCTGGGTTAGCGGAGTCTGTAACTGGAAGCATCTGTAACCCAAGGTAACACTGTAGTTTGGACAGGGAGGTCCATTCCAAGTTAGTGATTAGTATGTCACCTTTTCTAAACCTGCGGCAGTGAAACAACGCTGTTTTGGCACAACATAACTTCTTCCTTAAACATGCTCTGGGGGTTTTCCCCAACCCTCCAGAGCATGGTTATGGGGTGCACAAAGAGAGGAAGTGCTTGTACAAACATAATTGCTTAACTGGATACTGCCTATGGAAATTAATGGACCTAAGTTAATCATGTACAGTGGTGCCTCGCAAGACGAAATTAATCCGTTCCGCGAGTCTCTTCGTCTAGCGGTTTTTTCGTCTTGCGAAGTAACCCTATTAGCGGCTTAGCGGATTAGCGCTATTAGCGGTTTAGCGGCTATTAAAGGCTTAGCGGCTAGCGGCTAAAGGCTATTAGCGGCTTAGAAAAAGGGGGAAAGCGAAAAAATCTCAAGACTCGCAAGACTTTTTCGTCTTGCGAAGCAAGCCCATAGGGAAATTCGTCCTGCGAAGCGCATTGAAAAACGGAAAACCCTTTCGTCTAGCGGGTTTTTCGTCTTGCGAGGCATTCGTCTTGCGGGGCACCACTGTATTAATTTTTTTGATATTAATGTTCTGAGTTGGACTGGCATTAGATGCAGTTCAGGATGCTGCAACATACCTTATCCTTCAAATCTGTGCTGCCTTCCTGTACTCCCAGACTGGCAAATGCCTCCCTCTTTTTCACCCTCTGGCCCAATTTTAGCTATATTTTTGTTAGGATAGAGTTCACTGCTAAGAGTAATAAATGTAATAATAAATGTCAGAGTTGGATTTAAAACATTTTCATATTTCTTTAGGACGCCTACAATGGCAGGAGGCCTTTTTTCTATAGATAGGGACTATTTTCAAGAAATTGGGACATACGACGCAGGAATGGATATATGGGGAGGAGAAAACCTAGAAATTTCATTCAGAGTAAGTAAACTTCATTTTTATTCCCAGGTAGTGCAGCTTAGTTATGGTAGGCAGACATACTTTGAATGTTACCAGAGAAAAGATGCAAATTCTATCTTTCAACGATAGAATATTTTTTAAAATTAAAAACAAATTCAGGGAAGAGAGATAACAGCTGCTTTGCCAGAGTGCTTTGGTGCAGTACTGCAAAGCACATGGTTCACAGCTCTGATCAAAAGTTCTAGGACATCCCAGTATCTGCATGTGCAGTTGACTGAAGAATAGTTAAACTTGGGTAGAGCTGTCATGCTACCATTATGATGTTTCAGTAATACTGGTAAGTGCCCAATGTCCTTGCTGCAACAGAATGGTCTTGCTACGTAATCTGGATATGATTTCACATGGGCTGGAAGTGGGACATCTGTGATGAGTTCTCCATGAAATGGTGAAGGGTGATATCCACTGGTCAAGAGTGATGTGTAAATATAATTAGTAAAATTATAATGCAGAATTATTACTCATGCAGTTATAGTTTGCATAGTAATCAGAACCTTTCTTTCCCTAAAAGACAATAGAAATATGTTTATGGTGAACTCTTGACATTTTCAGATTTGGCAGTGTGGGGGAACTTTGGAAATTGTAACATGTTCGCATGTTGGACACGTTTTTCGAAAAGCCACTCCTTACACTTTCCCAGGAGGGACAGGGCAGATTATTAATAAAAATAATAGACGACTTGCAGAAGTTTGGATGGATGGATTCAAGAATTTCTTCTACATAATTTCCCCAGGTAAGCAAGGAATCTTCAGCATAATATAGTGTCTTAAAATGATATGGTGAATGTATAAAGCCATCTTCTGCTCAGACTATTGATTCACCTGGCTCTGAAATGTGATGCTAATGCAGTTTTAGGCTGCATTAATAGAAACCATAGTTTCCATCTCATGAGAAATAATAGTTACAATTCATTTTATACTAGACAGACCTCATCTTTGGAGTATTGTGTCCAGTTGTGGAGGAGGACTGTGAGAAGGATGTAGAAAAATTAGAGGGCAACCAAGGTGGTCTGTGGGATTGATGAGAAAAGGTTATATGAACTGTGTATGTTTAGCCATGAGAGCAGAAGGCTTGAATGGACCGAAGGGCTGTCACACAATAGAAAGGAATCTCTGCTACTCCCAAGCAGCAGGAATAGATCTGCAGAAGTAGAGATTTCAGTTGAACATTAGGAGAAACTTCAGTAAGAGTAATCCAGCAATAGAGCCATGTACCTAGGGATGGTGGTCTCTCTCACTGGAAGACTCCAGGTAGAGGCTAGACAGCCATGTATTGCAAATGCTTTAGCTCTAGATTTCCAACATTAAGCAGAAGGTTGGACTAGATTCTGTAAACATTTCTGTACTGTACTCTTCAAGATACTTGTGCTGTTACGGGGCTCAAATAAAGTAGCATCTTTAGGCATAATTCAAAGACTGTACCAAAACTACCCTGTTTGGTTGCAATTTCCTTGGAATGTTCAGACTCCTGCCAATGTGGTGTAGTGGTTAAGAGCTGTAGACTCGTAATCTGGTGAACCGGGTTCGCATCCCCACTCCTCCACATTCAGCTGCTGGGTGACCTTGGGCCAGTCACACTTCTTTGAAGTCTCTCAGCCCCACTCACCTCACAGAGTGTTTGTTGTGGGGGAGGAAGGGAAAGGAGAATGTTAGCCGCATTGAGACTCCTTCGGGTAGTGATAAAGCGGGATATCAAATCCAAACTCCTCCTACCTTATATTAAATGTTCATTTGTAGCTCTGTAAGCAATTTTCATGGAAATTGGTCTGTAGATAAGAAATTGATGCGGCCTCACAGTTTCAGATAAAACTGGTTGTAAGTTTTCCTTGTGATAGTAAGATACCTAGGACCTGTCCTCAAAGATCTGTGTAAAGATTACTCTTCTCACCCAGTCTAATTTTTGTGCAGGTAATCTATTACTGTATTTATTCAATTAAAACTGTAACTAACTGAGATGCAACTCTCTGCAGGGGTTACAAAGGTAGATTATGGAGACATATCATCACGACTTGGACTTAGACACAAGCTGCAGTGCAAACCATTTTCCTGGTACCTAGAGACTGTTTATCCTGATTCCCAAATACCACGACTCTATTTCTCTTTGGGAGAGGTAACAATTTTAAGACCCATACAGTTTTGAGAACTCTTAATTAACTGTAGAATTCTTTAATATGCCTCAAGCGTTGAAGTAAAAAAATGTGTGTGAACGGCACACCTGTGCTTTTTTCTAATGTGCAAAGCTTTAAAGTTTGGGTAATAAGATTAAAGCAGATTTATTTCTCCCATGTGTAAGACTTTCTGTAATGCTGTAATAGAAGAATTCAAATCCTTAGGTCATATAAAATCTAAATTAATACTTGGAAGGAAATTCTTTTCCAGAAACAGGGAATTTACATGCTGCTGTTAATGTGCACTGTGCTAACAGCTTCTAAACTTAAGTAACCACAGGCTAGTGGTGTAGCAGGGATTCTCAAGAGGAAAAGCTTGTTTTATCAGAACAAGTTCCTTTCCTCTTATTATGTTCAGCATGTTTCTATACTGCCTTTTTTGTAAATAAATTTTTATTAATTTTCACAGATAGTAAACAACAAAATAAAGATACAAAAATCAAACCACAATCTAACATTTGAACTTCTAATAAGGAATCCTACTATTTACAAGCCTTCTTTTGAGGTTCTTTAAACCTCAAGACTTCCTTCCAACCCCCTTCTACTGATTCTTTACATCTTACATCATTCTCTGCATTTTGTTATCATTTGTATCCAGTTGTTACTCCTTAACATTTTCTAGTTCCTCACTGCTTACAAGTGCTTAATCGAACCCTCCCAATGTACCAACTTGTTTACAATATTTCTGCACATATACAATAAGTTTTTTTCCATTTTTTTTAACTTCTCATTGTCAGAGTCTCTGAGTTTTGCCGTCAGTTTTGCCATTTCTGCATATTCCATAAGTTTTATTTGCCATTCTTCTATTGCTGGCAACTGTTCTTCTTTCCATCTTTGGGCTAACAGGATCCGGGCAGCTGTTGTGGCGTACATAAATAATTTCTTCTGTTCTTTGGGAATTTCTGTTCCTGTTACACCTAATAAAAATGCTTCTGGGTTGTTGTTTTTTTTTTTTAAAAAAAGTTAGTTTAAACATTCTCTTCAATTCATTATATATCATTTCCCAGTAGCTTTTAATAACCTTACATTCCCATCACATATGATAGAATGTACCCTCTTTTTCTCTGCATTTCCAGCACTTACTAGAACTTGTTTTATACATTTTAGCAAGTTTAATCGTGTTATATACCACCGATGCATCATTTTCATATAGTTCTCTTTAAGTGTGGTACATGCAGTAAATTTGAGATCCACAGTTTTTCCCAATCATTCACTTGTATATTATGTCCCAGATCCTTTGCCTACTTCATTACATACTTAACCTCTTCGTCTTTATTTTTCCATTCCAACAGCAAATTATACATTTTCGACAGTAATTTTGTATTATCCTCCACTATTTCTCTTTGAAATCTTGATATGGTGTAACTAAATCCTTTTTGTCATTTTTAAAAGTTTCATTTAGTTGAAAGTGTTGTAACCAATCTATTACTTTCTCTCCAATTTCCTCAAATCTTTCAACTTTAATTGATTATCCACTTCTGTTAACAGCTCTCTGTACACTGGCCGTTTAGTCTTTATGCTAACCTTTTTTACTGATATTACTTCTGTTGGTGAGATCCACCATGGTGTCTTTTGTTCTAATACGGTAGTACCTTGGTTTACATACGCTTCAGGTTACAGACTCTGCGAACCCAGAAATAGTACCTCGGGTTAAGAACTTTGCTTCAGGATGAGAACAGAAATCGTGCTCCCGCCGTGCAGCAGCAGCAGGAGGCCCCATTAGCTAAAGTGGTGCTTCAGGTTAAGAACAGTTTCAGGTTAAGAACGGACCTCTGCAATGAATAAAGTACTTAACCCGAGGTACCACTGTAAATCCTTACATCTCTCCCATACTTTTAAAATTGCATTTCTTATTATATGGTTCTGGAATCATTTGTGCACTTTGGCTTTATTATACCATAAATACGCATGCCAACCAAATCTACTGTCATGTCCTTCTAAATCTAAAAGATCTGTGTTTTCTAATTTAATCCAACAGATATGCTTCATAATATATCTTTAAATCTGGTAGGGAGAAACCCTCCTCTTAATACAAATATTCCCAAAGTGGTTAACATACAACAGCTTAAAACTCCTGTATTTTATTTAATAAATCTTTAACTTACCATACAGAGTTATCTACCCTCACAATGCAGTTTGCAACATATATAATAAACATTAGAATTCCCAATTTTTAAATAAGAAACAATAAAAATGATGCTCCCAATGGACATCAAAAGCATTTCCCTGGGGATGAATTTTATTAATTTTATATGCATTATATGTCCAGAATTTCCCAGATATATCCTGAATACTATAGTCAGAAGCAGTGTCTGGGCAGAAATTGCTAAAATGTCCGGGAAAATCAGGACTTATGGCAACCCATGTCAGCATTGTCGTTACTGGCGATTTCCCTTAAAAATAGCAGTCCTACATTATATGCTATATTATAATTAACTTATTTAAAAGGCAGAACCAACAGTAAAGATACACACTCTCTGGTCAATCAGGCCCAGCTGCCTTGTGGAATAAAAGGACTGTTGCTTGCCTCTAAAATGAAGCCAAGGAAGAATATAGACAGGGCTTTAGAGTCATACCCAAAATGATTAGAATCTGATTTTGGATTAACAAAGCTAAGTAATGCTATCATAATGTTTAGCTTGATCTGATTAATCATCCTATCCCATTTCAGGTTGGACAGGTAATCTCACTCCTACCCCTCCTCTCCTACCCTTCCTGCCAATCTTAAGGGTAAACTAATTTGATAATTTAGAATGAATGCCATAGTTGCCACTCCGTGATTCTCATGATCACATGTTGTCGTCTAAATAATTGTACTGATTTTCACTGAGCTTTAGATAAAACTTTCCACATTTTAAAAATCACATTGACTCTGAAACATCTGTTGGACTAAAGAAGAATATCCTTGCTTTTACAGTGGTACCTCGGGTTAAGTACTTAATTCGTTCCGGAGGTCTGTTCTTAACCTGAAACTGTTCTTAACCTGAAGCACCACTTTAGCTAATGGGGCTTCCTGCTGCCGCCGGAGCACGATTTCTGTTCTCATCCTGAAGCAAAGTTCTTAACCTGAAGCACTATTTCTGGGTTAGCGGAGTGTGTAACCTGAAGCGTATGTAACCTGAAGCATATGTAACCCGAGGTCCCACTGTATAAGGGGTTCAATGAGTTTAAGTTATAAGTCTTAGTGTTATTAAAATCTCAGATGTTGGACAGGCATGGGTCACTTAGCTGGTTTGCAAGCTATAACCATTCTTGGGGAAAGTGTAATCTGGCCGTATTATCCATGTCCTAACTAAAGTTAAGTTTACAGTACTGTAATGCATTCCATGTGGGGTTCCCTTGGAAGACTGGAAAATTCAACTGATTCAGAACATGGCTTCCACTAGTGCAACACTACAACACTGTAGAATACTGGTTTACTGAAAGGAGAGCATTGGAATGTGGGGAGGAAAAAGTCAGTTCGGTGACAGTTGGGGAGAAGTAGTAGAGTAGAGCAGCTGAAGAGAAAGATAAGAGAAAGCAGTGGACTAGAGAAAGGGAGAGAGAGGCAAGTGGTTCAGAGTTCAACCAGTGGGAAAAAGTGAGCTATAATAAGACACTGAAGACTATTATGTTTCAAAGGGACATCACTGATTAATTGCTCTTTACGGACTTTTAGGAGTCAAAGGATCTGAAAAGCTCTTGAACACCATGCTGCTGTTTTATGCCTTTCGTTTTATTGGTGGTTTTTAAAATTGTGTGTGCTGCCTTGATAATTTGATTTGGAAGCATACTGCTGCAAGGTATTGGTATTGCCCTGCATCCCCACTTGGCCCCAATGCCACAGCTTATTCACTATTTCTCTGCTCTTCCATTCTCATTCTTTGTTGTGTACAGTGAAGGGCATAAAGAAGGTGCGTGGAAAGAGCCTCAAGACTGCTCCTGATCTCTTTATTTATTTGCTTGTTTGTTGAATACGTATACCACCCTTCACCCAAAGATCTCAGGCCAGTTCACAGCATAACAATACAAATTAAAAACGCAAAATGCATAATAAAAACAAGAAAACAAACCAATAACCACCACCCTCCGGAAGCACATTTAACATGACCTAAAATGTTATCAGCCAAGGCCTGGTTGAAGAGGAATGTTTTCACCTGGCCTAAAGATGTATAATGAAGGTGCCAGACAAGCCTCCTGGGGAGAGCATTCCACAAATGGGGAGCCACTGCAGAAAAGGCCTCTTCTTGTGTTGCCACCCTCTTGACCTCTTGTGGAGGAGGCCTGCAAAGAATGGCCTCAGGTCAGCTCATGTTAGTATTATTTATTCAATTTATATACCGCCGTATACCCACAGGTCTCATAGGGAGAAATATAGGATGGACAGGGTAACTGAACAGGGCACATATGCAAAGGCTTCCTTGCTTGTGATTTTCAGGCCATGCATGCAGATTGTCTTTCTAATGTAAATACGTATAGCAAACGGAGTGTGCTGAATTTTTGTTCTTGTCTTCAGATCAGAAACATGGAAACAAATCAGTGTCTGGATAACATGGCAAGGAAAGAAAATGAAAAAGTTGGCATTTTTAATTGTCACGGGATGGGTGGCAATCAGGTAACAATATAAAATTCCGAAAACTAAAATATTAGATTTTTAAACTGTATATAATTAGACAAGTCATTGTGTATGTGAATGTGAGAGTGCATATGTCTCTGTGTGTGCATGCATGAGCACTGTGTGTACATATGTGCACATATGTGCCACAGAGTGCGGAGGAAATTAATGTTTTGGGGAGTGTGCGTGCATATGTCTGCATGACAGTATGCTTGCATGTGTGAGTGCATGTTTGAGTGTACAGTGTAATGCAAGAATGTATGCATCTGTATACATTCTCTGGTCCATGGGGTCACGAAGAGTCGGACACGACTAAACAACAACATGCATCTGTAGGACTTGTGTGTACATGTGTGATTGTATTTGTGCATATATGTGTGCACACAGATTTGTGTGTGTGAGACGGGGTGGGGGTGAGATATGTGGGGGAGTGAGAGAATGGAGGAGAAAGAGGAGTGTCCCCACTTATTTGTGCATTGGCCACTCCTTCTTGCAGGGGTATGTGGCTCCAGTCACTATTTCCCAAAGACAATGTGCCCCTTGACCTCAAAAAACAGTTCCACAGTTACTGGGAAGTAAGACTTGTTAAATTCAGTGGGACTCATTTCAAAATGGAAATAGGATTGCACTGTACGACTTCTTTATAGTATGCTTTTATTCCTGTAGGTCTTGCTTGGAATAATATTAATTTGACTGTTGTGAGGTTGCAAGCTAGAGGGAGATCACCCTGTTTCATGCTGTAGACCTGTTTGTTTTAGGACATGGATGGGTGCTGTTGAGCAACATGGTGGGGAAAGTTGTGATTCCCCCTCAAAAAACTATTGCCATGGAACAAAAGTTCTGCAGCGGCCCTGCCCTCTATCCAAGCACCCAGTAACTATATCTACCAGTAGTTTAAGAAACTCTTTTATCCAAAGAGATTAATTATTCTAAATCTGTTTTCCATATGTGTACATTGAGGACAGGTTTAATGTTCAGAAAAACATATAAAGTGGTATATAGCATGGTAATAACAGGCTATTGCTTTCCATCAAGGTTTTCTCATATACAGCCAACAAAGAAATTCGAACAGATGATTTGTGCTTAGATGTCTCCAAACTGAATGGTCCTGTCACAATGCTCAAGTGCCACCACTTAAAAGGCAATCAACTTTGGGAATATGATCCAGTGGTAAGTTGTCTTATGACTGAAGCTCAAGTGATTAGAAAATTCAGTGACTATAGATGTTGGTATAATTATAGTATTGTGGAGAATGCTGGTTGGAACTAGGAGATGGGAGTAATAAATTAAGATAAGTAACATGATGTGTTGCAATTTTTAAAAACTGTGTTGGAATTAAAGCTGCTTTTTTAGTAATGAAGTTGTGTAAGCAAAGGGAGGGAACTCATCTAAGGAGATAATTCATTCCTGTGTCCCATGGATTACAAAGGACACACACACAAATTACCGCTGTACCCTAACAAATAACACTCCCTATTTCCCCCCCACAAACTGCAATGCTAGTTTTACCTGCTTTTCTCAAACCACAGTAATTCCTTGCATGATTAAAGGAAGCGCTGGCGGCCTTGGAGCTTGCAGTCACATCCTGTTTTGTTTTCCAAAGGGCCTGAACAAAAGGTACCAATGACCTTTTTGCTGGCCACTTGTATGCAAACCCTTTCCAACTCTTCCCCATTTCTCATTCTGCAGTGGTGCATTTAAATTTCTGTTACAGCAGCATCAAGGCAAAGCTAGAAATTGCTGTTAGAACACGGTTACGGGTTGGATTAAAATGTCGATTTGTATAAAAGATTTGATAGTCAATTTCTAGTAGTACGTTTTTAAATCTGTGGGCCCGTGGTCCATTTATTACAGTGCACCTGCTCTGAGTATGATTTTTGTTAGATATTACCTAGTGTTTTAAATTGGCCCTTTTTCTTGTTGACTTAAATCATGATTTAAGTCTATGCTAAGTCATTATTTTAAAGCCCCCCCTGCACTACATTGCAGTTTGAAACTTTAGAGTTTCAAAAGCAGTGTGCACTGCAAGGGAGGCTGCTCGTGAAAGGAAATACGTAAAAAAAAAAATCCTAGACACCCTCCCACAAGCCCTTAAGAATCTTCAGTGGCATTTCCAAGATACCTAAGAGGTACTGAGTTCCATATATGCTCTCAAAGGATGTGGACCGCTTGGAGAGAGGAAAACACAACTATCCTTTTCCTAGCAGTGGTCGGTCCTAAATGAACCTACTGACTGGTGTGGATTATCTCTTCCTCTTCTAATTAAAATATACTCTTTTTTCCCTCTTCCCTTTCCTCTCTCCCCCGCCAAAAAAGAAATTAACCCTTTTGCATGTGAACAGTAACCAGTGCCTGGATAAAGCCACTGAAGAAGACAGCCAGGTACCCAGCATCAAAGACTGCAGTGGTGGCCGCTCTCAGCAGTGGCTTCTTCGTAACGTCACCCTTCCAGAAATATTCTGAAAGGAGTCAAAGAGGAGGATTGACTGGACTACCTCAGCAAGTACGTGGGCTACGTTTTTATGTAGCAAGCAAAGGCTGCAAGGTTTATTGGCCACTGGAGCAGATTTCTAAATCTTGAAGAGCCAGCCTTCCTGGTGTTAAGGGTGTGGGACTACATGAGTACTTGTGAACCTGCGCACACTGATGTTTACAAGATTGAAAATAGTTCATCAAAGAATCATTTAATAGAACATTTGGACCGTGGAAAGAATCAAGGAAATATGCACTCTGGAGAGTGGCACAACCGAGTTCTCTTGTACATCAGCAGCCTTGACCAAAGGTGCTGTTACAAAGATTCTTTTACAAGGTTTAATGTTAACCAAGGTATCAAACATAAATGCAAATATAAATGGAGAAGTTTTAATATCACAAGAGGGGGGGAAATCACTGAAGCAAGAATCAGGGTTCAGAGGCAAAAAAACAAATCAGAACTATATAAGAAGTACAATTTGTAATACTAAATATCAGATTTATATGTAGATTTTTTACTTCGGTGGGGGGGAAATAACCAAGTGAGACACAATTTCTGTTCAATTGTGTGGTAGTCCATTAATATCCTTTCTTCCTCCCCTGATGGGTCTTGAGCTTATTAGGAGCAAAAGTAAAATTGAGTATAAATAAAATTGGCTCTTTGAATGTCAGTTCAACATTTTTAAACTTTCATTTTGGCTTGCAGGCTGTTGGAACTGTTAATACATCTTTTTTTTTTAATGATCTGAAAACTGGAGATGCATCCTTTGATGTGACTTGCTATTTCAGTTGTACTTGGGTCAATCAGCTTTTGACCTTCCATCACCAACTTAAGAATTTGTTAGTAAAATCTGTTAACTTGACTGATAATGCTTAATGGCCAACTCTCTTACTACTGTACTACAGGTTTTGTTTTCACAGCAATAAATCTTTCATTTTTTGACTCCAGTCAGAGCCTACAAATATTGCTTATTCAGGTAATAAGTAGTTGACAACTGAATGTTTCTTGAAAACATTTTTCCACTCCATATTTTGATTGCATTCATATTTAGATTGCATTTTTTGAATTGTAATGTTGATCTGCTTTTTTTTCCTAATAAAATCTAAAGAAACCTGTAGAAATGGCCTTTTAAAAATTGATGTAACTGAAGGCCCTATGATTTGCTGCTACATTAGTCCAGCATTTTGAACTTTAGCTTCTTTCAGCAATCTCTGAAGAATCAGAGCAGTGGGGAGTGGGTAATATTATGGTTCCTAACATTCAGAATGAGCTGTCTTTTAAAGCAAGAAACATGGAAATGACTAGGATAATTTTGAAAAGATTGTGCAGTCCTGTTTCCATTCCAGTTGGTTATATGCTGCTTTGATCAGCCATTCTCTCCTTTTGAACCCATTATGTGACACATCTACAAAACAGAACCAGAATGCTTTTCAACACAAAATGGGGAAGCTGTCCCCTCACAGTTCTCTCCATCATATCACTGTTGTATGCAGTTTGAGTGGTAAGTGTTTTATATAAATGTAAATCAACCGTCCTAGTAATGCTCTCTTCAGTTAAAAGTTAGCTAAGTAGTTGGAACTAAGGAACCTTGATATATGCTGCAGAGCTTTTCCATGATATTTGCCTGAGTTGTTCATATCTACTATGTGCCTTTCAGATGTGTAATTTGTTTGGTAATACCACAGAGACAAGAAAAAGGTCTTCTAAACTAAAGCATACTTCTAGCAGTAAGAACTGCATGTGTTCCACATTAAGACGTGCACATAAAAAGCAAGCCGGGGGGCTATTAGGCCAGGAATAATCTGCAGTTGCTCTAGAATGTTGCTTGTTTTCTTATTTCTGCATCCTGTCCTTCTAGGAACCCAGTAAGTTTGAAAGAGGTTTGCATCTCGGCAATGTTTTAGCTACTGCCAGACACTGCTCGTCCTACTCCTATATATGTTTACTCATAACTCAATTTGATGACATGTACTTGATAGCAGTCTTAATGTTGCTAAAGCAGTTAACTGCAATTGGGGGCAGTGGCTAGTCGAGGAATGTCCTTGAGTGAGAACAAAATAAAACCCTTTCTCCTGTAGGGATGTCTCCGTCCATCTCTCCACTGGCAGGAAGTTAAATGTTATAGAGAATACAACTTGGGGGCTGAGACTACCCCCTTCAGTTCTACTTCCTGCCGGCTGCTCCAGGCACAGCAAAAGAGAAGAGGCGGGCATGCCATTTGAGAAGGGATTTTTCATTTGTTCTTCCTTGTCTGTTTATTCTTGGCTTCCCTTCTGTTACTCCTGATGGGTTTTAGCTTTCTCCCAGCTCCATGTAACATACAGATCTGAAGACTGGAATATGAGTTATGAACAAACAAAGCCAACTAATCTTGGATCCTATATACCTTCCTCCATTCTGATAAGTGTTTTCCTTAAAGTTTCTGTATGCCTCAAGCTGGTCACTTCCTGATTTTGAAATGTGAGGCCCAGTAAATGGGGACAAAAGCCTTGGCCATTAGAAAAGTGGGACTGCATTGTTAGTTCCCGTGTTCCTTTTGAGATGAGTCTGAAACACAACGATTGGATCAATTCACCCTCTTTATTATGGACAATGACCAATATTCTGAAACTTTGGTGGTATTTTATATATTTGTACAAGCAAAACAAAATAGAAAACCATAGAAATAAAATTACTAATAACGATACCATACTATAGAACCCAGGCACAGAAAACAAAGTTGTAAGTCTTCTAAAATTAATTGCTGTTGAGTTTTTTTCACACGGCAGCAAATATCTAACCAGAGATGGATGCATTCCGATGTAAAAGCAGTGCAGAAGCATAAAATGCATCTGATCGTACTGAGAAATTGTGTAAAAAAGATGCAATAAAAAAGTAATGCATAAGAACATGAGTTATTGATTCCGCCCCTCCAGATTAAAATGAGTATTTATGTTGACGGGGGATTTTTTGGAACCTCCCCTGCAGAACTGCTGATGGAAGAACATTCAAATGTAAAGGCTTAGCAATGTTTTTGAGCAGAGAGCACATAAAGGTAGTTTCCTGGTTTATAGGACTGAAGTTAGTTAGCATGCTATTTGAGGTTAAGCCTATAGCCTATTGGCATTCAACACTAGCAATATGCTCTGTGGGTATTGCTCTGGCAGATTCATACTCCATAGGGATAAGGTAAACCCAGTGGAGCCATGGTGTTATCTGCTGCACCATGGGGGCGGGGCATGCTGGGGAGCGATGCAACGCTGGAACAGTGTCCCTCCACCTGGAGGGCAGCTGAGTGGAATGGGGCATGCGTGCGCTGGCCCTGCACTCCCTGCAAGAGCAACACAGGGCCAGCACCCAAGCCGCATCGTCTCTCAGGTGCCCTCCAGGTGGAGGGTGGCTGAGGCGGAGGGACAGGTGTTCACCCACCGCATCTCCCTCAGCTGCCCTCCACCTGGAGGCCAGCACATACTGGTTGCGTCCATGTCAGCCACCCTCTGGTGGTAGTGGGGACGCAGTAGATTGGCACCCTGTGAGTCCAGCCCCAGGCCACACTGCTCTTGGGAGTGGTGCACTGGGCTCTGGTGTGCCGAGGCTTGTGCGCCTGCAAAGGTAAGTGCTGCTGGGGGTGCCCAGTCTCCCCGCCTCCCCTAGCTATGCTACTGGGTAAACCATGGAAAACCCCTAACACTGCAATTTCACAGTCAAATATTTTATCCAAGCTGACTGAAAACATGCTGCCAAGGATCAGGATCAGCAGGAGAGCAATAAGCATTTTTCCTCCACTGTAAAAACCAGCTCACTGAATTGGACCAATGGTCCCATCTCAGATTATATGGGCAGGTACCCATGAAAAGTGGCAGAATCCAAGGGGCAGTGCTCATAATGATTCATTACTAACTATTCTTTCACCTTTTAATGAGGGTGAAAGAGGAGAGCGCAAAATATGGTCTGAAGCTCAACATCAGAAAAACGAAGATCATGGCCACTGGGCCCATCACCTCCTGGCAAATAGAAGGGGAAGAAATGGAGGCAGTGAGAGATTTTACTTTCTTGGGCTCCATGATCACTGCAGATGGTGACAGCAGTCACAAAATTAAAAGACGCCTGCTCCTTGGGAGAAAGACGATGGCAAACCTAGACAGCATCTTAAAAAGCAGAGACATCACCTTGCCAACAAAGGTCCATATAGTTAAAGCCCGTCCCGTCTCCCCTTCGGAACTGACAAGGCCATCCATTAAGCGTCACGGACTGATAAAGGAGAGGGCTTTGTTTATACAGCTGGGCTCCTGTTATACATTGGCTCAAGTGCTCAAGTTAATGCTTTTTAGCTAATGGACCGTTGGAGAAGGAAAAATGGGGATTTTGGGGGCCCGTTTAAGACTGACTGCACAGTCAGGCTTTAGATTTGGGAAACCCATTCCTTCACTACCAGTGGTAGCATGGGTTGCCAGTGCCCGGGGCAAGTCACAAAAGAGTGGTGGCATCACCGTTGAGAAGAGGGCTAGCACATCACTGTGAGTCCACCTCCTAGATGCCTGCTCTCCCCGGAGGTGCTGAATGTGGCCTCCAACTGCCCAACTGGAGCCCCTCCAGAGGGCAGCCCCTCACCCTGCACCTGCCAGTTTTGCCGCACCTTTGGGACCACTGTGGCCCAGTGGTGTAGCATGGGTTGCGCCCTTAATAAATCTGCACCTGAGGTAACCCCCCCACCCCCGTGGCCCCCGTACACCACTTCATCCTGCGTCTAGGGAAGAAATGGCAGGGGTTGCCCTCTGGGGCTCTCCTGGGCTCTGTGCCCACCTGACTTGCTTCAGAGCGCCCTCCCCCCTACCCCATGACAACTGATTCCCCCTTCACCTGTTGAGTAAGGTTGATTTGACACTCCCCACCTTGTTCTTGCTTCTTGGGAGAAAAGCAATGACAAACCTAGACAGCATCTTAAAAAGCAGAGGCATCACCTTGCCAACAAAGGTCCGTATAGTTAAAGCCATGGTTTTCCCAGTAGTGATGTATGGAAGTGGGACCTGGACCATAAAGAAGGCTGATCGCCGAAGAATTGATGCTTTTGAATTCTGGTGCTGGAGGAGACTCTTGAGAGTCCCATGGACTGCAAGAAGATCTAACCCATCCATTCTTAAGCCCTGAGTGCTCACTGGAAGGACAGATCGTGAAGCTGAGGCTCCAATACTTTGGCCACCTCATGAGAAGAGAAGACTCCCTGGAAAAGACCCTGATGTTGGGAAAGATGGAGGGCACAAGGAGAAGGGGACGACAGAGGACGAGATGGTTGGACAGTGTTCTCGAAGCTACCAACATGAGTCTGACCAAACTGTGGGAGGCAGTGGAAGACAGGAGTGCCTGGCGTGCTCTGGTCCATGGGGTCACGAAGAGTCGGACACGACTAAACGACTAAACGACAACAACAAATTCTTTATTAGTAGAACTACTACTATTTTTAAAAGGTCACGTTTCCTCAGACTGACCTAAGATTGGATAGGCTAATGGGCAAGGCATTTCCCTCCATGGTAGATGGTGTATACAGTATGAGTTGATGTTTCCTTGGGAAACCCCCAGGTTCAAAGGGCCACCAAGCTGTAAAGTTCACTGTGGGTGGCCTTGGGCTTTGTTGTGTTCTTGTGAGGTTAAAACTGCACTCAGTTGCTTCAGGGCAGGGCAGAATGCACAGGGAATAAATGCCCGTCATTTTTTGGTTTTGCTTCTGTGACCCTTTGTTATGGGTGGCATCTACCATGCTCTGTAATTAAGGCAAGAGAGCACTTGCCATTACAAAGAAAGGAAAGTTTCACTTCATTCTATGATGCATGTTTCAGAAATAACTGGCCTGTCTGCATAACCCCTGCTTTAACTGCCGCAATTCAGCAACACTGGTCTGTAGCTGCATGGGTGCAAGTAATAGCTGGAGGTGGAGAAGGAGTCCTTTAAAAAAGAAAGGGTGCCCAAGAGATGAGGCAGATAAAGACTTAGAGTCGTACCCCCAGGGAAAGGGGGGGGGATGAGAAACAAAGATCCTACAATAGCATACTAAGCACCATTCATGTATGAAAGGGAAATCCATACCTGCAAACAGCCAATAGGTACATGTATGTCATAGAATCATAGAATCATAGAGTTGGAAGAGACCACAAGGGCCATCGAGTCCAACCCCCTGCCAAGCAGGAAACACCATCAGAGCACTCCTGACATATGGTTGTCAAGCCTCTGCTTAAAGACCTCCAAAGAAGGAGACTCCACCACACTCCTTGGCAGCAAATTCCACTGTCGAACAGCTCTTACTGTCAGGAAGTTCTTCCTAATGTTTAGGTGGAATCTTCTTTCTTGTAGTTTGGATCCATTGCTCCGTGTCCGCTTCTCTGGAGCAGCAGAAAACAACCTTTCTCCCTCCTCTATGTGACATCCTTTTATATATTTGAACATGGCTATCATATCACCCCTTAACCTCCTCTTCTCCAGGCTAAACATGCCCAGCTCCCTTAGCCGTTCCTCATAAGGCATCGTTTCCAGGCCTTTGACCATTTTGGTTGCCCTCCTCTGGACACGTTCCAGTTTGTCAGTGTCCTTCTTGAACTGTGGTGCCCAGAACTGGACACAGTACTCCAGGTGAGGTCTGACCAGAGCAGAATACAGTGGCACTATTACTTCCCTTGATCTAGATGCTATACTCCTATTGATGTAGCCCAGAATTGCATTGGCTTTTTTAGCTGCCGCGTCACACTGTTGGCTCATGTCAAGTTTGTGGTCAACCAAGACTCCTAGATCCTTTTCACATGTACTGCTCTCAAGCCAGGTGTCACCCATCTTGTATTTGTGCCTCTCATTTTTTTTGCCCAAGTGCAATACTTTACATTTCTCCCTGTTAAAATTCATCTTGTTTGTTTTGGCCCAGTTCTCTAATCTGTCAAGGTCGTTTTGAAGTGTGATCCTGTCCTCTGGGGTGTTAGCCACCCCTCCCAGTTTGGTGTCATCTGCAAATTTGATCAGGATGCCCTTGAGTCCATCATCCAAGTCGTTGATAAATATGTTGAATAAGACCGGGCCCAAGACAGAACCCTGTGGCACCCCACTAGTCACTCTTCTCCAGGATGAAGAGGAACCATTGATGAGCACCCTTTGGGTTCGGTCAGTCAGCCAGTTACAAATCCACTGAGTGGTAGCATAGTCAAGACTGCATTATACCAGCTTCTTTACAAGAATATCATGGGGCACCTTGTCAAATGCCTTGCTGAAATCAAGGTAGGCTACATCCACTGTGTTCCCTTCATCTACCAGGCTTGTAATTCTGTCAAAAACGAGATCAGGTTAGTCTGACATGACTTATTTTTCAGAAATCCATGCTGACTATTGGTGATCACAGCATTCCTTTCTAGGTGCTCACAGACTGTTTGCTTAATGATCTGCTCCAGAATCTTCCCTGGTATTGATGTCAGACTGACTGGGCGGTAATTATTTGGGTCCTCTCTTTCCCCTTTTTTGAAAATAGGGACAACATTTGCCCTCCTCCAGTCTGCCGGGACTTCGCCTGTTCTCCAGGAATTCTCAAAGATGACTGCCAGTGGTTCTGAGATCACATCTGCCAGTTCTTTTATACTCTTGGATGCAGTTCATCTGGCCCTGGAGACTTGAATACATCTAAACTAGCCAAGTATTCTTGTACTATCTCCTTAGTTATTCTGGGCTGTGTTTCCTCTGCTGAATCATTTGCTCCAAATTCTTCAGGTCGGGCATTGTTTTCTTTATCGGAGAAGACTGAGGCAAAGAAGGCATTGAGGAGTTCAGCCCTTTCTGTGTCCCCTGTTTGCATTTCACCATCTTCTCCTCTGAGTGACCCCACTGTTTCTTTGTTCTTCCTTTTGCTACGAACATATCCATAAAAGCCTTTTTTGTTGCTTTTAACCTCTCTAGCAAGCCTGAGTTCATTCTGTGCTTTAGCTTTTCTGACTTTGTGTCTACACGTGCTGGCTATTTGTTTGAATTCCTCTTTGGTGGTTTCCCCTTTTCCATTTTTGGTACACATCCTTTTTAATCTTAACTCAGTTAAAAGTTCTTTAGATAGCCACCCTGGCTTCTTTAGGCACCTTCCATGTTTCCGTCTCATTGGTATTGCCTGACGTTGTGCTTTTACTATCTCCCTCTTAACAAACTCCCAGCCATCATGAACTCCCTTTCCTTTTGGTATTACTGTCCATGGGATCTCACCTAGCACTTCCCTAAGTTTTATGAAGTCGGCTTTCTTAAAGTCAAGAAATTGAGTCCTAGTATGCTTGGCTGCTCCTTTCCGCTGTATAGTAAACTTCAGAAGAGCATGATCACTCGCGCCTAATGATCCTTCCACTTCTACCCCACTAACCAGGTCATCAACATTGGTTAGGACCAGATCTAAAATGGCTGTTCCTCTTGTTGCTTCTCCCACTTTCTGGACAATGAAGTTGTCTGCAAGGCCAGTGAGGAATCTGTTTGACCTTATGCTCTTGGCTGAGTTTGACATCCAACAAATATCCGGGTAATTGAAGTCCCCCATTACTACGCTCTCCTTCCTTTTGCATGCTTGGCCATCTGTTCCAGGAAGGCATCATCTATGTCCTCCGTTTGGCTTGGGGATCTATAGTAAACTCCCACAATGAGGTCACTGTTATTCTTCTCTCCCTTAATTTTGACCCAAATGCTCTCACTTTGGCCTTGAGGTTCTAAATCTTGGATCTCTTCACAGGTATACACATCCCTGACATATAACGCCACTCCTCCTCCTTTCTTGTCTGGTCTGTTTCTCTGAAATAGATTGTATCCCTCCATTATTACATTCCAATCATGGGACTTATCCCACCAGGTTTCAGTGATGCCTATTATGTCATATTTAGTTTGCTGTACCAAGAGCTCAAGCTCATCTTGTTTATTTCCCATGCTTTGCGCATTAGTGTACAGACATTGAAGTCCATTAATCATTCCCCTGTGACTCTTATTTAAGGATTTTTTCCTCCCACCACTAGGTCTGCGTGCTGTTTGCTCCATTTGGTCTATGACATTTGGATGATCATCTTCATCAATTGATAAATTCCTACCTTCAGGATCACTGTCTCCCTCCCCCACATTGGTCAGATTAGATCGTGAATGCACCCATTTTAAATGAATCGGCTATTATTGCAGCGCATTCTCCTTTGGATGCTGCCTTGATTCCATTCTCCAACTCAAAATCACCAGGGCATTTGGGCTAGGGGAACTACTGTTGGAGTCAGGTTTTGCCACCCACAGCAACTTATGTGGAGGAGTTTGTCCCTTTCGGCATTCCTAGCACGCTGGTCTCTGTGTCCCCTTTGACGGGAGTTACATCACCTCCAGTAGCCCCTTCCCTGTCCTCCCCATAGTGTTTTAACCAGAAATTAAAATGTGCCACCACCTCTAGGCTCTCCTTTAAAACCAAGCCCTCCAGTTTGCCCATTTGGGCTCACAGGCATCTAGCAGTAGCATATCAACACCTATACAGGGTATCATTCTCCCATTGTCTTTGCCATCATGTTTCCTGGCACTTTCAATGCCTAGTTCCACCCCTCTCCCATTTGGATCTTTAATGCTGGTTTTGGAGGTGGGAAGAACTAAAACGCATTAGCTTCCCCTCCTGCCTTTTGCAGGCAGTGACTTTACTATGAACATGGCAGATGTCAAAAGGTGGCCCTAGGAAGGTAAGCTGCAAAATTTCAGAAGGATGGGTTCAGGGACCAAAGAGTGAACGGAAACAACAGCTTCAGGCTTATATTCTGCTCAGTTTGCACCACGTCACAGACTGAGTGCCAGTCTGACTTGACAAGAATGGAGGCGGCACAGAAGAAGAATAACTTGAATGTCCACCATTTCCAGGCAAGCGCCACTTGCTCCATTTGGTCTATGACATTTGGATGATCATCTTCATCAATTGATAGACTCCTACCTTCATCAATTGATAGACTCCTACCTTCATGTGTTTACTGTAAGCCATGCTGTCAGTACTGTGAAGTTGCATGTACTCCATAAAGTGTGAACTTACTCTTCAGGTTTAGATATGGCGGCAGGTTATGCATTTGGCTGAACCTGTAAGAAGAGTAGCTGCCTTGAGAAGAATGTGATCCAAGTAACACAAGCCATAAAGCAGTTGATAGCAAGGCCTTCAATTCAGCAGTAGGAAGTCAGTGCTTATTATGTTTTGTGCAGAAGTAGGGCATTTATTTGATGAAAGACCACTTTGCCAATTAATCATTTGGTGTTGGATGGATTCACCCATTAAGGGCACGTGCTGCAACTCCTCCGTAAAGGATAAGTGACCCAGCACACATGGCCCCAAATGCATTTTGCTTTTCTCTCTAGTGTTACCCATTCTCTTCCACAACGGACAGTAGAGAACACATTCTCACAACATCTGCAGTGATTGAGATGCTGCTGCCACGGCAGCACCAGATGAGTTGTCCAATGCAACATTGACTCCAGTGTTGTGGGATCAGTTTCAGCCAACGCAGCCTGATGATCAGTTTTAAACTCTGTTTTTACTGCTTTGATTATTAATGAACAGTGGTATACAATTTTAATAACCAAATAAATAATTAGGATCCTAACTTCTTAAGAGAGGGAACAGGTTCTACCGTTTTGTTTTATTGATCCGGAACTGTTCAACCTATAGGACAAAAGGGGATAGCTTGGTTTTCAGTAGCGATCCATCTGCATAAGCTCTGAAAGACTGAAAACGAATAGATTTTGATATAATGAAGGCCAATTATATAACAAAAACTGGAGTTCTGGAATTGTCTGCCTCCTACTAAACTAAAAAATCCCAATTGAATTTTGCACAAAGGGAAGGCGACTTACAATAGAACTATACAAAGTAGTAAGTACATTACATCATTATGAATTGAGTACAGGGATGGCTTGTGCTGGAGTTAATACTGGCTACAAACACCAGCCACAGCAAGCTGTTTATACTGCCATCCTGTGAAACTGGTGGTGTTTGATCAGCTGTTTGGTTTCCCCCCTAATTAATGCAGATGGTTTAAGCTATTTTTTATTGGTTTCTCAACGAGCTCTTGGAGCAACCTTCTCCAACATCATACCGTTGGTTAAAAGTTCATTCTCTTCTCTCTAAATGAGTACTCGGTACTATTTTGGTGTTTGCTGCAGACTCCATTTCATTGCTATTGCACTTGGCTCTGAGCTGTAAAATAACAAAATACCACGGCTGTGTGATTGGAGGTTTTAATTACATTAAATAGATTTTAAAGCCAAAATGTCTATAAACTAGTTCAGTGCTAATGAAGTGACAGCTTTCTGCACACAAGCCAAAATAGTCACAGAAAGTGTGTCCATTTTAAGGAATGTATGCCACTTTGATCTTCTTTGGTACCTCTATTTTGAGGGGCTTTGCCAGAAGACTCAGTTCAACATCTACCCTCTAGGCTAGCAGAAGTTAACTGTTCACCAGGGCCCTGCCACTTAGTAAAGTGTATCTCATAGCTGCCACTTCAAATGTCCCAAAGTCTGAGAACTCGAAAGGTTGCAATGTTATTTTGAAATACTTCTCTTGGTCTCGTCATTGAGGACAAGATCCATTTAATTAAAGTGCATTTAAAACTATCAGTTCTTTGCTTTCCCTGAAACCCTGAAGAACAGAAAGAAGCACAATCTAAAAATGGCTTGTGCAGGACTCAGAAAAGGAGATAAACCTCCTGGTTTATTTGAGCTTCAGCTGCTACCCACCAAGTTTCCTGCTTTTCCCCCTCTCCTCAAAAAATAGCAGGAGATGAGACCTCTCATAGCACCTTTCAAGGCAGGCAGAAGAGCTTCGCCTGGCCATGAAGACACCTGCCAGAGACAACAGGCCTGTTCATACGCTCTTGCCCATCCAAGAAAAGATTTGAAGCTTCTGTCTCACCCACAAACCTTTTCCCCCTTCAGGCCTTACTTTTTCCTACCTAGATATGTGAACTAAATCTATTTTTGCAGCAGCTAATGATACATTAACATTCAGACTGAAACAGCTTGAAATTAGGTCACAGTTTTCAATATTGTCTATTACAAATGTTCTACCTTTTAGAGAATATACTGATTTATGATTCTTAATAGCTGGTCTATACAATTTTGTACCCCAGCTTTAGAGTACCATATAAGGTTCAGGTTTAGTTCCCGGTGTGGTGAGTGCGAGAAAGAATCCCCAATTGTCACTAATGTAAGTCACTTGTACACATACCATGAACACGATAAAATAAAATAATGAGGCATGAGCAATCAATTCCTTTTCTATATGCTTGTTAGCAACAATAACTTTTTAAAAATCTGGCTGAGAAAATTACCTCGCTTTCAGCCCACTATTTGAATGACACAGTTAACTTATTTTCTCATCTCTTTCCTCAACTGAAGGTGGTCTCCTTTGTTTTGGCTGCCATCGCTGAGGTAGAGCCCATCCCAAAGCTCTAAGAGAGATCAGTCCACTGGGGTGAGGGGGCAAGTGGGGAAGCCAATAGCAGTACCAACACTTTCTATAAATTGAGACACCTCATAATAAAGTTACACTGTTAAGCCCCCTGTCTTCTGAAGGCTGGATTTGTCAACTTTTATGACAACAGGATATATTGAAATGAAGCTGGCTACTTAAAGCAGAATAGAGCAGCGTTAAAAGTAGACAAACTTGAGTTGTCAGCCAGTGTTTTCCTGTCCGCTGCAGGCACTGAATAAACCAATTCAACAGTAGAACAACACACTTCCCTGTGCATCAGGTTTGCTCCTCTCTGGTTTCTTTATTTACCTGTGTCCTGTTTTCCATCCAGGGCACAATGCACAATCATTTACCCATTCAACTGCACGTAGCAGGCAGCTTGAACTTTCTTTTCAGGTAGACAAATACTGCGGAAAACATCAGCATTATTGCCTGACAACCTTGGATGCTTCTGCCAGCCCAATATTTAACCAAATAGGTTCCTTCTCAAGTGGCATTTTGTAATTTAGAAAAATTGCTAATCCTCAAGGTGCAGGAATAAAACTGCTAGCACATTTAAGTACAGGGTCGCACAAGCCATTTTAGTACTTTGTATGCTTGCACCAACACCATGAATTGGTAGCTCACTGGTAGCCAGTGCAGCACATTCACAGCCAGTGGCACCCTGGTCCCATCAGGCTTCTCAACGTACCAGCCGAACAGCTACAATCTACACTGGCTGGAGCCTCTGGGTTATCTTCAAGGCCCCCCCCCCCCCATGTTGGTGCTTACCTCTAAAGCCCTAACAGCCTCAGCCCAGTATACCTGAACGAGCGTCTCCATCCCCATTGTTCAGCCCAGACACTGAGGTCAGCGCCGAAGGCCTTCTAGCAGTTCCCTCACTGTGAGGAGCAAAGTTACAGGGAACCAGGCACAGGGCCTTCTCGGCAGCGGTGCCCGCCCTGTGGAACGCTCTCCCATCAGATGTCAAGGAAATAACTATCTGACTTTTAGAAGACACCTGAAAGCAGCCCTGTTTAGGGAACTTTTTAATGTTTGATCTTTTATTGTGTTCTTAATATCCTGTTGGAAGCTGCCCAGAGTGGCTGGGGAGGCCTCGCCAGATGGGCAGGGTATAAGTAATAAATTATCATCATCATCATCATCATCACCATCTTATTACAACTGACACCAGAGTCCAGGGAAACCAAGATGATCAAGGGTCTTGAAACCTGATGAGAAAGGGATCAGGCTGTTGGGTATGTTTGGCCTGGAAACGACACACTGAGGCCATACAATAGCCCACCTTCAAATCTCTAAAGGGTGGAAGATGAAGGAAGCTTGTTTTCACCTGCTCTGGAGGCTAGGACCTGAACCAATGGATTCAAGTGACAAGAAAGGAGATTCCAACTAAACACCAGGAAGAACTTTCTGCCAGTAAGAGCTGTTCGGCAGTGGAACGGACTCCCTCTGTGTCACGGGCGATCAAAGTCCTGGCTGAGGACGTCGGGACCGGGGGCAAGATGGCGGGATGGGAGCAGGAACGAGAGTCCAGAAGCCAGGAAGCAGGGAGTCACGAAGTCAAGGATCTGAGGGTTGAGAAGCAAGGAGTCAAGAAGCTGAGGTCCAAAGATCGGGAAGCAAGAAGCCAAATGCAGCAAGGCAGGAAACGAGTTGCTGTGGCAAAGAGCCGATGGGAAATGCTGACCTTATATCCCTTCCCGGCTCTTGCCACCAGGTGCAGTGAGTTACCAAGCAGCCTCACCTGTGCGGCCGCACCTTGCCTCTCCAGAACAAACTTAGGAAGGCCCCAATCCTGCAAAGTCCTACTTGTCACAGGGCCTGGCTCCTGCACACACTCCTGAAACTCAGGTGGCCGGCTCTGCCAACCTGTCAAACTTGCTCTGCAAGAGGTGGGGCAGACCCGGTTCTCACCACAGATATAGATATTCTGAGTAGCACCAAACACCTGTTTCCAGATGAAAGAACCAGGGGAACGAACTCCAACCCTCCAGTCTCCATGCTGCTCATTCGCCCTGTCCAGAATGTCTAACCAGGGCTGCATGCTCTCAGTCCAGCATGTGTGTGTGTGTGTGTGTGTGTGTGTGTGTGTGTGTGATTCTTCATATCTAAGAACACAAAAAGGAGTTCAGGCCAAGGGACAATCAGAAGCCAGCATCCTTTTTCCACCAGTGGTCAGCTAGATACTTCTGACAAGTCCAGAAAGAGGGCATGAACAGCCCTCCTCTGCTGTTTTCCTAAAGCAGCCAATATTTAGAGGTCCACTGTCCCTGAACTTGGAGGCTCCATTGAGGTGCTATGGCCAGTAGCAGCAGATAGATCATCTTATGTCCTACATATATTGGCCAAGCTCATAAGGATGTGTAAATCAGTAGCAATCACCACAACCTGCATGTTATGTAAGTTAATTCTGGGATCTGTGAAGCGGCAGCTAGGAAACGGTAGAGGAAATTCTGTTGCTGTGTTTGCTGCTCTTAACAAGGTCAGTGCAGAAGGCTAGAAAACCTTTTACCAAAATGTGCAAGTAGAGGCTTGAGTGCATTTGCACACACAATCTCAACACTTAGCAAACCAGCTACATTTACAAGTTCAAATATACCAAAGCCATCCATACAATTTCCCCAAATACTGATTCCAAACTCCCCTGTTTAAAACACAGAGCCCAAGTACCACTTCTGAAGCCCTAATGTAGAACTTTGATCTGTGGGAAGAGAATATAAGTCCAGTATTTAATTATTGTTGTAACGGTGAAGTGATACTACACTTTAACTGCATCCTCTAATGTCTCGGAAGGTAGATTTGAGTTTGTAGGATGGAACAAAAAAATTATGTATCGCATCATGCTGTTTTGTTTTTTAGCCACTATACTTGACTACCATCTAGTGGTTTCAGTAAAGATTGCAATCAATTGGCAAAAGTCTTTTCAAGAGTTAGTAATTGCTATTCCATGCAGCCTTGGCTTTAAATCTGTTTAACTTCCATTTCCTTATTTTTTTTAAACCACCAATTATTATGTGATCATCATCATCACAGACATGACTGGGAGTCAGGCATTGCAGTTTTGGCTGAGGAGCCACAGTCGTAAATGATGCTTTCTTGCAGGGGTGCCAACTTGAATAAAATAAGGGGTAAGCCCTGCCTCACATAATGGAACACAAGATGCAGTGCATGCACACCATTTGAATGGCAACACTCATCAACTGGGGGGGGGGGAGAAACTGTCACCCTCAAATATTTTATTGGGGTGTTTGTGAAGAGACCTCGGCCCCTAGGAGTTGGCTCCTATGCTTCCTTGCGAAACAACAAACCATCCAACGTTGCTCCGATGAAAATAGGAATGTCCTAAGGAAAAGCATGGGACACGGGTGGCACTGTGGGTTAAACCACAGAGCCTAGGACTTGCCGATCAGAAGGTCGGCGGTTCGAATCCCCGTGACGGGGTGAGCTCCCATTGCTCAGTTCCTGCTCCTGCCAACCTAGCAGTTCGAAAGCACCTCAAAGTGCAAGTAGATAAATAGGTACCGCTCCAGCGGGAAGGTAAACAGTGTTTCCGTGCGCTGCTCTGGTTCGTCAGAGTTATGCTGGCCACATGACCTGGAAGCTGTACGCCGGCTCCCTTGGCCAATAAAGCGAGATGAGCGCCGCAACCCCAGAGTCGGCCACAACTGGACCTAATGGTCAGGGGTCCCTTTACCCTTTAAGGAAAAGCAGGACGCCACGGATCAAATCGGAAACCGGGATGGCTTCTGTAAATTCAGGACTGTCCCTGGAAAACAGGGACACTTAAGAGGGTCTGAAACCACATCCTTCAGTGTTTGATAAGTGGGGCTATTATTTAGCATTTACAGTTTAACTACTACTGCTGCCTCTCAGAGGCCATGGTCCTGTGAAGCATTTTAAAGGTTAAAATAGGTGGTTTGGACTGGGCTCAGAGAGAGGCTAGGAGCTACGAGTACAGGAGTTGCATGACATTAAGACCCATCCCCACTTAGTAATCCCATGCTGTAATCCAGGGGTAGGCAACCTAAGGCCCGTGGGCCCAATCACCTTCTAAATCCGGCCCGCGGATGGTGCGGGAATCAGCGTGTTTTTACATGAGTAGAATGTGTGCTTTTATTTAAAACGAATCTCTGGGTTATTTTTGTGGCCTGCCTGGTGTTTTTACATGAGTAGAATGTATTTAAAAGTTTATGTATGTAAAACATATGCAGTGAGAGGTCCCAAAGGCCTTTGGTCATACAGTGGTGCCCCGCAAGACGAATGCCTCGCAAGACGAAAAACCCGCTAGATGAAAGGGTTTTCCGTTTTTCGATGCGCTTCGCAAGACGAATTTCCCTATGGGCTTGCTTCGCAAGACGAAAGCGTCTTGTGAGTCTTGCGATTTTTTTCGCTCCCCCCCCCTTTTTCTAAGCCGCTAAGCCGCTAAGCCTTTAATAGCCGCTAAACCGCTAAACCGCTAATAGCGCTAATCCGCTAATAGGGTTGCTTCGCAAGACGAAAAAACCGCTAGACGAAGAGACTCGCGGAACGGATTATTTTCGTCTTGCGAGGCACCACTGTACATTGAAGCCATACACAATGTACACACAGAGACTGCACATGACAAGGAAAGATCTGTCCTTCAAGAAAGATTGTACACAGTTCCTGAACCCACTGAGGAACCTTAAAGAGCAAAAAATCTTTAGCAGACTGCTAGACCTAGAAACCTATGTCATCATAAATTAGTTAGTCTGTTGCAGTAAAACACAACTAGGTCTTGTGGCACCTTGAAGGCTAACACGGCTCCTGCTCCGGAAGTTCTCATAGAGAAAAACCCTCCCAAGATTTCAAGGAACCACAAAGTTCCTTAGAACAAAGATGAAACCCAAGGCCCTATGACCCATACACCACCAGCAAACTTAAGCCACTTCCATGCGACCGTGGTTTCCTACAAGTGAGCTGCATCTCTCTAAAATGAGATTTTATAGCCTGCATCTTTGCTAACTCAAAGATTGCACGATCCTTTTTGTAAGGAACCCGAGTTCTTTTTTTTTTTAAAGACATCTGGAAACTTCTTTCATCTTTGTTTTACTGCCAGCAGACGGAGACTTATTTGCTGTGATTTCTGAAAACTCTGTGCATAAAAAGCTTCATTTATTTGGACAGCTGAAGTGTATGTGATTTATTCTAGCCAATGTACAGTGGTACCTTGGTTCTCGAACTTAATCCGTTCCGGGAGTCTGTTTGACTCCTGAAACTGTTTGAAAACCAAGGCACAGCTTCTGATTGGCTGCAGGAGCTTCCTTCACTCAAGTGGAAGCCACGGCTTCCAAAAAACGTTCACAAACTGGAACACTTACTTCTGGGTTTGTGGCATTCAGAAGCCGATTTGTTCGACAACAAAGCCATTCAGGAACCAAGGTACCACTGTATTTTCATGGGGAACATTTGTATGAAGGTGGATGTAAATCTAACCAAGTTTTAATGTGAACAGTCACCATTGCGCTAACTCTGATACAAGAGAGTAAGAGATCTCTGTCCCAAAGCTCTTTCTCCAACAGTTGCCCTCTCATTTACGCATGAGGAGTAAGATCCCTGAAGTCTTACTTTTATCTGAGTTTCAGTCAACAGATGGTCATAATTTTATTGCTCTGACCAGTAAAACCACATTCTGGCGGGTAACCTCATTGCTGAAAAGCCATCTGGAGAAAGACTTTGCCAGGATCTTCCCCAGCCTATCCTTCCTTCACTCCTTAGCCCAGCAACCTCCCATGAACTCAAAATTTGCTAGTCCTATTTGCACATACCTTGTCTAATTGTGTAAAATAAGCTGAAGTCAAAATTAAAGTAGAAAGAGAAAAGAAGTTACACTTTCCATGGAATAGGGCATAGTCATGTTGCCAGAGTATTGTGCTGCTATTTTAGAAAATCATGTTCTCACTGGAGCAGAATAAATCCATCTTTTTTGTTTTCTGAGCCAGAAGCACAGGTAAAGCAACTACAGAACACTGGCCATCTTCTTCCTAGCGGGAGGGATTACTGAAAAAGACTATCGATAATGAAAATGTAAATTGAGCATAAAATGCATTTTTAAAAAGAATTTGGAGAACTCTGCAATGTGCTTTTCACAGCTGACCAGCATGCTTTGCATTCTGTTCGCAGCACAAATATGGAGAGTGAAATGTCAGAATGACTTTTTTTTATCAGTATACATAATCAGACAAAAAATAAATAAATCTGTAGCCACGGTCCATCTTCATTTCATCACTTCCAGTGGCATGTACATTCAGATACACATCCAAATGAACATTGCCATCCCACTCTACACTGTGTTACTGTATACCCCCCCAACATTTTGGGAGGGCAAATTGGGGGCTTACCCCCACCAGCCCACTGCCCCCTTGCTGCTGCCACCCTCGCCTTTCCTTACTGCATGTCCTTGCTTACACCTTTGCTGTCATTTTGTCCCTCCGCCTGTGTTCAAAAGCCCTTCTAGGGTCACAACTGACGCTCCCTGCCACCAGGCACGGGCCCTGGCGCAAGTATTCCAGCCACACCACCAGGGCCGGATTTAGGTTTGATGAGGCCCTAAACTCCTGAAGGTAACGGGGCCCTTTATATGTCCAGCTGTCCTTTGCCAACAACAAATTGTTGCTGCTTTTTGTGTTGAATATATGCTATATGGTAATTTATGGACCTAATAGGTATCTAAAACCATTTGCACATAACAAAATACAGTGGTACCTCGGATTAAGAACTTAATTCATTCTGGAGGTCCGTTCTTAACCTGAAACTGTTCTTAACCTGAGGTACCACTTTAGCTAATATGACCTCCCGCCTTTGCTAAGCAGCCACCGCGCGATTTCTGTTCTCATCCTGAAGCAAAGTTCTTAACCTGAGGTACTATTTCTGGGTTAGCGGAGTCTGTAACCTGAAGCATATGTAACCCGAGGTACCACTGTGTGTATTTATCAAAGTAATTGTTGAACTGAAATACAATTAAGAAGAAGTACATTAATAGTGAAATACAACTGTATATATAGAAATGAGCAAACCAGTGATATTTTAGGGAGCAGGCTAGCAGGTGGGGCCCATTACTTACATCCTAGGAGCCTACACAACACAAAACACTGTTGCTGTATGTAGGTTTTATTTTATTTTTTATCTTATATTTTGGAAATGTACATCCAGGTCTTTTTCCCTTTCAATTTTTTGGGGGGCCCAAGAGAGCGGGGCCCTAAGCTACAGCTTGTTTAGCTTATACGTAAATCCGGCACTGCACACCACAGATACCCATCTTTGTATACTCCCATGATGCTCTGTGTTCCCTGTCCTCAGTGGGGGCAACCAGTGCAGAAAGGGGTGGGGAAACTTGCAACACAGCAGCTGGTTTGTTTTCCTTATGAAACAGTATGGGGAAAATGGGAGAAGGCAGAGATGTGAGACTCTGATTTGCAGCCACTGGTTAGCCATAGCACGTAGCTCAGCCTTCCCCAACTATGCTGTGGTCCAAAATACCTGGAGAGCACAAGATCTGAGAGGTTGGCCTAATTCCTGCCTTATATTCCTTTGTACAGGGATGCGGGTGGCACTGTGGGTTAAACCACAGAGCCTGGGACTTGCCGATCAGAAGGTTGGCGTTTCGAATCCCCGCGAAGGGGTGAGCTCCTGTTTCTCGGTCCCTGCTGCTACCAGCCTAGCGGTTCGAAAGCACGTCAAAGTGCAAGTAGATAAATAGGTACCGCTCCGGCGGGAAGGTAAACGGCGTTTCCGTGCACTGCTCTGGTTCGCCAGAAGCGGCTTAGTCCTGCTGGCCACATGACCCAGAAGCTGAACGCCAGCTCCCTCGACCAATAAAGCGAGATGAGCGCCGCAACCCCAGAGTCGGCCACGACTGGACCTAATGGTCAGGGGTCCCTTTACCTTTATTCCTTTGTACAAAATGACTTATAAACGTCAGTCAATCACACGCACACACAATTTTCCTGTGTGACTGCATTTTTGTTGGAAAAGGGCAGGCGTGGGATTTTCGGCCACTGTGTGCCAGTCTTACTCCACAACAAGCAGAAACTGAGCCATAGGTGCAGAATAAGGAATCTGCTCAGTAAGCACATCTGAATATCTACCGAAGGAGGTGGGGAAAAGAAAATCAAATGATATACCTGGTGGGAAGAATCTGCCCCGACATGAAACATACTAATCAGTTAGACCGAAGCACTTATTTCAATAGAGCAATTTTCAGCTATGATAATTCTTTTCGTTCGTAAGACAACCCGAAGACATATCACTGGAATGTAATCTTTCCTCTTCAACTCACACTACTCAAACTGTGTTGTATATTGATTAGGGCTGCAAAGTTAGTTAATTAAACAGATTAACCAATTTTGAAATTCAACTACAAAAGTGCCCCCAATTATTGTAGATGTCAAGCACCGTCTTAAAAGTAGCCTTCTCCTTTCTCTTGGATTTATGCTAGGACAAAGCAGATGTGCTTCTTGCGGCAGAAATTAAATTGGTTAATTCACAGTGCAATCTTGTGCATCAAATCTAAGAGAAAGCTTCACTGAGTTCAATGGTGCTTGCTCCCAGGTAAACGGCAGTAGGTTTGCCACAATTATATAGCAGAATCCCTGGCAAGTTTACACAGAAGTCAGTCATCTTAAATTTAATGGGAATTACTTTCGAATAAGTGCATATAGGACTGCATCCTAGCAGACTTTGCCTTCTGTTCCTTTCTTTCTTAAACTTGAGTCCAAAAAGTCAACTGGACTCTTCTAATAAGTTTCCTGTCGGCAGAGTTTCCGTTGCTGTTTACATCTTTAGGAAATATTTTATTTTCTCTGCATATTCTCTTTTGATCAGGGTAGTGAACCTTCTGTCTACAGGCCAAATGTTGTCGTCAGCCTCTCTATCCATTTGTTTTAATAATTCAATATTTCTGACTACAGTGGTGCCTCGCAAGACGAAATTAATCCGTTCCGCAAGAGTCTTCGTCTAGCGGTTTTTTCGTCTTGCGAAGCAAGCCCATTGACGGATTAGCGCTATTAGCACTATCAGCTGTTTAGCGGCTATTAAAGGCTTAAAGGCTTAGGGGATTAGCTGCTAAAAGGCTATTAAAGGCTATTAAAGGCTTAGCAGATTAGATAAAGGGGGGGGAAAGCGAAAAAAATCTCAGGACTCGCAAGGTATTTTCGTCTTGCGAAGCAAGCCCATAGGGGAATTCGTCCTGCGAAGCAACTTCAAAACGGAAAACCCTTTCGTCTAGCGGTTTTTCCGTCTTGCGAGGCATTCGTCTTGCGGGGCACCACTGTAACCGTTTCCCCCCCTCATTTTCATGGTACTCCAAAGTTTCCTTAAAAAAACCAAAGCAAAAGAGAAAACTAATACCACCAAATTAGCCACTAGGTGGCCACAATTTCAGCACCTTGTCTTAAAGTCTTCCTATGAAAAAATCCTGCGACTTAGGTTATACTGCAATTGCAGAATTTATGTATCTTCAGTTTTCTTCCCACATGCTGTAATTTAATTTCATTCTATGGAAACAGCTTGTGAAATGAAGGCTTTGAGTTTAAAGGGCACCTATAATCTTTATAGAAGCTGGGTGTATATATTTCTTTGCATTTTGGATGGGTAAGTGTATGCAAAATTCAAGTCTTGACTTTCTCTCAATTGTGTTGGCAGCTATGTAAAATGTAAATACAAAAAGTTATTAGCAGGCAGATGCTTATTGCATGTCATCAAATAAAAGGTACAATTTCATGTCTGCCATCAAACACTATCAAATTATGAAATCAAACAGAGGATTTAAAGTGCATATATGAAACATTTGTAATCCACAAGTGTCAAATGTTTAACTGAGTATTTGAGACATATCTGGAGCATTTGCAGAGGCAATTGTTTTGAGATAATATGAAGGAGCCAATTTGTTTTAGCTCTACTAAAATCAAGAAACCAAATCAACAAGTTTAACTGATGTAATGATTAGTACATAGTTATTACAACAAACATTATATTTCAAAGCTTCCTTTGTACTTCTTGTGTGTTTTGTGAGTCGCTATCAAAATCTTTTAGATTTTTATACATAAATGATTGTTTTAATATTTAAAAGTAGTAATATTTAAAAGCATACTGTTACCCTTGACCTGACCTGGGCTCCTGTCCCGGAGCATTGAATCAGGGCCACCTCAAGCCAACCCAGGGAGCACCTCACCCAAGATCTGGCCCTGAATCAACATGGGGACATGGATAATGTTTCATTAGGACGTGTCTTTCCCCTCTGACTGTATGCAGAGAGCGGGAGGGTTCAATCCTGCTGGTTGCTGCTTCATTGGATCATTCCCACTGGCAAACATGCTTGCAAGGCAGCATCCTGCAGACAGCAGGATTAAACCCTCCACTGAATGGAGGATACAATCCTGCTCACTGTGTTCCCCTTATGCGTTATCCCAGATCCCATTGAATCAGCTCGATTCAGTTCGGGTGTCAAACGAATCCAGTGCACAGATCTGTTTGAAAGGTTTCCTTGTCCAATCCTCTTTCTGGCTTTTTGCAGAAATAATAAAGCCATGAAGAACACAGCTGATCTTCTTGTTTGTGTCTTCCACTGCAGCATTTGGCTTTCAGCATATCTTCCCTGGCTCTGGACTTCAATCAAAGTGTGAACTAACTCACTAAGCACAAAACGTTGCTGCTCCATTCCAATTTCCAATTAACATCATTTTTCCTCCGCCCTGGCAGCCAAAGTTCCCTTACTCTCCACCCAGTTCATCTTAATAGTTTTCGTTTAAGCAGTGGTTTTTTTTACTCTGCAGCATGAAAACTATGGCATGCAAAAAACGAAAAGAAAAGGATATTTTAGAATATATCCTTAGCTTTGCCTTCCCATGCCAGTTTGGAACTGCTCTTCCAATTCCTCTTGGTGCCAATGTAGATTTTTGACTCTAAAAGTGTGTGTTTATTGAAGCAAACATCCTGTAAAGTCTCTGGCTCCACAACATGAGACACATCTGCACTCAATGAGTTATTTTAGCCTTCCGTTTTGTATGTGTCTTATGATACAGTTGAAAATCTGCCCAACGGTAGACTTGCTTTTCCTGCTGGGAAATTCATGTAGCCTAACAAGTCCTAACAACTTAGAGCTGATTCTCATGCTTCTGAGCATCCCAGAACAATTGGGGAAGGCATAAAACAGGAGAGGTTGTTCCATGGCCAGTTTCACTAGTGATTAGAAAATGGCCATACTCCCTGTCTGGCCATTTCAGATGGACATTCAACCACAATTTCCATCTGAAACCAGCACACTTGTTTTCTCCTGCTCTGGAGGGTAGGACCGGAACCAGTGGCTCAAAGGAGATTCCAACTAAACCATCGGGAAGAGTTTTCTGATGGTAAGTTCTGTTTGACAGTGGTGTTATGTACTGAAGTTCTCACCCTGGGCCAGCAGGAGGACACTGTAGATAGTTATGCAAATGAAGGATCGAAAGTGACGTTCAGTGATTGGATAGTTTGTATGCAAATGAAGGATCGAAAGTGACGTTCAGTGATTGGATAGTTTTAGAAAGTTGCTACAGTTACGTTGTTCTGGAGCTCTATATAAGCAGGCTGACTGAGCTCTTCAGTTCAGTTCTGTTCTGGCCTTTGAATAAACAAGAGCTGTTTGAAGAATCGCTGTGTCGTCTGATATGTTCACCCACAACTTAACAAGTGGAATGGCACCTCAGGAATTGATGGACTCTCCTTCCTTGGAGGTTTTCATGTAGAGGTTGGATGGCCATCTGTTAGTGATGCTTTAGCTGAGATTCCTGCATTGCAGAGGGTTGGACTAGATGACCCTTGGAATCCCTTCCAACGCTACAAAAAATAATAATAAAAGGGAAGGAGTGGATGCCAAAGACTGCAGAAACTGAGTATCAGCAAATGCAGTAAAACAGCTTTATTATAGTTTGAGATGTTGGCAGCGATTTCATGGGAGAGCTGGCTTCTGATAGTAGGGATATTGTGAGTATGTGTAATTTTCTGCTCTGAATGCAGAACCTCCATATTTGCCCCAATAGGCAGTGGATTTGAGACTGTTATTGAGTCCACAGACAAAAAGGCAGTATCTGAATGCTGCTTTTGCAAATAGCAATATTTCCTGGGTTCACAATAATGATTGAGTCCTGAATGACACTGTTTACAGAGTTTTCTTCGCTTTTGAATGGAAAGCATTGTGGGTAATTAAGCCAAATATGGGAAGAATTATCCCGATCTGTATTGTGGAAACCACAAACCTGCTTCTGACCTGATCACTGATGTCAGCATACACAAAAGCATAGATTCTCCTTATTTAGCAGAAGTTGTTTATATAGTACCTTCGATTAAGGTGATCAAACATTGAGACCTGCGGGTATAGCGCGGTATACAATTTTAATTAAATATTATTATTAATTATAGAATGTGGCTTTGGAGTGGCAGCCATCAGTATGGAAGCATATAGCCCTTGGGCTAGTTCCACTTTTCTGATGTGATAAGACAACCTCCACTGTTAGAAGCCAGTCAAAATATGAATACAGTGGTACCTCGGGTTACAGACACTTCAGGTTACATACGCTTCAGGTTACAGACTCCGCTAACCCGGAAATAGTACCTTGGGTTAAGAACTTTGCTTCAGGATGAGAACAGAAATCGCGCAGCGGGAGGCTCCATTAGCTAAAGTGGTGCTTCTGGTTAAGAACAGTTTCAGGTTAAGAACGGACCTCCGAAACGAATTAAGTACTTAACCCGAGGTACCACTGTATTTGTTAGGCTCACACAAACTTAGGTTCTGGTTGACAGTGCATCTGGGATTGGGAGGAACAGATCATGCATCCAAAATCTGCCACAGTGAAACAGCATCTGGGAAAGGATGGCCAGGCAGATGCCTGGAAGGCAGGCATTGACTCCAGGTTCCAAGGAGAGTGAAGGGTAGCCCCCTGGTCGTTGTCTTCTTCAGCGATCACTCTTAGCCAAGTAAGATTGTCTTCCATAACCACGGTTTTAACAATGAGTCTGTAAGTGACTGTGGAGGCCAGTTCTGGATCCACACGTCCTTCCACAGTGGGGACTTTGGTTTCCAGGCTGGAGTTGATCATGGTGAGGGTTTGCCAAGCGTGCCTTCCTCCTAGCACGTTTCTCCCTTGCGACCTGAGTTTGAGCGTCTTCAAAGTCCATGACACCTTTGGTAAAGGCTGTTCTCCAACTGGAGCGCTCGCAGGCCAGTGTTTCCCAGTTGTCAGTGTTTATACTACATTTTTTCAGATTTGCCTTGAGACAGTCTTTAAACCTCTTTTGTTGACCACCAGCATTATGCTTTCCATTTTAAAGTTCAGAATAGAGTAGTTGCTTTGGAAGACGATCACCAGGCATCCGCACAACATGGCCAGTCCAATGCAGTTGATGTTGAAGAATCATTGCTTCAACACTGGTGATCTTTGCTTCTTCCAGTACAATGACATAAGTTATAGAAATGGAACCAAGGGGTTGATGTAAGAGGTGTTCAGTATTTAGTTTCATTTTAACTGGAGTGGAGACTAGATGGGTCATTTCAGGGAGAAGTGGGTAGGGTGTGAAACCCAATGCTTTCTATTTTGATAATAACGGAATATTTTCCGTAGGCTGCTTTGGGCACCCCTCACTCCCGAAAAGTGGCATATAATTAATAGCAAGCAAGCAAGCACACACACACACTGGAATGTAATAAGGGAAAAAAATATTGTGTTGCGAACCCATGGTGACATCTCTACACACTTATCATATTAAGCATTTACATTGCGGGGGGGGGGGGGATGACTAACTTTTTTGGCCCTACCTTGGCCAACCCACACTCTCACATACACAGAGGAAGAAGGCAGGCAAGCACAACAAGATCTCAGCAAATTATGAACTAGGTGACCCTCTAGTTCCTTCTAACTTTACAATTCTATGACTATTTCCAAATAGTCCCTTAATACTTAAATATTGGCCAGTTATTTCAGACTGGTCCTGTTGTATTTTAATAAAATATTTGGTATCGGATTCCCGTTACTATTTTTTCAGCAGATACATGTATTACAGCAATTCTGGCGGCCACCAACTTGGAGTGATTTATGCTCTTGCGTTTTTTGTTGTTTCTGCTCATTATAGTTTTGCCATGGAAGTGAGACATCCATCATGTCAAGGCTGCCAAATACTTAATGAACCACATTTTACGAACCTCTTCAGCATGGCAAACCCCAGCCATTCTCTTCTTGGGCAACAGTTAGGCAGCAATAAATCTCTACTTCCTGCTGGGAGCAAGTGTAATCTGTGAAGTGCTGCAATCCCCCAGCTTTGCCAAATGAAATTAAACCGGAGAGAAAAATATCAGATCCCAAAGGATCTGCTGGTGGCTCAACCTGAGCTTATGAGTAACTGGAAAAGACATGTAAGGCCAATATGTTGTAGAGTACTATACAGTACTTGAAGTATCTGAAAAGAGTATATTAGTATCTTCACCCTAGCCATTCCTTCCTCCTCATTCATCATAGACTAAATATTACCAGTACAGATCTGCCAGAGAACTGGAGTAGATTCCAAGTCAGAATATTCATAAATACTCCTAAAAGGTTAACATACAGTAGAGCAAGTGAAGAAGGCTGGAGCTCACTTCTTATCTGATTAATAGACATTTATAGCCTGCCCTTCACCAGGGAGTTCCAGGCTGAGTTACATGCAGTGCAACAGCTCAGTGGTCAAGCATGTCAGGTTCGTTCCTTGCCATCTCTTGGTCAGGATGGGACTGTCCTTTGCCTCAAACCCTGGAAAGCCAACACCCGTCCATGAGGACAATGGATGGACCAATGGTCTGACTCAGTACAAGGTAGCTTCCTACGTTCCTACTGCAAGTAAGCCATGTAATTGCAAATGCATTGCTAGAACATAAAATTAAACCAAATCAACAGCTAGTCAGAAACAGCAACAACCAACAGGAGAGATATTCTGGGTTCAAGTCACAAAATGGCTGCCATGGGGGTGTGGCACAACATAAAATCATACCGTCATGGTGGAGGTTTCCCCATAACAGCTTTTTCATTCTAGAAAAGACAAACTGTTGAGTTTCTGCATGCTGTATAGCTGTTAAAGGCACAAGATCCCCATTTCCCTGAAATGCCAACCCTAAACCAAAAGCTTAGGCTGCCCTATTAAACACAAAGAGACTTACTCCTAAGTAGAAATGTATACCATTGTACTGAAAGATAATTGTACAGTAAATGCTTTACTGAGTGCTTGATCAGGAGGAGACATGCTAAACCTCTTTGCAAAGTTTTTACATTTGCCTTTTGTGGGAGGGGCATTGTTTTTGGCACCCATCATAGGAGCCAACTCCTAGGGACTGAGGTCCCTTCAGCCCCCCCACCCCCATAATAATATTTGAGGGGACCTCCCCCCAACAACGTTTCCATATGCTGCTCTGGTTTGCCAGAAGCGGCTTAGTCATGCTGGCCACATGACCCGGAAGCTGTACGCAGGCTCCCCTGGCCAATAAAGCGAGATGAGCGCCGCAACCCCAGAGTCGGCCATGACTGGACCTTATAGTCAGGGGTACCTTTACCTTTACCCCCCTGACAAAGCTGAGAGGCATTGCCATTCAAATGGTGTGCCCATGCCGTGTCCCGTGATCAATTATGCTGGGCACAGCTTATCTGCCAGCGCCCAATATTTTATTCAAGTTGGCCCCACTGTCAACCATATTTTTTGTGCAGTAGTGTTTGCAGAAAATGCCATACTTTCCCGTGTATAAGCCGCCGCCTATTTTGGGGACTCAAAATTAAGAAAATGGGGGTGGGGATTGCCCAGAGTTGAGCTTTTTTTTTGGGGGGGGGGAAATCACTCACCCACCTGCCCACAACGCTGCCAATAACACACATCACAGAAGCCAACAATCATCTGCCTGCTCACCGCCAGCAGCCGCCAATCGCCCGTCCAATTGCCACAACAACAGCCAATCGACAGCAGCCCTTGCCACAGCCACCAGTCACCCGAACAATCGCCGCTGACAATCTCCTACTCGCGGCAGCAACCAATCACCCGACCCCACTCTGAACTACCCATGTATAAGACGACCCCAATTTTTTTACATTATTTTAACAGAAAAAAACCTCGTCTTATATACGGAAAAGTACGGTAACTTTTAGGGACTGCCCAGTGTCAGATGAATCACCCCATGAAAGATGCATCCTGGTTGCTAGGGGGGAAGGAAGGACAAACTTAACTATAAAATAAGACAGGCAGGAAAATTCACTAAAGGGAGGGGGAAAATAGCAGCTCCTCAGGACCCCAGAGATTCCTATGCTGGGTCTAAAGAAGGGGGAAAGGGCAGGCAAGAGGGAGGATCAATAATCCAACCCCTGCCAAAACCTTCTAGAGGTGTTGCAGCCAAACCCTGAGTATCAACCTCTTGGGTCATAACAGGATGTTGAATAAAGACAATAGAAACCGACCCTGCCAGTTGGTACTGCCACTTCTGCTAGTTTCCCAACATGAACCAGGAGAAACGTGGGCTGTTTTAGGACATCTTTGGGCTTCCCAAGGACAATAACCAAACTGTCCTCTCTCTGCCTTTTGAGCTCCAGTGCCACAAATTTCTCAGTACCAGAGCACTAAGAAGTCAGGCTTTACAACCAAGCTATCTCTGAGCCAAACTTCAGAGGCAAGCTTCCTCCAAGAAGCCACACCAGCATAAATGCTAGAAGAGTACTTGCACATTTTGCTTCATGGCCTTATTTCTAGGAGGGAGAAAGAAGAGAGGGGGAGCTTTTTTTAAAAAAATCGGGTCCTATAGAATCATAGAGTTGGAAGAGACCACAAGGGCCATCGAGTCCAACCCCCTGCCAAGCAGGAAACACCACCAGAGCACTCCTGACATATGGTTGTCAAGCCTCTGCTTAAAGACCTCCAAAGAAGGAGACTCCACCACACTCCTTGGCAGCAAATTCCACTGTTGAACAGCTCTTACTGTCAGGAATGTTTAGGTGGAATCTTCTTTCTTGTAGTTGCTCCATTGCTCCGTGATCCATTGCTCCGTGTCCGCTTCTCTGGAGCAGCAGAAAACAACCTTTCTCCCTCCTCTATGTGACATCCTTTTATATATTTGAACATGGCTATCATATCACCCCTTAACTCCTCTTCTCCAGGCGAAACATGCCCAGCTCCCTTAGCCGTTCCTCATAAGGCATCGTTTCCAGGCCTTTGACCATTTTGGTTGCCCTCCTCTGGACACGTTCCAGTTTGTCAGTGTCCTTCTTGAACTGTGGTGCCCAGAACTGGACACAGTACTCCAGGTGAGGTCTGACCAGAGCAGAATACAGTGGCACTATTACTTCCCTTGATCTAGATGCTATACTCCTATTGATGAGGCCCAGAATTGCATTGGCTTTTTTAGCTGCCGCGTCACACTGTTGGCTCATGTCAAGTTTGTGGTCAACCAAGACTCCTAGATCCTTTTCACATGTCCTGCTCTCAAGCCAGGTGTCCCCCATCTTGTATTTGTGCCTCTCATTTTTTTTGCCCAAGTGCAATACTTTACATTTCTCCCTGTTAAAATTCATCTTGTTTGTTTTGGCCCAGTTCTCTAATCTGTCAAGGTCGTTTTGAAGTGTGATCCTGTCCTCTGGGGTGTTAGCCACCCCTCCCAGTTTGGTGTCATCTGCAAATTTGATCAGGATGCCCTTGAGTCCATCATCCAAGTCGTTGATAAAGATGTTGAATAAGACCGGGCCCAAGACAGAACCCTGTGGCACCCCACTAGTCACTCTTCTCCAGGATGAAGAGGAACCATTGATGAGCACCCTTTGGGTTCGGTCAGTCAGCCAGTTACAAATCCACTGAGTGGTAGCATAGTCAAGACCACATTTTACCAGCTTCTTTACAAGAATATCATGGGGCACCTTGTCAAATGCCTTGCTGAAATCAAGGTAGGCTACATCCACAGCGTTCTACATCATCTACCAGGCTTGTAATTCTGTCAAAAAACGAGATCAGGTTAGTCTGACATGACTTATTTTTCAGAAATCCATGCTGACTATTGGTGATCACAGCATTCCTTTCTAGGTGCTCACAGACTGTTTGCTTAATGATCTGCTCCAGAATCTTCCCTGGTATTGATGTCAGACTGACTGGGCGGTAATTATTTGGGTCCTCTCTTTTCCCCTTTTTGAAAATAGGGACAACATTTGCCCTCCTCCAGTCTGCCGGGACTTCGCCTGTTCTCCAGGAATTCTCAAAGATGACTGCCAGTGGTTCTGAGATCACATCTGCCAGTTCTTTTAATACTCTTGGATGCAGTTCATCTGGCCCTGGAGACTTGAATACATCTAAACTAGCCAAGTATTCTTGTACTATCTCCTTAGTTATTCTGGGCTGTGTTTCCTCTGCTGAATCATTTGCTCCAAATTCTTCAGGTCGGGCATTGTTTTCTTTATCAGAGAAGACTGAGGTCCTCCCTTAAAGAGGGCACGTATTGTGGTGAGACCTGGACAACCGACACCCTGTGTTGTGGGTGGGTACGATTGGTCAGCCACAACACCCGACTGGTAGGTCCCTCGTAGCTGGGTGCAATCTGGCCAATGGGATGCAGTCCAAACGGTTCGCGGGACCTATTTATGCCCAGGCACATGACCCAGAGCTTCCTCTTTCGGTGCGTGCATTTGGAACACCTGCCCACCTCTCCCTACTTTTAGGGCTTTGCGCTTGACCTTGCTATGCCGTCATGTGTTGACTGTCGTTGGGACTGGGGCACGGCAGGAATTTTCCCCCTTGGCTGGTTGGCTGGTGCCATTTGGGCTTTGCCTGCCGCGTAGCAAATCGTCACAACTTGTAAGGTTGCGGATAGGCTCTGGTTCAGGTGATAGGGATGGGAGAACACTCTCGCCATCCCTATGTGAAGGATATTCCGTTAAAGGAATCCAGGGACTTGATGGTTTGGTCAACCCCTGAGAGGGGGTTGTGCCCATGCCTAAGTCCAGGGGGACATTTGGGTGGTGGAGTTAGCCCGTTCCCGGCTTTCCGCTTATCCAGGTGTTCACCCTTGGCTGACCTATGCTGGAACCCTGGGTCAGCGCTACCTGCATGGCAGAGAGCTATTCTCACCAGAGCCTATGCAACCAGTCACTTTCTGTAATCAATAAATTTGTGGCCTAAATTCCGCCAAAAACCAAAACCAACATTTTGAGTCAAGTGTGTATTTATTTAGGGGGGAAGTTTCTGGGTCTGAACATGCAAATGAAAGCTCAGACATTAGGGCCCCTGGCCAGTAGCCCCAATGGTACCCACGAGTGCCAGGTTGGCAACCCCCATTACACACAGCACATTTTTATTCTGTTAAGCCTTTGAGCTGAATTTGTATGCCTGCCTTAAAGTCATCTCATACACTTAAAATAATGGTAGCAACGTGTGTTTTGACTTTCTAAAATTGCCTTCATTCTTCATTGCCTTCATGTTCTTTTATTTTGCACGCTCAAATATACAAAGCATATGCTCTCCCACGGAGCTATAATATAAGACTGTTTACAGTGGAAAAGTCAACCGTTGAATTATACCTCTTCTAAGAGCCTTGGCATCTCTAATGCAAGAACCCCACCTGATTGACTTCAACCACAAACCACTGCCTATATCCGATTTCTACCTGTCACCTGAGTTGGAAGAAGTTTTCTTCCCGTTTTGTAGCAATGTGCTGCGAAAGACAAGTGAAAAAGAATGATCCGTTTTGACAAAGGCATAATCTATTCACCTTAAATATGCTTAGGAGAGCAAAAAGGAGATGAGCTGTAAGGAAATCACTGCAGCAACAAGAAATATGGTTTCATAAATACTGCTGCTGCTGAAGGAGCAAAAATCATATTATTAAAATAATTATTATCCTGACCTCCCAAAAATTCAGCAGCTAGAAACAACAACAATTTTTGGTCAATATCTGTGTGTCATTAGGTTAAATCCATAAAATGAAAAAATAGCAACACTCATGTTAATCAAAACCGGAGAGGCTGGAGTGCAGAAAATCAACAACATACTGTTCTTTGTGCGTTGGCAGCAATCTGATATATCTGGAAGGCACAAAAGAGTGTCCCTAGTAGAATTACAGAGTTGTAGAGCTGGAAGGGGCCACAAGGGTCATCTAGTCCAGCCCCGTGAAATGCAGGAATATTTTGCCCAAGGTGGGGCTTGAACCCATAACACCGAGATTAAGAATCTCAAGTAGGGATAGACTCTTCTGAGAATCTCACCACCCAACTAATCCTCACAAATCACCGTATTTTTCACTCTATAAGATGCACCCGACCATAAGACGCACCCAGTTTTAGAGGAGGAGAACAAGAAAAAAATATTCTCTCCCTCTCTGCGCAGTGCCTCTCCAGCAAAGTGGAAGGGGCTCTGTTTCTCCTCCTGCTTTGCTGAAGGGGTGCTGCGCAGAGAGGGAAAGCTGCGCAGTGGCTCTCCAGCGAAGCGAAGCCTCCTTAGCACACCAGAAGCGCTCCCGCTGCACTCAGGAGGCTACGGGGGGCTATCCCTGAAGCCAGGAGAGCAAGAGGGATCAATCCCTCTTGCTCTCCTGGCTTCAGCGAAAGCTGCGCAGCCTGCACTCGCTCCATAAGACGCACATACATTTCACCTTACTTTTGAGGAGGGGAAAAGTGCATCTTATAGAGCGAAAAATACAGTATTCCTAATTCCCGTCTTGCTTCTTGATCTGCACAAAAGTTATTTCCTCCCACCAGCTCTGCTAAAAATACAGACAATTCCTACATATTATATGCATCATCACAGACATATTATGTACATGTTATTTACTCCATGTTCCCTAAACAGATACATACAACAACAGTGCATATTACTGTATAAAAATACTAGTATGATAACTAAATTATGCTACAGAAACAGCATCAGGTTTGACACAGATGTATTATACATGCATTTGATTTGTGGGTGTGGGTGTGCATAATTTTGTGTATAATTGGCGTGGCTTTCAAAACAACAACAATGAGCAGCAACGCACAAGTGGCTCAGATGAAAGTGCAAACTCGCTGCAAAGAGTGATATGATGTGAGCAAAGCTTGATCATATTGGAGCCACCATATTCCGTATTTAAATCTGTTTTAAACCCGATTCCTCTTCCACCCCGAGGTCCTAGCCACAACCCTCTCAACCGGCCGCCAGAGATTTGAAAGTAACTGAGGCAGGCATTGCTAAAATAGTGGCTGTAGGCCAAGACTATCACCTAAGGAGGTGATAGGAGATGAACCTCTTTGCCTCTACTGGAGCTGTGACTTCCTCTCTTTATCCTTTAGGCTATTTTGTCACTTTGAGGATAATTTCCCTTGTGGGAGAAGCCTGAGGCACAGTATTCTTCTGTCACCCACTAAGACTTCTCTATCTTCTCACACAGCAGACCTAATATTTCCTTTTTCTTCCACCCTAAAAAACGCCCCCACCTTTTTTGTAATTTTAACAGCTCTTGTAAACTAATCTTCACCCTTGGACATTTGTCCCCCCTATTTCCTGTGCATGTCCTTGTGCAGCCATCCTGACTTCTATCTATTGCTCCCATTTTTGAAATTCTCTGCTCTTAAGGAACTCTGATTTGCAACAGATTAAAAAAAAAAAAAGCAAAAAATGGCTTTTTGGCTTTTTTTAAAAAAACAACAACAGCAACCTTCCATTCTAAAGCTTTTAAGGAACATGGCTTGGTCATGTATACAGAATGGAAGATGGCAGGCTCCCCAGGGAAGCTGGCTTCAGGCACTTTGTAAGTCCGAGTTACAAAGATGTCTGCAAACATGACATGACGACTGGGAACATCAACTCCATCATGTGTGAATCCCTTGCAGACAACTGCAGTGCCTGGCAACAGATAGTCAGGCACTGCAGGCATCTACAGCCAGTGACCCAGAGGAGAAATAACAGCTGGGAGGAGGGCAGAGAGAGTAGAAACACCCTGGTGCTTCCGCAGCAGCACAGCCTGACACCCTCCTCTGCCCCAGGTGCAACAAAACATGTCTCTCCTGTATCAGTTTCTACAGCCACAGCAGGCGCTGTGACTCTCCAACGCTTTGACGTCAGCCTCAAAGGCACACTTTTCCATTGTCTTTTGAGACAGGTGGGTGCCAATTTTTTTTGGGGGGGGGGATGAACGAATTCCTATGCCCCACAAATAACCCAGAGATGCATTTTAAATTAAAGGAAACATTCTACTCTTGTAAAAACACGCTGATTCCCGGACCGTCCGCAGGCCAGATTTAGAAGGCGATTGGGCCAGATCCGGCCCCCGGGCCTTAGTTTGCCTACCCATGCTCTACAGAAGGGGTGGCCAACTCCCAAGAGACTGCAATCTACTCAGAGTTAAAAACTGGCAGTGATCTATCCCTTTTTGGGGGGTTCAGGTCAAAGTTGTTGAGTTTTTTCAGGGAGGAGGTAAAATGTTGAGCTTTTTTTAGGGGAGCCACAGTTGTTCGGCTTCTTTGGAGGGAACCAATGATCTACCGCAGACGTCCAGCGATCTACCGGTAGATCACGATCTACCTGTTGGACATACCTGCTCTACAACATGTGCAGAAACTGCCTTCTGCTCAATTTGCTGGAGCCTGTGTCTGCATGCAGGGAAAGTCCCTAACTCATCGAGGGTTTAAGACCTGTTGGCTACCCTCACCTGGTTTAATCGGCCATTTGAAGCAGTCTCCCAGGGCGTGTCTGCTGTCATGACAATACCGCCACACCAATAAGCAAATGAGTACATCATGGTTACTTCACTGAGCTCCAGGTTTCAAAACACCTGTGATTACAGAAGCATGTAGGCAGCTTGGTAATATTCCATTATTACAGTGCTAAGGATGAAGGAGTGCAATCACTCAGAAAAAAATTATTTTCAGCTCTCTGGCAGGGCTTCCTTAGGTAACAGTTTGTCACTGAGCAGAAGAATAAGAACTTCACAGTCATTTTGTACCATGAACCAGAGCCTTATTGATGAACTGGTGGAAAGTGCATTTACCGGGGAGGAAGGGATGTTGAGCACCTGATGCATTAAATGTCGAAACCTGGCAGATTCACAAGAAAACGGATTGTTCATTTTCAAGCGCACGTTGGCTCATTCAATTACAGTGTGACAGCAAAAGCAAAGACTGTCTTAGGGAGGTTAATTGAGCACCTCCATTAGATGCAGGAAAATTAGCGTAATGCTTGGCTGACTGAAATGTCAGTACTTAAAGTCTACTACGAACAGGTATAAAGTGTGGGGATAACCAATTTACTTTATCGAGTTAGCATTCCCAACCCCACCCCTTACTGTAAGGAAAAGTCATTTCACATTTAGATGGCCATGGAAAGATACTGCTAAAGCTTTTCCTTTCCCTGATTAATGTGGCTAAGTAGCAAAGGACATAGGTCCATAGCACTGGGTGCTGGAATGAGGACACTTGCCTAGGGCCCAATCCACCTGATTAATGAGAATGCGTGAAATCAAAGCACAGAATTTCACTTCTCCTTCACCAGCCCAAGATTTAAAACCAAGATTAGCAAAACTATCAAAATCCCTTCAGGTTTCTTAGGGCTCGTCCACACTAGTTTTCCTCTGTGCTTTTCTGGTCCGTGTCCAAGTGGCCCCCCTCCCATTCCCCATGAAAACTCTTGTTCCAATTCTGGGTTTTCCTGGCAAAGCAAGGGGGCAAAACAGAAAGAAAAAGTAATGGCCCGGGAATGCACAGACCTGTAGAAAGCTCATGGCAAATGGCAAGTGTGGATGAGACCTTACTCTCCGCTCCTACATGTTACTAGATTTCCTCCTCAAAAATATCACAAGGTGGGGCCTACTCCCATTGGTTCACCCACATAAACTGCTGGATTTTCACCTCAGAATGTTCCACAACTAACTTTTCATTCAGTCTATCTTTATCTCCTGAGTTTACCAAAGAAATACTGGATCTAAGTACTCTAAATTAATCCATGATCTCATGCCATTAAATTAGGGAGCTGATACCTGCAAGAATAGGATTCGGTGCACACTTGACAGATAGATGAACGCTACATTAGTGACACAAACACTGCCACATATATAAACAGGGATGAAGGAAGAACATCTAGGAAAACCATTTTTCCAGCATCTACCTATTTGTATGTAGCAGAAAAATGTGGCCTTTGCTAGACTTTGAAAAAGAAATCAGTAACTATGATAGGTGGCACAAAAATAAGCTCATAATAGTAAGACGAGATCTAAAGCATGTTGACATTTGCTTCAGTCATGAGTTTGCAATGTAGGAAACATGGGGCATGTTCACATTAGCAGCTTAAAACCAGCGGCTTACCTAGCTGTTCGGGTGCCGGGGGGGGGGGGGCGTGCTGCAGCCGGGGGCAGGGTGAGCCGCCTAGCTAAGACCCTGCCTGTATGACCCTACAATTCGGCACCCCTCCCTCTTCTTTTTCAGCATTGTTTTGGCACTCTCTGCAGCGCGGTGCCCAGTGTGAGCGCACCGGTCGTGCCATCCTAAAACTGCCCTGGCCCAGCCTTGGGATATGGTATTGGCATGGGAGAGAATCGCACCCCTTGTCCTACCCAGGTGGACCACAGAGAAACACTTCCCATAAAACTATAGGAACATCTAAACCAGGCCTTCTTCCTCCAGCTGGCAAGGTGACCGTGAAACACTTCACACAGAAGGTCCCAGCATACCTGTACATTTGGGGTTTCCCCATGGCGCCGCTGGGCTGCTGCTTGGCCGGAGCCTTTCCCAAACCATGGTCCTGCGAAGGAAGGAGGACATTGTATTATCCTGGCACAGGAATCCACTCTAGGGGACAGGGGTCCTGTGTGCCCTCCTCAATAATGTTCTTCTGAGGTACATTGCCCTCAGTGTTTTCTCTTTCACTCCCTCCTGTCTGCCTTCCCAGCTCCCTCCCTTCCTCACTCTTCCACATCTCTCCTTCTCCTGCTGGCACAGAGCAGCCCGGCAGCAGCGCAGGGGAAGGTGAGCCAGTGGAGGCAGGGCCCTCCTGTGGTGGGGACATAGGGCCTCATGGGGCGCTGACCCCCAAACTTTTGCAGGGACAGCCTGAGTGCTGGCGAGGGTGCCTGGCCAGCTGACCCAGGGAAGAAGGGGGACAGAACAAGCACCCCTGCCATGCTGTCCATGCCCACATCACCACTGGCTGCCAACGCTCGCTGCTCCTCCGCCACTGCTTAAAACACAAGGCCATTTCCCCCTGATGCATTTCAAGCTGTCGTCTGAACACGCACACTTATCTGCGCATGCACGGTGGCTGCCTCAAATGTTCGCATTACCGCTTGCTCAGCATCCAGCTTTCTAGTTGGACCGAAAATGGTTCAAGGGAAGAACACATCCAACAATGTTTTTGTCAAGAAACTACAGGGTCAGTATGGATTGTGGCTAACATGAAGTTTGAAATGAAGTTTCAAAAACCAGTGCTGGGAGCGCACTGCAACATTCCCACAGTTTGACTTCACCTCCAAAGGTTCACTTCTCCATTATCTCCAGAGACCGTAGGATGCCAAAGTAAGTACCATAGAGTGACAACTAGCAATGTATGTTTGCTGATGTCCCTCCACCTCTGCCCCAGCCAGGCATGGCGAAAAACATGCATTGCAGGAAGATACATGTCGCTGAAGCAACCTGACTGGAGCCACACATATGGCTAAATCTGTTTGCCAATATGAGTGCTCACTGGAAGGACATGAGTGCTCACTGGAAGGACAGATCCTGAAGCTGAGGCTCCAATACTTTGGCCACCTCATGAGAAGAGAAGACTCCCTGGAAAAGACCCTGATGCTGGGAAAGATGGAGGGCACAAGGAGAAGGGGACGACAGAGGACGAGATGGTTGGATAGTGTTCTCAAAGCTATCAGCATGAGTTTGACCAAACTGTGGGAGGCAGTGGAAGACAGGAGTATCTGGCGTGCTCTGGTCCATGGAGTCACGAAGAGTCGGACACGACTAAATGACTAAACAACAACAGCTTGCCAATAACTGGCTTCCTTCCAGTTATTGGAAGGAAAAGTGGGTTAATATGATCAAGGTTGGGGGCATTTTCAGAAAAGTGTAGGTGAACAGGGGGGGAAGTCCTGTTCTCCCGTTACAAATCCTGGCCCTCCCAACCCTCCTGCAATATCTTTACGAGTCAAACAAGAAAGTGGAATAGGTACGAGTGGAACTCAGCCAAGGAAAGAAATGGAAATAATTGATTTCCAAGTGAGGTATTCAATATGCATAGCAAAAAAATAAATAAAAAACAGACCTGCTTTTCTCTGCAGTTCAGCATTTCTCTAGGCATTTATCTTGCCTGTTCAGGCCAATATATCCACTGGGAAAGGTATGTATGGTTAGAGCTTATTAATTTGGAAGTGGCAATATACCAGAGCCTGGGAGGCAGTGGTGCAGTGGTAATTTCTGAAGCCCAGGAGATCACCTTGAGAGCCCCAAAACGTAGGGATGTGTGTATCGGGCAGAGGGAGGGAGGAAAGCAACAGGGTCACCGAAAGAGAAGAAAACGGAACGGAACAAGGCGGAAGAGAAAAGGAGAGCCCAGGAAAAACAATGGACAGTTGAGATCACCAAGGCATCCTTCAGTGGAACACCAAGACAAAGCTGTCTCTCCACAAGAACAAGAAAACCTTGCTGTCAGCAAAACCATCGTCAACCCCAATGGCAGTGAGTGTTACACCAGCTTCCCATGTCACTGACCTCAGGAAATTTAACTTCCTCTTAACCTTCAGAAGGAATGTGAAAGGACTGTCTACAAAAATGCTGTGAAATTCATGTAGGGTTGCACATAGAATCCTATTGTGCTGCCGTGGTGACCAGAAGGGGTAGTGGCGGCGGCTGGTGGGGAGCCAGTGACTCAAGAGTGAAAACTATGCTGAGTCAGGAAGTTTTGTTTTCTTCCTGTGTGTGTTCCAAGAATACAGAGTCATTGAAAACCCAGTCCTAATGGCAGTCAGCTCAATCAAAAGAGTGGCTCATGTTTCCATACTTTCAATGCTGACTGGACGGCAACTTGATGGCTCTTTTCTCTATTAATAATTCTAATGAGGTGGTTAAGTTTTGCCAGATTGATTAATGTAGAGACACAGATAGGTGGCATAAAAATGGTAACCCTCTTGGGTTTATCGAAACAAGACTCAACCACAAGGAACAGCTGTGCCTACTGCACAACACTGCTGATTCCCTCATCTCTTTCCAAAATGATCGAAATAGTTTCAGTAAAACCCCTACTCCTTTGTCTTGCAGAGATTAATTCCAGAGTTTGCACATGGTGACCAATTCATTAAAGTGTGTAACCTGCTACAAAGTACACGGTTAATAATATCTAGCATTTATATAGTGTTTAAAGTGTGCTATAATTTGTTGTGATTCTTACAGTAACCCTGTATAGTATCCTTGTATTGCAGATGGGGGCAGGCTGAGGCTAAGGAACTTGACTAAGATCATCTAGTGACCTAATGGCGGTGGCAACATTTGAACACAGGGGCTTCCTAGGCTTCACCACACCAGGCCCTGTCCCAGAACATTTTCATTAAAACATCCCTGCTTTTCTAGTCCATTTATTTACAGGTAAAACACATGAGCCCAGTATTACTACTACATATTGCTATGGCCTACTGGATGAAGTACAGGCCACCCCAATACAAAACAAATGTATATTAAAAAAGGCTTTCCTGTGATAGTTTGGCCATAGTTCCTTTTTAATAAGGCCTTTGCCTGACTTGATCTGCATCCCTATACCCTTTTAAAAATGACTCTTTTTGGGGTTTTTTAATTGGGTTGTTTTTGTTTATATTTTATGTACTTGATATTTTATGCGAACCGCCCTGAGACCTTCGGGTATAGGGCAGTATAGAAATTAAATAAATAATAATAATAGGTGCTAGGAGAGGATAGATTTATTAGATATTGTCTTTCCTTCCTTCCTTACATTTGTGAGTTCAGCAGAGTGTATCCCTTTGCAGTTTAAAAGGGAAGCTTAGGTAGGCTAGTTTTAGCTTTTTAGTTTAAGTAACCGAGGATGCTTTAAGGCAGATGGGATTCTCCTGGCATTTCCACCTTAAAACAATCACAAACTACATTGTAAAAGGTAAAAATAACATTTACTCACTCGGAATACTTGTTGCAGAATATCAGACACAGCCAGGGTTGCCACCTTTTGTCAGGCAAAATTTGGGACATGGAGGGGGGGAATTGGGGTGGCTAAAAATCACCTGATACAGAATGAAATGACTTCAAAGCAATGCATTCCAATGGGTTCTTTCCAGTGCTAATCATACTCAGAGTAGACCCAGTGAAATTTATCGTTCTAAGTTAGCAATGCACATTTAATATCAATGGCTCACATCCTCCACACCTGCTAAATTTCTGCCTGTCAGAAGAATGGTAAATGTAGAAACTCAGCCCAAGAAATAGGTGGAGACAGCTACAAATTCTGTTTCTCATCTTAACACAGCTTTGCCTCCAACATCCCTTTCCATATACAGTGGTGCCTTGCAAGACGAATGCCTCGCAAGACGGAAAACTCGCTAGACGAAAGGGTTTTTCGTTTTTTGAGCTGCTTCGCAAGACGATTTTCCCTATGGGCTTGCTTCGCAAGACGGAAACGTCTTGCAAGTTTGTTACCTTTTTCTTAAAACTGTTAATACAGTTGCGACTTGACTTCGAGGAGCAACTCATAGCACGCGGTGTGGTAGCCTTTTTTGAGGTTTTTAAAGACTTTGGTGATTTTTGAAGCTTTTCCAAAACTTTCCCGACACCGTGCTTCGCAAGACGAAAAAAATCGCAAGACGACAAAACTGGCGGAACGAATTAATTTCGTCTTGCGAGGCACCACTGTAGCTGCTAATGCATCATAGTCAGACAAGTTCATTCAACCACAAGGGTTAAATCTTCTCACATATTTGAGGCATTCTTAAAAAATCATCTGTTATCTATAGGCACTCATAGAATCAGATTTGTAGAGTTGGAAGGGACCCTGAGCCGGGTCATGCAGTCCAACCCCATGCAATGCAGGAATTTTAACTGGAGCATCATTTAAAGCACTCTTAAACCAGCTTAACAGGCATGGAGTCCCCCAAAGAATCCTAGTTTGTTTGGAGACCACCTATTCCTCTCCCAGATATACAATTCCCTCTGGGAAGACGGACAGCTTTGTATACAGTGGTGCCTCGCAAGACGAAAAGAATCCATTCCGCGAGTCTCTTCGTCTTGCGGGTTTTTTCGTCTTGCGAAGCAAGCCCATTAGCAGTTTAGCGGATTAGCACTACAGTATTAGCGGCTTAGCGGGCTTAGCGGATCAGCTGATAAGCGGCTTAGCGATCAGCTGATAAGCGGCTTAGCGATCAGCTGTTAAGCGGCTTAGCCATCAGCTGATAAGCGGTTTAGCGGCTTGGGGAAAAGGGGGGGAAAAGGAAAAAAACCCTGCAGGAACTCGCAAGACATTTTCGTCTTGCGAAGCAAGCACATAGGAAATTCGTTTTGCGAAGCACCTCCAAAACAGAAAACCCTTTCGTCTAGCGGGTTTTCCGTCTTGCGAGGCATTCGTCTTGCGGGGCACCACTGTACCACTGTTCTTTCTCGGTAGCAAAATGTCTTGGGTCAACCAAGGCCTGCCTATTTAAACAGAGAGGAATGGCTTCCCTGAGCGGGTTACCATGTGGAGTTTCAGCTTTCAAAGGGCTAACCAAAGTTGTTGACCTTTTTTTAGGGTTGAGGTTGTTGAGGTTTCTTTAGGATTTTACCCCAGGAAATAAACTGCCACAGGCGCCAGATGAATCCAACCGGCGGGCCAGATTAGGCCCCCGGAACAGACTTTGGACATACCTGGCCTAGAGATTCCACCAGTTTCTGCTTCCCCCCACCCCACATTTGTAATATCAGGGGTAACAAGGTTGGTCTGCAATACAGGAGTATAAGAAGTGCTGGAAAATCGGGTCCTCCCTTAAAGAGGGAGACCTGTGTTGTGGGTGGGTTCAATTGGTAAGCCACAACACCCAATTGGTAGGTCCCTTGTAGCTGGGTGCAATCTGGCTAATGGGGTATAAGCCCTTGCACGTGACCCAGAGCTTCCTCTTTTGGCTTGTGTATCGGAACACCCGTCCACCTCTCCCTAATTTTCGGGCTTTGTGCTATTGACCTTGCTATGCCGTCGTGTGTCGTCTGTCATGGGGACAGGGACACGGCAAGAATTTCCCCCACTTGGTTGAATGGCTGTTGCCATTTGGGTTTCGCCTGCCACGTAGCAAATCGTCACAACTTGTAATGTTGCAGATAAGCTCTGGTTCAGGTGATAAGGATGGGAGAACGCTCTCGCCATCCCTATGTGAAGGGTATTCCATTAAAGGAATCCAGGGACTCGATGGTTTGGTCAACCCCTGAGTGGGGGTTGTGCCCATGCCTGAGTCCAGGGGGACATTTCGGTGGCGGAGATAGCCTGTTTCCGGCTTTCCGCTTATCCAGGTGTTCACCCTTGGCTGACCTATGCTGGTGCCCTGGGTCAGTGCTACCTGCATGGCAGGGAACTAGTCAAACCTATGCAACCAGTCACTTTCTGTAATCAATAAAGTTGTGGCCTAAATTCTGCCACAAACCAAACCTAAAATTTGAGTCAAGTGTGAATTTAGTTAGGGGGGAGGTTTCTGTGCTGGAACATGCAAATGCTGACTCTTTCTTGTAAAAAACAACCCTACAACCAATTCTAACCATTGTAGGTGCTTACTTCAGACTGCGTAGATTCAGTGTGTAAAACACACCAGGTTTTAACCAAAGATCTTCAGTCAACTGGAGCATACTCTTTAGCCTTTAATCAGAAATGCAGACAATTCTCGCAAATGATTACCATTTAAACCGCTGCCGTGAAGTAGGAACCCCACCAAAGGAAAGAAATATCCAGACTCTGATTCTTTTTCACATTCTCTGAGAAGCTATTGTAATAAAATCTGAAAGGTGTCTTGTCACATCAATGACATAATTGCAGCTGCTCTGAAAAAAAGAGGGCGGCAACTTTCAGCTCTCGCTGAACCCCTGCCTGAAGATTCTAGGTGAATGTGGCCCATCTCTGCTAGTAATCACACAGGGAGCGAGTTCTCCCTCTGAAGCTCAACTTGGGAGATGGGTGGCTGCTAATTCCTTGCATGAACCTTTGAGATGGAGCCAAAGTGTCTGCTCTGCTGGACTGAGTGATTCTCCTGAGTGCAAACCAGAAGTACATAGAATGTTATGGGTGTTTCATAACTGGCGAAAACATGCCTTTCAAAAAACAACCACCCATTTCTGACAAAGGAATTGGTTTTAAGTGCAGGAATCTTCCAGGACTGCTGAGAACAGCAGACAGGAATAGCCAGCATACCTTTGAAGCATGACAGAAGACATAAAATAGATTTTTGCTAAAGGTTGACCCTTTTTTCAACTTCTCTAGTCTGCCACATTCTCAGACAAGGGTTGGGGGTTTTTTGGGGGTGGGGCTTTGTGTGTGACTATTTTGCTTCCTCTCTTTTTTTTTTTTAAAAAAATAATATTTATTAAAGTTTCAAAAGAAGAAAAATCACATTAATAAAAAGATTAACAATAAAAAAGAAAAATACAAAGTAGAAAAAAGAAAAAACAGTTAAAAACAATTCCATCTTTTCATCACTTCTTTTACATTTACTTGTTTCCCAGACCTCCTCATACCTCCCTCTTTTGTATTCCAATTCAATTTGTTAATCCACCGATTCCTTTCCCTCCTTTTTAATCCTAATCCTTAGTCCTGATATATTGCAACGTTAGATTTTTACATATTAAAAACCAATTTTTCCATATTCTTTTGTACCTGTACAGCTAGAAACCACTTAACTTCAATCCAACATCATTCTAACATTCATTAATTTTACAATATTTCTGTAAATAGTCTTTAAATTTCTTCCAATCTTCTTCCACCGACTCTTCTCCCTGGTCACGGATTCTGCCAGTCATTTCCGCCAATTCCATATAGTCCATCAATTTCATCTGCCATTCCTCCAGTGTGGGTAAATCTTGTGTCTTCCAATGCTTTGCAATAAGTATTCTTGCTGCTGTTGTGGCATACATAAAGAAAGTTCTGTCCCTTTTTAACACCGATTGGCCGACTATGCCCAGGAGAAAGGCCTCTGGTTTCTTCAAGAAGGTATATTTAAATACCCTTTTTAGTTCATTATAAATCATCTCCCAGAAAGCCTTAATCCTTGGGCACGTCCACCAAAGGTGAAAAAATGTACCTTCAGTTTCTTTACATTTCCAACATTTATTGTCAGGCACATGATAGATTTTTGCAAGCTTGACTGGGGTTATGTACCACCTGTATATCATTTTCATAATATTTTCTCTTAAGGCATTACATGCCGTAAATGTCATACCTGTGGTCCACAACTGTTCCCAGTCAGCAAACATAATATTATGTCCAATGTCTTGTGCCCATTATTTTGCTTCCTCTCAGGGTGGCGCTGTGGTCTAAACCACAGAGCCTAGGGTTTGCCGATCAGAAGGTCGGCGGTTCGAATCCCCGTGACAGGGTGAGCTCCTGTTGCTCGGTCCCAGCTCCTGCCAACCAAGCAGTTCGAAAGCACGTCAAAGTGCAAGTAGATAAATAGGTACCACTCCAGCGGGAAGGTAAACTGTGTTTCCGTGCACTGCTCTGATTCACCAGTAGCGGCTTAGTCATGCTGGCCACATGACCCAGAAGCTGTATGTGGACAAATGTAGGCTCCCTCGGCCTATAGAGCGAGATGTGCGCTGAAACCCCAGAGTCATTCACGACTGGACCTAACAGTCAGGGGTCCCTTTACCTTTTTATTTTGCTTCCTGAATTGCCACTAGCGAAGCACCCTTCTGTTCAAAGCCAGTTCATAGCAAGATCCGTAGCTTAAGAGTCAAATCTAAAAGATGAAGAAATGAGTATGATGAAGCAGATATACATCAAGGAATATTTAATGCAAAAAGAGCCGGTTTCCAGTGGTATATAATAATAATTTTGTATCAGTGATGGGGGGGGAGCCTGTGGCCCTCCCTAGATGTGCTTGGACTACATCTCCCATCATCCCTGAAGCCCTACAACTTTTGGAGAGGACCAGGTTCTCCTCCCCTATTTTATACAGGGCTACCAGTATAGGGACACGGGCGGCGCTGTGAGTAAAACCTCAGCACCTAGGACTTGCCGATCGCATGGTTGGCGGTTCAAATCCCCGCTGCGGGGTGCGCTCCCGTCGTTCGGTCCCAGCGCCTGCCAACCTAGCAGTTTGAAAGCACCTCCGGGTGCAAGTAGATAAATAGGGACCGCTTACCAGCGGGAAGGTAAACGGCGTTCCGTGTGCTGCCAGATGCAGCTTGTCACGCTGGCCACGTGACCCGGAAGTGTCTGCGGACAGCGCTGGCTCCCGGCCTATAGAGTGAGATGAGCGCACAACCCTAGAGTCTGGCAAGACTGGCCCGAACGGGCAGGGGTACCTTTACCGTTACCTTTACCAGTATAATGCTTTACAGAGCAAGAGACAACTTGCTGCCCCATTCGGTCTGCACAGTATGGGTCTGGGCACGTATGGAGAGCGAGGCAGCATATGGAGGAGCCAAAGTTACATAGAACATCGGGAATTGGACATCACAGTGTAAATCAAGTCTAAATATCAGGGAGCTGGAGATGAGATGGAGCGGGTATGGCATTGCATAGAGAGGCACAGCTCAGCATGATTAGCATATTGCATTTTCTCCCCACTGCAAACACCTCTTTTTCTGTGGGAGTGAGAGAATAGCAAGTGGACATTGATGTAAGCATTATAAAAGACATTTTGAAAACCTGTAAGAATTGGGAGAGAGGGCATCTTACATCACCTCTGTTTTTTTAAAAAAAACTAGGATCAATTTCCTGCTTCAACAGGCGCTGCCCTTCAAGCAATGCCACCCGTGACTCAGGAGTAGACTGCTATAGGAGTCCCATGCTGCCCAGCCATGGCAGAGCTCAGGGGCAGAAGGTCTCAGTCAAGTCTCAGGGGGCAACTTGCCTGGAGGCAGAGTCCATATGCAAGGTTCAGTCCAGTCCTAAAGTCAGGAGTATCTCAGTTTACGCTGTCAGACGGTCTGAGAGTCGAGAAAGCTGGGAGTCCAAGGTCAAGAGAAGCAAGAAGTAGCCAGGAATGACAAATGTTGTTTCCAGCAACTGACTGAGGCTGGAAACCCTGCTTAAGAGAGCTGAAGCCAGCTGGTTCTCATAAGGAGCAATATGGCTGATCAGCAGCAGGTGGAGTCACTCTGCCTTCTGCTCCTTCAGGCTGCTGCTCAGCAGGTAAAGCCAATTATCTGGCCCATGACATAGACCAGGCTTCCTCAACCTTGGCCCTCCAGATGTTTTGAGACTACAATTCCCATCATCCCTGACCACTGGTCCTGCTAGCTAGGGATCATGGGAGTTGTAAGCCAAAAACATCTGGAGGGCCGAGGTTGAGGAAGCCTGACATAGACACTCAGGAGACCTGGCAAACCTAATCAGGGTCTTCAAGACGGTGCTGTTGATTGTCTTCCAGACATCAGCTAGTGGAGATGGGTGGCAGAACAGGCTGAGGCTTAGTGCATTTTGTTAGGATCTTAATCTGGGCTGTCTTTGGTGACCTGACTTTCTCCTGTCTCCGCTAGCCTTGCCCGTGAGTCCTGGAAGACCTGCTCCCCGGCCCTGACTGACTCCACCTACAAAGGCGGAGGCTGCGGAGGTGGCCAGAGATCATCTTGCCCGTGAGTCCTGGAAGACCTGCTCCCTGGCCCTGATTGACTCCACCTACAAAAGCGGAGGCTGCGGAGGTGGCCAGAGATCATATTGCCTGTGAGTCCTGGAAGACCTGCTCCCCGGCCCTGACTGACTCCACCTACAAAAGCGGAGGCTGCGGAGGTGGCCAGAGATCATATTGCCTGTGAGTCCTGGAAGACCTGCTCCCCGGCCATGACTGACTCCACCTACAAAAGCGGAGGCTGCGGAGGTGGCCAGAGATCATATTGCCTGTGAGTCCTGGAAGACCTGCTCCCCGGCCCTGACTGACTCCACCTACAAAAGCGGAGGCTGTGGAGGTGGCCAGAGATCATCTTGCCTGTGAGTCCTGGAAGACCTGCTCCCTGGCCCTGACTGACTCCACCTACAAAAGCAGAGGCTGCGGAGGTGGCCAGAGATCATCTTGCCTGTGAGTCCTGGAAGACCTGCTCCCCGGCCCTGACTGACTCCACCTACAAAAGCGGAGGCTGCGGAGGTGGCCAGAGATCATATTGCCTGTGAGTCCTGGAAGACCTGCTCCCCGGCCATGACTGACTCCACCTACAAAAGCGGAGGCTGCGGAGGTGGCCAGAGATCATATTGCCTGTGAGTCCTGGAAGACCTGCTCCCCGGCCCTGACTGACTCCACCTACAAAAGCGGAGGCTGCGGAGGTGGCCAGAGATCATCTTGCCCGTGAGTCCTGGAAGACCTGCTCCCTGGCTTGCAGTGGCGTAGGAAGGGGTGTGTGGTGGGTGCAGGCCACCCTGGGTGTCATCACTGAGGGGGGTGACAAAACGTCAAAAATATGAGTTGATAAAAGAATGGGGGGGGGGCTCACAAAACTTTTTAGTTCAGTCAACAAACGCAATGAAACGCGGCTGGCACTGGGCGCCACACCACAGGGGCCGGCACTTACCACGGGGTCTGCATGTGCCCGAGCCACGTGTCTCTCCTGGGAGTGACATGGTGGCTTGGGCACCTGCAGGCTCAGCGCTGCCTGAAATGGCAGCGTGGGGCTTGCGTCTGCCCACTGCCTCTCCCTCAGCCACCTTACAGCTGACGGGGGAGGTGGTGGAGAGACTTTGTGCAGTGCGCCCTGCCCTGGCTCACCCCGTCCCAGGCTCGCCCCGCCCCCAGGTGCAGGGCGCATGCGCTGCCCCAGGCACCTGAGCGGCTAGCTACGCCGTTGCTGTCTTGCAGGCCTTTTCCTACCTGGTTTGGGGGGGCGGGACCTGGACTGACTCCAGCTATAAAAGCTGAGGCTGCTGAACGGCCACTTGGGGTGGGGTATTGTTTAGGGGTTTCTGGGGGAGGGCATTGTTGCTGTTACTGATATTATTATTTTTTGTATTTTTATTCTCAGAACTTGTAATTTATGTGGAAATTGTTCAATTTGGTTTTGTACTTTTTATGTTTTATTTATTGTTTACAGCTACTTTTGTTCTGTTTGTAACTGTGTAATTTTTTCATGTTGTAAGCCACCTTGAGAACGGTTTGAAGTATGGAAAGGCAGCATACAAATAAAATTATGTATGAATGTATGTGTCAGGGGTTCAGGGAGAGAGGCACAGGGTAGGCAGGAGATGGAGAGCGATGGGGATGAATTCCAAGCCAGCGAGGAAGAGGATGACAATGACTCAAGAGATTCCATGAGTCTTTCCAGCGAATCAGAGGATTCCCAGAAGGGGGCGCCGGTGGTTAAGGCCAGGGGAGCCCCAGGGGGGACGTGTCAGGAGCAGGGGGCCAGTGGAGGATCCCAAAGTGGCAGCTGGGCGTCAGGACCAGCCTCCCCACCAGAGTGCAGCGAAGGGGGTGGAGTTTCCAGTGTGTCAGATGAAGCAGCTCCGGGAGCAGAGAAAGGAGGGAGGTCAGAGCAAGCCGCCCTTCCGGAAGGGGAGGGGAGCAGTGAAGGGAGTAGTGTAACTGTCAAAAGGAAAGTTAGAGGTTTGGCGCGCGCCTAGTTCAAATGTAGAGGCGCGCGGAAGTACAGGGAGCCCGGAGGAGGGGCCAGGTCCCAAAGCCCGCAGGAGGGGGAAGAGCAGTCTGATTCCGCGTCAGAGGAATCCAGGAGGGGCGAAACCCCAGCGGGCAGAAGGACCCTGCGGAAAAGGAAGGAGAGAAAGAGGTGGAGCAGCGCAAGCCTCTTAAATTGGTGCAGGGGGGGACGGATTCAGAGGGGACTTCAGCGGTCTAAGCGTAAGAGACGTAAGGCTGCGCGCCTAGGATGTCAAGCAAACAATGAACTGCAATAAACACCTTTGTATATAAGAAGACATAGGCGTTGGTCTTTTGTGAGCTGAGACTTGAGGCAGCCTTGACAGTATGCATTTATGTATTCTATATATATGTATCCTGGCTGCGCTGACTGGGCTCCCAGTGGAGACACAATGCCTCTATGATTCATGCCTCTTTTGCCTCTGCAGTTTTTACAGTTACTGATCTGATCTGAAGCTCATTGCTGAAATGTGTGTTGTGCAATTAGTGTCACTCATAAGATTGAACTTTGCCTCTTTACCTGTCCAGGTACCTCTTTGATTCAGCCCATTAGTCACAGCCTGTGAAACATCCCTTACTACTTGCTGCATAATGAAAATGCAGGGAGAAATACAATGGGTGAAGACATTTTTCTAACAGCCCTCCAGTGACAATCACATCCCTGTTGCTTCACTAGAAATTACAAAGCAGGGCTTGGTGCAAATAATTTCCGGATGCGGGTGCTTCACAATGGATTCAGGAAACCAAACATTTAGGTTTCCTCAGTGGTTGCTCACGGACACTGGACCTGGTGGGGCTGCTTAGTGGCCAAGGGGGTCATGGAGGTGTGGCCAAGTTTTTCTGGCGTTCTCTTGCAACAATACGCGAGAGACATTAAGCACTGAAGTTGTACTAAGCTAACAGCTAACTAAACTGAAACATGTCTTACCTTGGTTCAGGAGTCCCTATCGTCACAGTTTCTTCACTGCTTGGAGAAAAGTTGTGTAGCTTCCATCTATTCTGAGTGTCTCTCCATTCTCCTCCTTTGCAAAAAACAACAAATAGTAGACACTTAAACATTGTAGTTTTATTAATACTTAGCACTTAAGTGTCTTGCTGTGGTTCAGAAGGCTTGCTGTCACAACATCTATAGTGGGTTCATGCAACAATGACTTATATTACTTGGAAGTAAACCCCACCAAATTCCATGGGAATTGCTCTCTGATTAAGTAATGTTATGAGGGGTGGTTTTTTTGGCGAGGGGATCAGTCTAGATGATACCTGTGTGCCCCCTTCCAAACCTGTGATCTCGTATATGTTGGGCAGAATCTAGAAAGGGAAACCTGCCAAATCAGTTCATTTGTTAAGGTAATGGCTTTGGCTGATCAGTTAAGTGCTCACACCAGAATGAGCTAGGTTGCAATAGCTACTAAGTGATGGTGTTCTCCAGGAATAACGGACAGGGATTTTCCTCACACCCATCAGCCGCCTGGATGCATCCGAGGTAGATGACCTATATATAGCCGGGGGGGGAGGCTAAAGCTGGAGACAAAGAGAGGCATGTCTGCTCTTTGCTGAATCCAAAGCTGAGACTTGGTGGCTTCTCTGGAAACGTGATGGAGAACCAAGACCTGCTGGGATGTTAATGGCGTGAGCCCCTCCACATATCCCAAAGACACCACAGTCAAAATATGCTGCGCTTAGTTCCTTTCCTTATTAGCCATCACAAATAAGCCTGAGTCCAGATCATTCCTCCATTACCTGCTTGGATGGGGCTGTACTCCCCCTGGAAGCAGGTCCATAGTCTGGGCAGATTCATGAATCCATATTTATCACTTGGAGTGCCTTTTATCAGTTTGGACCAGGATTGTCTGTCCTCTGTCTTTCATGTGCTGGTAATCTCCAGGATAGATCGCTGCCCTGTGCTCTATGTAGGGCTGCCCTGAGACCATGGGGCAACGCATATGGAGACACTGGGGAAAGTCTTGTGTTTGTATCCCCCAGCTGCCATACATGGATACAGCTGTGCCAGATGATGCCAAGGATTTAATTCATTACCCTAAGGTCGCCAAAGAATTGATGCTTTTGAATTATGGTGTTGGAGGAGACTCTTGAGAGTCCCATGGACTGCAAGAAGATCAAACCTCTCCATTCTGAAGGAAATCAGCCCTGAGTGCTCACTGGAAGGACAGATCCTGAAGCTGAGGCTCCAATACTTTGGCCACCTCATGAGAAGAGAAGACTCCCTGGAAAAGACCCTGATGCTGAGAAAGATGGAGGCCACAAGGAGAAGGGGACGACAGAGGACGAGATGGTTGGACAGTGTTCTCAAAGCTACAAACATGAGTCTGACCAAACTGCAGGAGGCAGTGGAAGACAGGAGTGCCTGGCGTGCTCTGGTCCATGGGGTCATGAAGAGTCGGACACGACTAAACGACTAAACAACGAAAAGGTCTCAGGGTGGATTACAGCACTTAAAGCACAATGTTAAAAACATTTAAATCAACTTACGCTCACAAATTACGGTGGGTCCTAAAAATATATACCTCATGGAGTCAAAAGCCAGGGCAAAGAGGTGTGTCTTCTGCATTCACAGAAAACGGTATAATGAAGATGCCATGCACACCTCTGTGAGGAGGGAGTTGCCAAACTTAGGGGCTGCCACTAAGAAGGTCCTCTTCCAAGCCATCGCCGCCTGAGCTTTTGAGGGCAGTGGGGTAGCCAAGGTTCTCCACCCTCCCTGTCCTCATGTGGTTGTGTTACATCGTTGTATGCCTTTGCTGTTGTCATTTCATAAGGTCAGTTGCCTGGGAAAAACAGAAGATAAGCTGAATCATAACAAGGGAGGGTGAGAATTCTCAGCCAGCCTTGGTGACTGTTGCCAAGGGAACTGGAACACTGGGAGAGTCATAAGTATGTCCTCTCCTGGACCAGGCCAGGGGCCGACTAGCCTAGCATCCTGTCCTCACTGTGGCCAGCCTGTGGGAAACCAGGGAGCAGAACATGAACACAAGAGCATTGACTCAGGGAATTATAGAATCGTTGAGTGAGAAGGGACCACCAGAGTCCTCTAAACTCACCCCCTGCAATGCAGGGATCTTTTGCCCAAGGTGTGGGTTCGACCCCCCGACCCTGAGATTAAGAGTCTCATGCTCTACCGACAGCTGTTCCAAGGTCATCTCCCATGGTTTCCAGCACCAGTAAAGGGCAGCTAAGGCAGCTGGGGAAAGAAGGAAGGGAGTAGCGTTCAAAGAGAGGTAAAAGGGAGACTGGTGCTCAAGTTCTTGCAGTGGCTGCGGTAAAGACTGAATAGGACAGTGACGTGGGACAGAAATGCTGTTAGGACCAGAGGATCCAGCAATACCAGGGAGAAGTGTGGGGGCATCACCTCAAAACACAACTCCCCAGCATCAGAAGGGACTGGACAAGTGCTGGTTCATCGCCCCAGAAAAGGATTTGCCTGAACACACCTTTAGTGTTATCTGAACAGCCGGGGCATGCAGCTCTCTGTGTGTGACATTGAGAGAGAAAAGGAAGTCGTAGACCTGGTTTGCAAATTTCTTTTTTTTTTTTTGTATTCTGTATAGCAAATGGAGAGTTATTATTTTAGTTTACAAAAATTCATAGGCCGTTTGGTTGTAACAAAATAGTTTTTTTTTAATTATTATTTTTTAAGTTTGCAAATCCTTTATTATTTTATTCACATAATATATACATTTTTAACAACAAACAACTCCAAAATAGACAGACAACTCCAAAATAAAATCATATGTAACATAACCATAAGTCTCATGTTTTCACTGGCTCCCGATAGAGTACAGGATCAGGTTTAAGGTGCTGGTTTTAACCTTTAAAGCCCTATACGGCTTAGGACCCTCGTACCTATGGGGCCGCCTCTCCTGGTATGTCCCACGGAGGACCTTACGGTCTTCAAACAAAAACATCTTGGAGATCCCAGGCCACAGAGAGGTTAGACTGGCCTCAACCAGAGCCAGGGCTTTTTCGGCTGTGGCTCCAATCTGGTGGAACGCTCTGTCCCAAGAGACTAGGGCCCTGCGGGACTTGACATCTTTCCGCAGGGCCTGCAAGACAGAGCTGTTCCACCAGGCCTTTGGTCAGGGCACACATGACCCCCTCCTTTGGCAATCCTTACAGAACTCTAGCCCAATGGTTGCCATTAATCTGATTTGAACTGATTTTAGAATGAAATGATTTTAGAATGTTGTATCATTTTACTGTTGTTAGCCGCTCTGAGCCCGGCTTCAGTGGGGGAGGGCGGGAGATAAATAAATTATTATTATTATTATTATTTACACTGATCTCTCCGATACTTGACATTTCTTGCTGCTTTCTGCTTTCCTTATAGAATCTTTATAAAAATTTAAATATTTTAAATCCTATACCAATCTTTAACAATTTCAATTAATCCCTTCACCTCCCTCCCCCACAGCCCAGTACAGCCTCCACCCGTGTGCAATCTTCTTTACCTATTATTTTTGTTATTGTTGTGTTATTCACTTTATTTGTTGTTCCATCCTTAATATTTTATTATCCTATCTCCTTGTGCCTTTTAAACTTTTGCAAAAGGTTTGAAAATTTCTTGAGGCCAAGTCTAGCTGAACTGAGTAGACCAACTCTTACCAGGTTAAGCAGACCTGTTTTCTGATGCTAGTTACGTAAGCATGTACTCTGCCACAACATCAGGAAAACCAGCCTTGCAGGTGCCCATGGCCATGTTGCCTTCAACATGTTGATGTACACTTGCTGAAGTTCACTGCTCCTCAATGGCTGAAGGCCGGTCTCTCCGTCTCTCCTCTTCTACTTGGCTTTCTCCTCAGCTGCTCCTCTTCACTCCTTGTCCTGCTCTCCAGACCCATCAACTGTCACCCCAGTTGACCTCTCCTCACTTGCTCTCCACACTCCATGTCCTCATCACCACTCCAATGTCCTGCTGGTGCCTTTGAAGGAGTAGGCATAGAATCATAGAATCATAGAGTTGGAATAGACCACAAGGGCCATCGAGTCCAACCCCCTGCCAAGCAGGAAACACCATCAGAGCACTCCTGACATATGGTTGTCAAGCCTCTGCTTAAAGACCTCCAAAGAAGGAGACTCCACCACACTCCTTGGCAGCAAATTCCACTGTCGAACAGCTCTTACTGTCAGGAAGTTCTTCCTAATGTTTAGGTGGAATCTTCTTTCTTGTAGTTTGGATCCATTGCTCTGTGTCCGCTTCTCTGGAGCAGCAGAAAACAACCTTTCTCCCTCCTCTATGTGACATCCTTTTATATATTTGAACATGGCTATCATATCACCCTTTAACCTCCTCTTCTCCAGGCTAAACATGCCCAGCTCCCTTAGCCGTTCCTCATAAGGCATCGTTTCCAGGCCTTTGACCATTTTGGTTGCCCTCCTCTGGGGCAGTGTCATGGGGCAGTTTGTCAGTGTCCTTCTTGAACTGTGGTGCCCAGAACTGGACCCAGTACTCCAGGTGAGGTCTGACCAGAGCAGAATACAGTGGCACTATTACTTCCCTTGATCTAGATGCTATACTCCTATTGATGCAGCCCAGAATTGCATTGGCTTTTTAGCTGCCGCGTCACACTGTTGGCTCATGTCAAGTTTGTGGTCAACCAAGACTCCTAGATCCTTTTCACATGTACTGCTCTCAAGCCAGGTGTCACCCATCTTGTATTTGTGCCTCTCATTTTTTTTGCCCAAGGCAGTACATACTGATTTCATTCCACTCCCTCTACCAAAATTCTGCAAAGCAAAACTGGCTAGTTCCATCCGCCTACATTCCTAACACACCATACAATAATTCAAGAGCAGAATCTGCAAGGGAAAAATCACTTCCCTTCAAAATGCTTTATGCCTGGTTTTTGTTTTTTTTAAGACATTTGAGAAAACTGAAATTGGAAAGGGCAAAGCCACATGTGTGGATAAAGTAAGGAAATTGGTTTGCGTTTTGCAAAGCAGGAGCGTGGAGGAGAATTGGAATGATCAGATTTTGAACAGGATACACAACATAGGAGAAAATGAGAAAACAATGCTGGCTGGAGCACCAACTTTCATGCTTCACAGACCTCTCCTTCAGGCTGGCTTACCTTGCCTGCTTTTAATTTCTAATTTCACTTATTGTCTCCCTCAAACTGCCAAAAGTACACTAACACTGGGTAGCAAAGGGACTCATAACTTGACAGACTATTTCGCGCTTCAACAGAGGAGAGGTCGGAATCTTTGCATAAGGTTTGCTGACTCAGTAGAGTATGCTAATATTGTGGTGGGTTTTTTTTTAAATGAAAGAAAGCTTAAACTCTGCAAAAAAGAAAAAAGAGAGGAGGAGGGAGGAGGAGTGTCAGGTACTGGGCAGAGGAGGAACGGTGGAGACCGCCTCCCCAGCCGGACCCTTCCAGAGAAGAAGACGACAGTTCAGAATTTCAACAGGGGTTTAAGGGAGGTCATCTGCTCAGAGGCAGATGAGGGGGAAAGCTGGGAAATCATAGGAGAGCCAGAACAACAGCTGGCTGACACGTCTTCACTAGAGCGCATTCCAGACCCACCATCTCCCAGAACCCGGCAAGCCTTAAAAGTAGGAGAGCAAAGAGCTCAGAGACAGAGGGCCCTAAGTGGCAGCCATAGAGGGGGTGGTGCTATTGATGAATGAAGAAGTGGGAGAGAAGGGCAGTGGAGATTTACTCGGGACAATCTTTCAGGCGGCAGAGAAACTGACCCCCATGACAGGCTCTTACCATCTGCTTTTTATTCAATATTCATAGAGAGAGGTTTGAGAATGCAGCCTCTTGGAATAATGGCATTGTCCCGAGTAAACCTCCCCATCCCTTCTCTCTCTCATTGGTCAACAGCACCATCCCCTCTACATATTTTACACCTTAGTTTTTATGAGGGCCTTCTCGGTAGTGGCGGCCACCCTTCGGATGTGAAGGAAATAAGTAGCTATCTTATCTTTAAAAGACATCTGAAGGCAGCCCTGTTTAGGGAAGTTTTTAATATTTAATGCTGTATTGTTTTTAACACTTGATTGGGAGCCACCCAGAGTGGCTGGGGAAACTCAGCCAGATGAGCGGAGTATAAATAATAAATAATAATAATAATAATAATAATAATAATAATAATAATAATATTACCTACTTGGGAAGAGGGATTAGTAACATTTGATTTAACCCAGAATTTGGTCTAATTGTCTTAAACCTGCCAGTGCTGACGCCGAGAGGCTTGTATAGATCGGCTTTTGTTCCCCGGGCTTAACTGTATCTGGCTAGAGAAACTTGGGGACTGTATCAGAGTAATTCCTGTCTCAGGGACTCTACACAACCAGGCATGCTTTTACAGCAGTCCCAAAAGGAAGAGAGCTTCCAGCCAATCTCCTCATTAGCCAAATAGCTATTGGAAATCTGGGCACAGAAGAGGACGGAATATGTTCAGAGGAAAGAGACAAACACAGCGGCCTCGAATGAGCAACATGAACTCAACTGTTGTGGGATTTGGGGAGTTGCTTGAGAAAGGCAGGCAAAGAAAGAGAACACTCAGTGGCACAAAGGATTAAAAACAGTTTGTAGAAAACACTGAGTAAAATATATGGAGGTAGCGGGAAAGAAATTAAAAGACGCCTGCTTCTTGGGAGAAAGGCGATGGCAAACCTAGACAGCATCTTAAAAAGCAGAGACATCACCCTGCCAACAAAGGTCCATACAGTTAAAGCCATGGTTTTCCCAGTAGTGATGTATGGAAGTGAGAGCTGGACCATAAAGAAGGCTGATCACCAAAGAATTGATGCTTTTGAATTCTGGTG